AAATGTGAAAAATGTTCCTTTAAAAAGTAGAGTGTATAAATATAAAGAAACCATTTGCCAGCGCTCAATAGGACATATCTTGACATGTGTGTTGGTCCTTTTGGAGTGCTTTCCTCTGCTACACTGGCCCTCTTCAGTTTTACTGCAGGTTATGACTGAGCCGTGGCCCTTTCACAATAAATACAAGTTAAGTTTTGGATGGGACCAGCCTGGCGGCTTAGTAGCACCACATTCCATCACATCAGATCCAGACTTTCCATCTCCATCTTAACCGACTTGGGAGACTAATAATTCAGGATTTCCGCTCTCATTTTTTCCTTGTCCCTGTTGTAGCCCATCTGACCAGACGCCCCCCGCTCGTGGTGAGGGTAAGAGAGCCTCTACTTGAAATTAGCCTGTCATTTAGTTTATGGTGGGGCAGTTTGCCACTTCTGAATCCTCTGCTGTTCGTCTGCTATTCCTGTTCAAACTGGTATCAGAGCCGTCTTACAAGTAGAGATCAAAACTGAAATTTGGCCTTTGTGATGGGGCTCCCTTCAAAACTTAATTAAATTGTGGTTTGGACAAAGTGCGTTGCACTCCGTCTGTCACCACTTTCTTGATGAAAACCAAAATGAACACAATCTCAAATATTGATACTTTCACTAGAGACGGGCGGCAATGTTGACAAGTCTGCAAGCCGCTGTTTCTGAAGAAAAAAACAGGATTTCACGAAGCAGAAGATGTCGTTTATGTGAAGTCTCAGTATTGGAGCTGATTTTGTGATGAACCATGAACTGTGTAGAAAAAAAACTGGAAATGAGATTTAGGGACTTCATGAAGCGCCAGGAGGAAAACATGTCAAACCCTTATTCATTTTTTTGCTGAACATTTTATTTCTTTATTCATGAGTTTGCAACTCAAACCTTTGATTTGACTGGAATTAAGGGAGATACATCATTACTTTGAAACTTTCACTGTTTTGGTTATATTTTGTCAATTAGTGAGTAAAATGAGCCTGAAATGGGACCATCTCTCATGGTCTCACTATCTGCATGTGGAAGCAAGGCGAGGCTACAGCCTGGTATGAGTTTGTTGCATATGTGAATGACTGGTGGTTGGAGGGGCCGATGGGACATAGTGGTTGCCTTGCTTCTGTCTGTCTGGCTCAGGGCAGCTGTGGCTACAGAAGTAGCTTATCACCACTGTGAATGGAGTGAATGAATAATGCCAAGAGTCTTTGAGTGTCCAAAAAGTGCAAACGAAACTAATGCATGTATTATTTTTTCACTATATTTTTTCAGGGAAAGTAAATTTTCCCTTTTCCGGATTAGGTTTAATGTCCAGCATCAATATTGCATGATATTTCTAAAGCTGTTCACCTCATTATGGAAGCTGCTGCGGTGAATATTTAATCGTTTTTGTTTTGAGCTGAACTTACGCACTGACTAAAAATGTGTTTTCAAACCGCAGAGAAGGTTTTCTCACGAACAGTGAAAATGTAACACAATTGTTCTCACTTAAAGCTTGAGTATTTTTCTGTTGTTGTTTCATAAATACATTTGGTTTCTTCAACCGAAATAATCTTGTTTAAATTACATTGTTGTTTTTTATGTTATGTACTCCAACTGCAATCAGAAATTTAGACAAAGAGTTTTGTTGTTCATGTTGTTAAACTATAGTTTTCTGATTCTTAAACTAGTTTGTCAGCTTAAACATTGGATGGCTGCTCATACTGAGCAGTAGTTTCAGACAACACGTTTCACAGTAAAGTGTCCGTTATAGTGTCTGGACTTTAAAATGTTATTACTCAAAAACTAAAATTACTAATCATAGATTAGAAAACAGATTTTGAACACAGATTTATCAAATATCAAATACATTTTTAAAAGACCCAATCAACTGTGATCCAAGTTACATAAAAATAGAAGGTCATCAGTGACAAAGCAGCAGAGGAACTCCCACAAGATTAACAGTAAATCACTTTATCTAAAAAGGAATCATTGGAAAAATAATCAATACAAATTTAAATGACCCTTGAAAAATGTGTAAAAGAAGTGATTATTTCAGTAAACATTTCATGATATCACATTTAATTGGTTTACTATATGAAACTAATCACTTTGTTTCTACTCTATGTAAAAAAAATCTAATGTAGACATCTGAAAATAAGAAACAAACTTGCGCAGCTCATTCCATCGAAGGCATCACGTCCGTGACACACCGAGCCGTTATAGAAAATTTGACTAATGTATAAAACAGTTATCTTCTAGCAACTACTATTGGACAGAAGAGGTATTTGGATAAATGAAAAACATAATATATAAAAATCTTATATATTAAAATCTATTTTTTAGCCTTCTCCGTACCTTTTAGTATGAACAAGCCCCTATACATTACGTATATAAACCGCACCATCAAAATCTGATGAGAAGGTAAAAAACGCATTTGTGCATGCATCAGCCGGCACGAGTCGCATTCATTTGACGAGTGCCTTCAGTCCATAGCGGCTAAACTCGAATGGCCCAAAGAATATACTCCCCTCAGCATTGACACACATCTGGAATGTAGCGTTGGGCCAAGAGCCAACTTTTGGACTACAAAGCCGTTTTCAAGAAGCAAGATGGCACCATTCAAAAACATTGAATAATTCTCTTTCTGGGTACACCCCCCCCCCACCAGCGCGTAGTGGTATTGCAAGCATGTCACCACACATGCTCATGGACCGTTTTGAGCCGGGACCCACCCCCACTGGTATTCTCCTGACACCTGTGTCCAAACACTTCCTGTGCCCCTGGGGGCTCCAACAAAATAAAAATACATACATTGGCCACATTGCTATATAGACACCAAGGATTTAAAGTTCAAAGGTTAAAGGTAGCAGCTCATAGTCCTACAGTAGTTAAAAAGTTGATTTGGTGTAATGTGTCTCCTTTAAGAAAAAGGCCTAAACATCTCAGTTTAAGGTTTCTTTAGCTGTGAACCTGAGCAGAAAGATGAGGTGGTGAGTGGGGCCAGTGTCGCCTGGATCTGAAGAAAGGAGAACTTGACCAGAGCTTGACATTTTCGACCAGAGATAAAGAATGGTCTTAGCACTGTGTCTACTCATGTAAGCTGAGTGTCAGACGGGCCAGGTTCAGGCACTGATGAGCCAGAGTATTACACAACTATTAAGTCTAAACTGTTATTTCCACTGACTCTCACAATGTCAAATACAGTCTGTGGTTGTCTTGTTAATGTAATCATCCAGATATCCATACATTCATTCATGGCACTGACAGTAAGGTCCGTCAACATAATAAACACACACCCATGCAACTGTGAATATGGTTCATAAAACGCTATGCATAATTGACTTCACTCCAACAAACACACAGCCTAGAAACTCATGCAACATTAACATGTTAACTTAAGCACAGTGGGTCCAAGTAAAAAAACATTATGGGTCCTTGTGGATTTAAAGTCGGACCATTAACTGCTCAACATTAGAAGAGTGGGGCAGCTCTGGTTTAGTTTTCAGTCAAGTTTCCTGCTTCGACACTGCCCTGTGGTTCTCCGCTTCCATCCACTGAGGTTTCTGTCTGCCAACGTCATCCTGCTTCAAGTCTCAGCGTTGCTTAGGATTACAGGCAGAGTGCATTTGAGTAAGAATAGGTAGATTGAAAATGAACTCTTCAAAAGGTCAGAGCTGAAATGCGTGTGAGAGGAAAATGCAGTGATGTATAATGTGTTTTGGGCCAGACATAACGCATGCACACTCCTCTCAGACAGAAGAGAGGAGGACATGAGGTGTGCCAGAAGGCCCTCAGTTCAAACCCCAGTTGATGGAGCCATGGCCGGGCCTCCTGGTTCTCAATGGGCTCTTTCATGGCAGAGGCAGCAGCCAGTTGGAATGCATAAACCTGAAGTTGAATTCAGCAAGGGAGCTTAACGCATCCCAACAATCCCTCATTTTGCAAGTTTGTGGATAATTATAATCAATCTTGGCTCGGCGTGACGCAGGCACTGGTCCGGACGGCACCAGTAATGACTTCATTCCATAACAGAAAAGTTGCAATCCATTCTCATATACAAAATTTTCAGTAATTAAGAATAATATGCTATTCAAGGTCAGGCCAGGATTCACATTGAGAATAGAGTTTGCATCCTATCCCTTGAAGTAGAAAATTCTCTAGAAAACTAGCAATATGAAGCAAAAATAATATGCTATTACATTAAATGAAGATTACAAATAGCATCAGTAATAATGAATGCGTTGCTTGAGTGTTGTTGAATTGGCTGACCATTAAAAGCTCTGTGTTCTTTTTACTGCCTCGTCATAAAGACACTGTTCTGCACATGTTTTAGGATGTTGAAAGATACAACTGTCTTACTTTTATAGCCCCAGTTTTCAGTGGTGCTTTACTCACAGATTTATAACAGATGCTTTTTGTCTATGAAGCCGTTTCAAAGCTCAACCTGATGCTGCTGCCGAATACTCTGTCATATTTGAGAGTGCTATGTCGACATGTCAGGACCGGTCTGAAGGAGCAAAGGATCTGAGGATCATGGCCAACATGTTCGATGTATGTGTGGATTATAGAAGTACAGCTCTCGTCCCGTAGAGGGAAGTGTGGCTACTGCGTGGAATGTCATATGGTTTTGTTCACTCACGTCTTTGGCACCACCAATTTCCTCCATCACCCACATCTGCGGGGCACATGGGCCGTATCACAGAGAAGACAGGAGCCGTGCCAAGTCAAGTTGAGCTAATAGTCCATGCATATGTTGTGTCCATTGACAAGCGCCTGGTCCTGATTATCTTTCAGAGAGAGCCAGCCCCAATCAAATAGAACAGCCAGGATATCTATTACGCTTATTCCCCATAAAAACAAGCGTACAGGAATGCGCATTGTACGTTTTTCTTTTACATTAACAGATTTTTAATGATTGGGGATACAAGTATATTATAAGAAGCTGTACTGTTGTTTGTGGCTGTCACGCATGAGTTTACAATGATTGACTGTTGATTGTCTTTGTAGCTGACCTGAGTCTGTCGGTGGAGCCTGAGGGTTTGGCTGACGCCCAGAGCGGAGCAGCACCTACGGCTGAAGGTAACATATTATCATTAACAAACTACATTGTTGCTATAACTTGTCAATAGAAGGTTTGCTGAAACTTTAATTGCTTTTTGCGTCTTGAAATGAGATCATGCCTGAGTCCCACATTCTTAACCAGCGACGTGTCATTATGTTTTTGCCAGCGAGTATCTCAGGCCATTTTCAATGCGTTTCTACGTGATTTTATTTTCTTTCAACTCTGCAGCTGAGCACATCCTTTTACAGTGCCTTGCGAAAGTATTCAGCCCCCTTGAACCTTTCAAAATTTCGCCACATTTCAGGCTTCAAACATAAAGATATACAAATTTAATTTTTTGTCATGAATCAACAACAAGTGGGACACAATCGTGAAGTGGAACGAAATTTATTGGATAATTTAAACTTTTTTAACAAATAAAAAACTGAAAAGTGGGGCGTGCAATATTATTCGGCCCCTTTACTTTCAGTGCAGCAAACTCACTCCAGAAGTTCAGTGAGGATCTTTGAATGATCCAATGTTGTCCTAAATGACTGATGATGATAAATAGAATGCACCTGTGTGTAATCAAGTCTCCGTATAAATGCACCTGCTCTTTGATAGTCTCAGGGTTCTGTTTAAAGCGCAGAGAGAACCATGAAGACAATACTGTTGTGGAGAAGTTTAAAGCCGGATTTGGATATAAAAAGATTTCCCAAGCTTTAAACATCTCAAGGAGCACTTTATCAGACCACTGCAAATCTACCAAGACCCGGCCGTCCCTCCAAACTTTCATCTCAAACAAGGAGAAGACTGATCAGAGATGCAGCCAAGAGGCTGATCACTCTGGATGAACTGCAGATAACTACAGCTGAGGTGGGAGAGTCTGTCCATAGGACAACAATCAGTCGATCACGGCACAAATCTGGCCTTTATGGAAGAGTGGCAAGAAGAAAGCCATTTCTCAAAGATATCCATAAAAAGTCTCGTTTAAAGTTTGCCCCAAGCCACCTGGGAGACACACCAAGCATGTGGAAGAAGGTGCTCTGGTCAGATGAAACCAAAATCGAACTTTTTGGCCACAATGCAAAACGATATGTTTGCATTATCCAATAAATTTTGTTCCACTTCACGATTTTGTCCCACTTGTTGTTGATTCTTGACAAAAAAAAAATATTTTTATATCTTTATGTTTGAACCCTGAAATGTGGCGAAATGTTGAAAGGTTCAAGGGGGCCGAATACTTTCGCAAGGCACTGTAATGGGCCTAAATGCAACCCAATGTTTCATTTAATATACACAAATGGTATCCAACGTTAAAGCTGGAATGCCAAACTTTATCAGCACAACAAATGTAAATATATTATACAATTGCTAAAACACTATCAAAAAACAATTTGATTATTTTTGTCTCCTTACTGCTTCAAATTACCTTTTTCAGACAGAAAAGTGAAAAAAAGCTTTCAGTCCAAGATAGCAAGTTGTGGTCTGATTTTTTCTCAAGACAAGCGGCGTGTACTGTATTACGGATATTTTTTTAAACAATTAAACAATGAAATAATCTAAAATAAGGCAGAGCCTAGGACATGTATTATCATTTATTAACATTTATAGACCATGGCGATCCAACTTCCTATGGACAAATGGCTCCAATGTGTTTGTTATTATTGCCTATTTCCTGTGTTTGACCGGTTTGATTCTCTGATCTGTTGTGGTGAATCAACAACTTTGTATAGTCCACCTGCTGCTGTTGTGATTTAGGGCTGATACAAAAATAAATGTAATTGAATCAAATATGCCCCATAGTAAGCCAGTTACTCGAGCAACAAAGCATAGATAGTTTAAAAATAATCTCATTAATATGTCTTTAATTCAATAGTAAACAGGTGGTTCACTGATCCGTTATGTAAAAACACCCCGAAGGTCTGTGCCATAGTGAAAGCCCCATTGTTGTGTGCCCCAGCAGCAGCGACACACACTGTTGCACTAAGCCACACGATCCCACACTTCCAAGAACATGCTGAGTTTATTTGGGTTTGGTCCCACACAGACACGGTTTTGTTGCCACTAATACTCACCAGCCCTGGCTACGTGTATTTATCTACAGCTCCAAACCGCTTCGGACAAATACCCGGTTTCCCCACAAAATAAAGCTGTTATAGAACCATAATCATCATATGTGAGTACGCTGTTGTCAATTGTTCTCGTCCAATTAAAATGTCCGATAGCGTGGTTGGGGCAAAGTTTCTGCAGCACACAGCACGGTGGGTGTTCATTCTCCGAGCTCTTGAACATCAATCATGCTATAATTTAAGGGGAAGCTTCAGCGCTTTTGCAACAGGCTCTGTTTAGTACCAGCCGAGGAAATGAAATGGTACAAAGAAGGCGTTTTTGAGCTTGGACTGTCAAGAGCAGAAGGTCGTAATTCTGTAGTAAATAATACCGGTTTACAAATGTCTCGTTATTTTGCTTAACGTCAATGTGTTTTCTACGGTTTGAATCTATCGTTTTTCATTCCTTTTCAAAACACTGATCAAGATATATATTGGGTGCGTTTACAAAGCACCAGTGAAAACCCAATTCTCCATCTACTATTTTTAATCAGATTGATAGATAATTGTGAATATCCAGTTAATTCCAAGATGCTGGTGCACATATGTTCTAATGCTGGTGACCTTGCATGTTCAGTGGTCACTCGCTATCACACGGTTTACCTTTCACTGTTTTTTGTGGATTATTGAGTGTGATTTTTTTACAGGGTTCTTCTCATGCAGTACATGTATACTCCAACAACATCATATAGCTGGCAGTACACATGAGAGATTCCTTGTATTTAAAATTGTGGCTAGCCTAGTGGCTTGTGTACCACGATGATTGGTAAAGGTGCACTTTATTTACTCCCGTAGGGCAATTAATCGCGATCAGGATTGCGTAGGGCAATCCTGATGCCGCGAAGGCTTACGTCAGGAGCAGTGGTCGCTGTAGTAACAGCGCCCGGGAACCCATCTCCAGATGTTGATGCTCGGCTTGGTCAGGACTACGAGAGCTGGAGGATTTAACCTAGTGTGCATGTTTTTAGTGGTAGGAGAAACCAGAGTACCCGGAGGAAACCTACGCAAGCACGGGGAGAACATGCAAACTCCACTCAGAAAGACCCTGTTCCGACCGGGATTCAAACCCAGGACCTTCTTACTGAGAGGCAAGAGTGCTATCCACTCAGCCACCGTGCTGCCCTGGTGGTGGTGATTATGAGGAATACCGTGATCTTCCATCAGTCCTGCACCTGGCCCTGAGCACAGTCTCTTCTGCAGCTGTATTTTATCGTATATGCACGGCTTTTGACAGCTGCAGCAGCGCTCAGATTACACTGGACAGGTTTGATATTTCAGTGATCGCACTTCAGCAGTCGTGAGTTCAGGTTGTTAGAAAAGTGTGAGTGAGGGCTTTTACATCCATAAAACATAGAGCTGCTACTTCTCGGGTTTCGCTTAGATTTACTTTTAGAACGTAACACCCATGATAAATGAGAGACCCCTGTAAACGCATCAATCCAATTGGAATGAGGCATTGGGCAGTAATGCATTTGAGTGCAAAGGGAAAAGCCAGGCTTGTATTAGAAATGTATGTATTTGGACGGGCAAGGGATACTCAGTCATGTCGTTCGGGATCAATACATAGTTCCTCTCTGGGTTTTGTTGTTTTGTTTTGTGAAGAAAAAACAAAAATTATCATGGTGCTTTAAGAGCTCTATGATTGATGCTGCAGCAGCTGAGCATGTGTGAAAATCAAAAGATTAAAGTAAGCATAATCTTCATACCATATTTTCTTTTTACAAAGACAGTTTTTTTCATTGAATACCAAAAAAACCATTACATTTCCATGGTCACCTTGGCAAACATTGGAATTAAATGCCCCCTCCCACCCCACAGTCTGGTTATGAGGGAAGTTTTCAAATTGTTCATCCCTGAGCCTCACCCTCATGTGCTCCTTGAATTCCCCCAAAGTTTCACCAGAGACACATCAGTCAGAGTCCAGCATATTCCGCCAGAGTGAGACACAATCACTGTAACTGATGAACTTTGTTACTGATTCGGGCACATGAGTTACAAAGTTACTGTACAAAGTTTGAGTAATAAGGGAGAAAAGTTACCAGTGAAAAGGAGCCTTGACCGGCTTCTCCTTGAGGCGCTCGGAGACGGGACCAAAACTCATCGGACCTGTGTGATAATCCCACCGAATCGAGTGTGATTTTTTGTGAATAAATTTATTGAATATAGATCATGGCTTTTGAAGTGGGTGGGTGCATATTGGATATTGTCCCTCAGCCAAACCCACAAATCCACACCTAAACAATGGTCAGTTATAGCTGTAGACGTGTTCAACATTTCAGGGCTAATTACGAACTGGACATTAAGACTTAATTAAGAAGATTTCAGCCACTTAAAATATGTTTCTGATTCGATTGCGATTAATCGAGCAGCCTTATCGCTCAGCGTCCGGCAACAGTCATTAGTGCCACAAATCCAAGTGATTTTTGCGCTCAGTTGGCAATCAGCAGATGCTTTTCTCACGGCCTCTCACCTTCACCTCCTGTGTGTTTTGTGGCTTTGATTTTCCCACAGCAGCGATCGCACACCGTATATATATATATCACATGTCACTTCCCATCAGCTTTTGAATACACCATCACGCCAGTATTGCCCTAGAACCACGGAACATAATTTCCCCGTGATTGAGGCGAGGACAGCCATTTTGGAGACTTATTAACTATGACCTCGCTCTTTTGGCTGTCATTCCCGTGCATCTCCTTTGCTCTCATTTCTTGGGCAAACACTGCAATGGTTTATAGCGGAGCATGCTATGGGAGCTGTGCCAGGGCTCGAGCTTTGAGAGAAGGCTGCTTTTCATTACCTCTATCTCCTGGGGATAGTACTAATCAATCAAGCACTTCAGCCTTGATATCTGAGACAGTGGTGCCTTTACAAAAGTCTTTTACGGGGCTCAAAGTAGTTTGGCTTTTGACCATGCGTCCCTGCGGATCAGTGCAAGTGGGTCCACGATGCTTACTGCTGTTGGTTTGTGTTACATTGCACAAGGAGACACTTGATTGATAAGAATTACATGTAGATTAGCTGAGTCAAGTTGTGGCTTTTATCCTATATTTTTAAGCTGCACTATATAACTTTGTGCCTGTTCCAAACCTGGCTAATTGCTCCTCTGTCATAGCAGCGGAAGTCAACATGCAAAAGGTAAAGGCATATAATTAAAGATCATGCTGTAGTCCTCCTCTGGGTATCTGGCATCGCAGTGACTGTCTCTGATGAAGGCTATAGAATCAGGATTATGTTGCTCATTTTCCACCGCATATATTCACAGCCTTGGCCGAGGTTCAAGACGGCGCTAAATGTTGGGTGCTCAGCTGTCTTCTTGTTTATTAACTACTCACTCAAACCAAAATCTTCCCCACTTAATTCACAGTAATGCACTCTGTGAGTTCTTGTACACATACACGTGCGCAAACACACACACAATCAACATCTCTAACTAAAAAATCATGTCTAATTCGTCCAAATATTTGAATAGTTCATTTAGAAGTGCATTTAGAAAATTATTTGACCAGATTACCGTTTGCCCTTTACCAAGTATTTCCATCTTAGTACCACACAAATTGAGTTTCATCCCTGCTTGGGCTTTTATTTGTTATTGTTGAAGATTGTAGCTAGACTCAAGGAATTCAACATTTTGAGATATTGTCCGATGTCCGTTTTTTGCAAATACATTTTTTTTCTTCTGCAAACTCAGAATTTGTTGTATTGGCATTGTGAGTAACAGGAAGTCACAAACCAGGAATTTGCTCGGTGCAAACAATTTTTGAAAGGAAAAATGGTTTTAAGCATGCATAAAAAAATCTTCAGAACATTTCTTATAATGCTACTATGTACAAGTGCACTAAGTACACACAATAGAAATTTTGAGTCACTGTTGGACGCCGTGGGCTGAGAGCTGATTGGCTGAGTAAGATTTGGCCTCCCTTTTGCTCTTTTCTGTCCAAAGATGTGACCAAAAATATGTGAAAACTAGTGATAAAAACAAGATTAGATGGATTTTATGACATAGTTCCACTTACTGTGGTTTGAAAGTTAGATACCCCAGCTTTAAACTAAAACTCAGTGTTGGTCTGTGTCCTATTTAAGGAGGAATTATTCAAGTTAAGAGCTGGTGAGCAGCCAGTGCCTTAAGCTGAAGCTGAGTAGTTTCCTAAGGGAATGTGACTGGACCCCTGCCCGCTCAGCAGTGGCCTGTTAACTTTTGTTCTTTTTCACCTTTGTTTGTTTTTTCCTTTCCGCGTTTGGGAATAATCTTTTTCCATTACTCAAGGTCAGCAACACTCTCTGCAGCCGGGATCCATAATACGTTCTGATCCATTGTGGGCACTACGCACAAGAGACACTTAAACATAATTGCCAGACATCTCATTATCGGATCCTTGCTATTATTTTTTCCAAGATATGATGGTATTCCACAGTAACGACATGAGAGAAAGCAGACTCATGGGATAGTGTGGAGCAGATGATTCAGTGCAGCTCTCACTGTCGTCTGTTCTTTGCTTTTAGTCACTGTTAATCATGGCGGCATGCTGCTGCACGCCGTCCTTTAAACAGCTTAACCTCAACCTCAAGATTTTCTCAAATATATACATTTTCAACAGACCACCCGTAAACCATCACAGCTATTTAATAGATTTACAAACGTTGAGGCTGATATAGTTCTTGTCCAGTGCGTTTATTATCTATAGTCATAATGGTATAGGACAAAAAGTATAACATTTCACTGTAAAATGCAAACATCTCTGTCTTCACATTTTCCAAAACAGACACACTCTGTGGTGGAGAGAGGAGGAAGTACATGTCCTGCTTAGTGTTCGGTTTCTCCCAAAGACAGATACAGGCCTTGGAACGTCACTTCTTATGAATGTCTTTATCCTTATGGGAAACACATTTACTTTATTTACGGCGCTCTTTGCTGTAATAGATTTACCTATGATGTCTAGGAAACAGCCTTGAGGCCTTTTTATTCCCAAAGCTGCTGTTTATAATATGAGACACTGACAAATGGTCTTGTTTTAAGGGGATGGGGCTGTGGAAATAAGGCAATTATTGAAACGTATATGATATTATGACGGATGTAAACAAAAACAATGTATACAATATGTCGCTTAATGATGACCTGCACTAAAACTGTAACTTTGCACTGCCATAATCGCTTTCTAATCCTGCTTTAATATTGATCTTGCACATAAGATACTAAATCTTTTCACGTTTTTTTTTTTACATGTTTGCCCTGAGTGACCCTATTTATGCCAACTATAACATGTACATTTGTTCTCTATCTTGTTAGATAAAGTTGTACCTTCTCCATCTTTTCTTATTCAAACTACGTAAATTCTCCCTATTTTGAAGAAGGTGTCACCTATTGAATATACAGTAATGAATCAAGAGCAACATTTCAGTCAATTCACATGAATGAAGTCATATGACTAAACATAGGGAGGCAGCAATTTACATTGATGCAGCTAAAATCTAGAACAGTCTTCCTTAATAATATCAGACAGGCTTCTTCTCTGACAATGTTAAAATCCAGGTTAAAAAACATCCAACTGAGGAGTTTAATCTTTACTCTTTTTTAATGCTGATTGTGTGACTGTTGTTTTGTGAACCACTTGGAGTTGCCTTGTGTATGAACTGTGTTATACAAATAAACTTGCCTTGCCTTTGCCATATGTTTATTATATTAGGCCACAATACATATTACTTTCTAATGTGATCTGAATCTCATCAGTTCAAAAATGAATTCACATCAAGTTGACATTTGGCAGAGAAAGTTTCCAGTTGTCAAGGTTCTGGAGTCTGCAATGATTTCCCCACATGTTCAGGAGTGCGTCTGAAGAAAATCTAAAAATAAATTGCTGAGCTTTAGGCTGCATTATCTTTTTTTGTTGTTGCCCACATTCAAAGCTGGCATTAAATTGTATCTGCCCTTAGATACCGTTGCTTATGTTTGAAGCAGCCAAGATTGTTGTGGCAGCAGTTTCCTGTGAGTGCAGCCTTTTACCGCAGCTGTAGAGGAGAGGAGGATTGTGGGATGTAAACGTCACAATTCTTTTCATCATGTCCATTATTGTTCACTTTCCCTGCAGACTATGCTCAGTGGTAATGTACCATTGTTGTCAGAAGTTAAAGGAAGTTTGTCACTTTTTGGTCTCATTTAAAACTGGAACCTACAAAAAGGTTCGTTCCCCGTTTCTTAACCTTATTTGTTTATTCTACTTATTGTCATTACTATTGCAACTATTATTTTTCACACAAAAAACAAATATTTACAAATACAATATTATTTCATACGTTACACTGGTTTCCCTTGTTCTCATTCACCACAAGCTCAATCTACGAATTTAGTTCCTTTCTGTTGTCAGTTTCTACTCTGTTGCAAAACAGAAGCTGTTATACAAATAAATGAGAAAACTATTGATAGGACCAAACTGTTTTGGAGTGAACTGCCGGTTGTTAAATTGACTTGACTTGAAATATGGTAGTTTGTTCTTTTTTTGGTGGTTTAAAAGTTAGGTATCGCAAAAAAGTAATATTGAAAAATCAAAACGCATGAACTCTTGAGAAAAGACTCAGACTCTAAGGAGTACAGGGACTGACGCCTTATGTCAGGATTAAATATGGGGAGGCCGCACTAAAATCTAGAATAGTCTTCCTGGAAATGTGAGACAGGCACAATGTTCAAATCCAGGTTAAAAACAGTTCTGTTTATTTGTGCATACAACTGAAGGATTGTATCTTCACTCTTTTCATTGTACTGTGATTATTTATTATTTGAATACCTTGTGTGTTTGTGTCTATCTTGTTTTGTCAAGCACTTTGAGCTGCCTTGTGTATGAAAAGTGCTCTATACATAAACCCGCCTTAAATATATTTATTATTTACACTTAACGCGTCTAGAAGTGGTTCACAGAGCTGCCGGGTGTAATAAAAGCAGTAGAAACAGTGGGCGGCATGTGGCTGAGTGGATAGTACTCTCAGCTAGAAGGTCCTGGGTTCGAATCCTGGTTGGAATGGGGCCTTTCTGAAGGGACTTTGTATGTTCTCCCCATGTCTGCGTAGGTTTCCTCCAGGTGCTCCAGATTTCCCTACCACTAAAAACATCTACTTTAGGTCTGGCATGCACCTTCTGTACTGGTGTCCTCGCTCCCATCTCTATATGGAGTGAGAGACAAAAATAAATATTACTTGCTTACCTACAAAAACCACTAACATAATCTCCTGCTGTTGTTTTTACTCACATCCTTATGCATTTCTTCTGCAGGTTATTACCTTGAGTTTCTGGAGCCAGTCAACAACATCACCCACTTCCAGGGCCAGACAGCGACACTGCAGTGCAAAGTGGCCGGTAACCCTCGCCCCTCCATCCGCTGGCTGAAGAATGACGCCCCCGTGGTCCAGGAGCAGGGCCGCATCACCATCCGCAAAATGGAGTCTGGATCCAAGCTTCGCATCCAGGACCTGGACACCACAGACACCGGCTACTACCAGTGCGTGGCCACGACCTCACACCGGACCATCACTGCAACTGGGGTCCTCTACGTCAAGCTCGGTATGTGTCGGACAGTGAGCCACTCCCAACAACACTGCTGCGAGTAACTGTATGTAATAATTATTCTTATTTATTTCACAGGCCTCATGCCCACTCACGAACCTCATGAGCCGTAAGTGACGCATTTAACACTTGCAAATATTTGTGGACAAGATAGATAGATAGATAAGAAAAAAACTATATTGAGCCCGAGAGATATTGTGCATTCGTCTCTTGCTCACATTCGCACAAACACAGCAGGATAAAGTTATAAGAAAAAAACTTACAATAAACACATAAAAAGTTAAGGCATTGTCAGACATTGGCATGACAATACAAATGATTAAAGTTATTGATTTGTATTGCTGCCCATAGTCATGACCAATGGCAAAAACAAACACATTTTATTCCATTGAGTGTACTGTATTTGTGTAATACTGATAATCATAAAAATTGTATATTTTCCTTTGTACCAATTTTCCAAAACAGTGTTTATAAAGCACTGCACAGTTAGCATAAAAAAATTATAAAAAGTCCTAACAGTACGAAATATCAAAAATAAAGTACCAGAAAATCTATCCCTAATTCACAACAGCAATCATCTCGGACAAACAGATCAGAGAATCAAACTGTAGTCTATATTCGTCTATAGGGAGCGGGATGACCAGTGTCCATAAATAAATGTCCTGGATTATTACTGTCCTTAGACCCTCCTGCATCAGACTTGCAAGGACTAAAAAAGATAAAATAAAAAAACAGTGGGAAAAAGTGGGAAACGCTCCCACGGACAGACTGGCTATAGATCCAGGACTCAGGCTGTAGAACGAGGACTGAGGCTGTACGGTGAAGGACTGAGGCAGCGTTGTTCCATGGATTTATGTAGATGGTAAACGTCCTACAGCGTCTTTATCAAAACTGAATTAATTGACGCATGTAATGAATGGCATCTGTTAATTGTCGTTTAACACAAAAACTAATATATATATCTTGAGAAATGCATACAAAAATTGCGTTTACCGTTGTACACACGGACCATGTTGCCTGCTAATTTAAGCATACAGTATTTCTTGTATAATGTTTGCCTGCCCAAAGCAAACACAGACGTGCTCAGACTTGTGAAGTAGCGGCCATACCTTCACTGTCTGACTCTGACAATTAGCCTGATAGAGGATGTGTTGCTCTGCTATGACAGATGCGAGTGAGTGAACGTGCAGAGTTCAAAATCAAACTCTCCTCAGTGATTTTGATTATTTCTTTTTAGATGCAGGCTTCCTTTTATAACAGATTTACAGTTATCGATCAGGATTGTCGTCTGACTGTCGGGCCTTAGGGCTTGCTCCATAGTGTAAAACCGCTGTTCTGTCCTTTGAGGGGTAATACATAATTTAAGGCATCATACTCAAATAAGATCCTGTCATTAATACTATGGTATATTATTGTCTCTGGTTCACCAACCAAATTGCCTCTTGGGGATAATAAAGATACCTTGAACCTTGGCTTGATTATGGAAAGGATATTAAGTTGACCAAATAAGGAATTGTTTTTGTTATATTCTTCACCATGCATTCTGAAGCTCTGATCCAGTATTTGGCAAATTGGGTGGAGTTTTGTGATAAATTATCTATTAACTAAGCACAAAAGAAGCTTTAACATAACACAGAACTGACCCAATGTCAAAACAACTGTGGCTTATACACAATCTAAACTGGAGCTAAGGGAGATTGCAGCAGCAGTTCATGAGGGGACAATCTCTATAAACAAAGAACATTCTCTGGTCAGACTCACTTAGTCTGAAATAGCACCTTACACGGGAAAACGTTGTAATTGTGATTCTTAAAGAGTTTTTTCTCCTCCACAGTTCAATTGAATGAAGAATTCTAACCAAGTGATACTCAACCAGAGATTGGGTCATTTAAGGATAATTCCTAATGTGTTTTGCTACAAATTTCTCATACCGTTAAATGTAGTTACTGGGACCGGGCAAATTTGATTGTGCATAAGTGAGAAAATAAAACAGTGGAAAACCACCTCCTAAAATTAGCAGTCACAGGATGAAAAAGCTGAGTCGAGCAGACATAGTCTTAACTGTTTGTTGAGAGGATTAGAACTTAAGTCAGGCCTGAGAGCCAAGCTTTGTTCTAACACCGCTTTTAGTTCATCTCAAAGACAAGTTTGAGACAAGCTGAGCTTAACAGCTTTAATCTATGCAGCTTCATCTGATGCATGTATCTGCCCACACACAGGAGCTGCCATAGAAGAGCAGAACTCAACATGAACTCTATGACAATTCTGGTTACAATTGTGAAAAATATGATTTTTTACATGTTTGTAGTGGTAGGGGTAAGGATTGCATCTTCACCCGAAGGAACCCTAGACAGGGAGAACACGCAAACTCCACTCACAAAGGCTTTGTTCCAACTTCCAAGTGAGAGTGATAACCACTCTGCCACTATACTACATACATATGATCCCACTTCCACCTGCAGCACAAAAATGGGTTCTCCTGGCAGGGCTTAGGGCCCGAAATAAATAATGATATATGCCCTGGACCCAAAGTATTCCTCTCCCTTTTGTCTCTAGGTCAAAAGAAAAAGGTTTCTGCCAGCCATATCGAGGCATCGCTTGTGCTCGATTCATTGGGAACCAGAGCATTTATGTGGAGTCTCTGCAGACGCAAGGGGAAAGTGAAAATCGTATTACAGGTAGAAAAACAATCCTTTCACATGCTTGGTGACTCAAAACATCTTAATAAAATACACTTGTTTCTAAATGTCTTTTCAGCTGCCTTCACAATGATTGGCACCTCTACTCACCTGTCAGATCAGTGCTCCAAGTTTGCCATCCCATCCTTTTGTTACTACGTCTTTCCTCTTTGTGACGAGGGCTTCCGTGGAGCTCGTAAACGGCAGCTCTGTCGAGACGAATGCGAGGCTTTGGAAAACAACCTGTGCCATGCAGAGTATACCATCGCCAGGTCGAATCCCATGTTACTAATGCAGCTACAGCTCCCCAAATGCCCCCTGTTGCCACGGCCTGGTACACATGAAGCCGCTTCTTGCATGAGGATTGGAGTCCCACCGGATAAACTCGGATCATGTACGTCTTTAATCATGGTTTCTACGCCCGACTCTGCGACGGCCTCAGTATAATGTTGTATGTTCTATTAGCAGACTCCCCCTCGGACCACAGCTGCTACAACGGAAGCGGGGCTGACTACAGAGGCACAGTGAGCACCACCAGGTCCGGGCAACACTGTCAGCCTTGGAGCGCGCAGTATCCACACAGTCATCATCTTTCTCAGGACTACCCCGAGCTCTGGGGGGGACACAACTTCTGTCGAAATCCAGGAGGGCAGATGGAAGCCCCTTGGTGCTTCACACTCGACCCACAGGTCCGAGTGGGCCTCTGTGACATCCATTCTTGTCGTAAGTATATTCTTTCATATCATTACTAAGTTTCTCAAAAGAAGTGGTGATGTGGCCTTTTAAGTTCATACATTTCAGGTGAATAATTACATTGTTGGTGTGCACAAAGGTATCAGGGGTGGAGTAAAAAGTTTGAAGTGAGAGGCAGACGAATATTTAAAAGTTGGACAAATGTGTTTTCCCACTGGGTTTAGAGTTTTTCCTTGCTGATGCATGAGGGTCTGTTAGTCTTGTGAGGTCTAACTAAAAGACGTTCAACCTTCAAAAAACATTTATCAACACTTAAGGACATTGGTCATCTGCCCCTTATGGACCAATACCAATGTGATTTCCCTTCTATTTCTTGTGTTCGAACAGTTTGATTCTCTAATCTTTGGCGAATTCAACGGTTGTGTGATGTCCTCTGAGATAACTACTGTTGTAATTTAGGGCTATACAAAAATCAAATTGAAATGTTATCTATCTCCAGTCACATTTACTGATTATGTTATAACCTTATGGGTACTGTTAGTATTCCGAACCATTATGTATATAGATGTATATGTTTGTTACATTTCTGCATGCATACATACAGAACACGTCACTAAAAGAGCCACTGAAAGAGCCAGCCAATCACCATGCTTCACTGTGTGTGTGTTTGTATTTGTGATCTAACTTGTGTTCCTTCTGCACAGAGCCTCCTGAAAACCCAAGAAAAGAGATCCTGCTTATCCTCATCCCAGCCGTAGCCATCCCTCTGGTCGTCGCTTGCCTCTTCTTCCTGGTTTGCATGTGTCGTGGAAAGCAAAAGGAATCCAGTGACACACCATCTCGCTGTCAGCTCAATAGCTCGCCTACCCAAGATGTAGAACTCTCACTCCTGGCTCAACAAAAACACCAGGTAACACCCATTGAACTGAAATAGATGTGATACATGTTTTTTTTAAATAACTGAACAGTGAGTTATTTTGATTTTATTTGTGGAATGCAGGCCAAACTGAGAGAGATTAACGTGTCAGCTCTGCGGTTCATGGAGGAGCTTGGCGAGGATCGTTTTGGAAAAGTTTACAAAGGCCAGCTGTATGGGACTGCCCCCGGTGAGCAGACACAGGTGGTCGCCATAAAGACTTTGAAGGATAAAGTTGACTCCTCTCTTTGTGAGGAGTTTCGACAAGAAGCCATGCGACGCTATCACTTGCAGCACCAGAACATTGTCTGTCTATTGGGAGTAGTTACCAAAGAGCAGCCAAAGAGCATGGTCTTCTCCTTCTCCAGCATGGGAGACCTCCACAAGTACCTGGTGATGCGCTCTCCCAACTCTGATGTTGGCAGCTCTGATGATGGTAAGACTGTGAAATCCACGCTGGAGCAGACTGACTTTCTACATGTCATTACTCAGATTGCTGCAGGGATGGAGTACCTCTCAAATCAACTGGTTGTGCACAAAGATCTTGCAGCTCGCAATATTCTTGTCTCTGACAAACTCAGTGTTAAAATCTTGGATCTGGGTCTCTATGGAGATGCCTACTCAGCTGATTACTACAATCTCATGGGGAATCACTTTCCTATCCGTTGGATGTCTCCAGAGGCTATCATGTATGGCAGGTTCACCACAGACTCAGACATCTGGTCATATGGTGTTTTGTTGTGGGAGATCTACAGCTATGGTCTCCAGCCGTACTGTGGCTACTCCAACCAGGATGTCATTGAGATGGTTCGTAACCGCCAGCTGCTTCCCTGCCCAGAGGACTGCCCGTCCTGGGTATACACACTGATGCTGGAGTGCTGGAGTGAGTTTCCTGGGAGAAGACCTCGCTTCAAAGATATTCATGCACGTCTACGCTCCTGGGAAAACCTAACCAGCTACAACAGTTCTGCTCCTACCTCCGGTAACAGCAACACCACCCAGACTAGCTCGTTGAGCACCAGCCCCGTCAGCAACATTAGCATAGGCACAGCCAACGCCTCAAGATATGCCAGTCCCAAAAAAAACTCCTCTCCCTTCCACCAGCCTCAATTCATGGCAATGAAGGGTCAGATGCATCGTCCCATGGTTCCCCCACAACTCTACATCCCTGTCAATGGATACCACCCAATGCCAGCCTACCCTTACATGCAGAACTTTTACCCCATGCAAATTCCCATGACCATGCCCCACCAGCAGATGCACCACCAACCCCAGATGGTGGCTAAAGCTGGTTCTCACCACAGTGGCAGTGGATCTACTTCCACAGGCTACGTCACCACGGCTCCCTCCAACACTTCGGCCACAGAGCGCGCTGCTCTGTTAAACGAGGACAAGGCAAACCAAGAGGACTTAGTGGATGGAGCGTCACAGGAGGAGCTGGACCATCACGAGGACTTGTCAGTGCCAGAAACAGAGTTACTCGGAGAGCCACAGACTGAAGAACTGGTCATCCATCTGTCTGACTCATAAGAAAACAGTAGCATGAAGAATAGTACATACTGCAAGTACAAAGTGAAGTGAATGGAGCTGATTTGTAAGTTCCTGATGTTCTTGATGAGGCCGAAGTATACATTTACTCCCAACTCTTGTATTGTGGTTTTGTCACACTTTTAGTGATCCTTTATTGCTTCATTCATTAAAACGGCATAATTATCCATTAATGTTGCTGTGCAACAATCAAAATGTATTTACAACTACAATTCCTGAGAAAGAATCTGTCTTTGGTGATGTCACTTTGTTTCACCGCAGAGTCAATGACTGAATTTCAAATCATTGCTGAGACTATTTAATTTTATATTTTTTCAAGTGGATGAAAAAAGAAGAATGTATGTACCACAAAATATCTCACACAAGGTTGAGGCTTTTATCTGCTACTAACTGTACAGAACTGCAATGAATGTACTTTACTATGAACATTTGTCAATAGATTTTTGTAAGCTTTTAGTTTCACTGCTGGTTTTGTAAGATTATATTTTATTGTGATCATCTGTGCACATGGAGTATCCAATAAAGTCTTTTAATGCTTGTTGTTTGTGAGATATTGAGACTACTCTTACTCTACATGGTTGATACCACACACTACAACACAATAAATGAACATTTGGCTCAGACTGAAATACAATGGCCTTGTTTTCATTTACACAACTGCCCTGAATAATAAGTTAAGTTAGAAGGCCAAATTGTTTATATGCAAAAGCACTTGAAAAGTCATATTAGTCATATGGTTTTCTGTGTTTTGCTACAATAGGAAAAGGGATTTAAAAAAATCTCTCAAGACATAGTAAGTACTCCTTACTCCAGAGTTTTGGTGTGGGTGTTTACTAAGGATGTATCTGTGTGTACATGGGCGTGTATATTTAATGCTATGATTTATACATGAGGCAACAGAGACCCCTAGAGGTGTGGCCATGTATTGCAGTTTTAAAACTTGAATAATATATAACATTGAAATGATCCGCTATGTATATATTCGTGTTTCTAGAGTGAACTGCGTTCCTATGATGAACAAAAGTGTGTGCTGTTGTTTTACGGTTCGGACCACAGGAAGATTCCTAGTGCAGAACATGGAGATGGGACATGAACGCAGCACGTACAGTGAATGACGACATGTCCCCTGCCATTGGTTAGACGAACTCCATTGGTTTAAGTTGCAAAATGCCTTCTCTTTATTGGCTGCATAGGCTGTCAGTCATTTCACACTACCAATACACTTAAAGAGTGACCTACTAACACAGATCCATGAGTCAGGGGCCACTATCTTGTGAAGAAAAGGGAGAGGGTGGAGATAAACTATGTAATTTGGACAGATTGACTACTATAAACTCATGGAAGGTTTTCACTCCAGCTCACTGGTCGATACGGAGATCTGCAGCATCTGTGACTCAACTCAAGTTCGAGAAAAGGTATTGGATTGATTCGTGCAGCGCTGTAATAAGCATGTCTTATCCCCACTGTCGGCGTGTCTTCCCGGGATCTGTGCTAAGTGTTTGGTGAACTAATTATGTTTACAACAACACAACAGTCTAACTCTGGCGGTTTGTGATTAATCACAAAATAGTTTATTACAGTGATTTCTTATTCGCATGTAATTGTTTCGTTACTATTATGTGGGGACGACATTGGACAGAGAGGTGTGTGAAGGCAAGGCGTTTACCAGGATCTGAATTTATGAACTGCAACAGTGTCGTTGGCAAAAGGTTGTTGGTCAGATGTACTTGACCCCAATGGTAGCCATGTGTCCGGGAAATAAATGTGATCTTCTTAGAAGGAACTATATTTATAACTAAATTGCATAGTTTATTTTAACTAACCTTATTTCGTTGGGCGTATTTATACCCCAGCTTTCTGACGGCGGTATCATGTAAGACATGATGTCATTCAACAAGGTGAACACAGTCTGTGCCCAGGGCGCACGGTGATTATCACTTCAACTATTTTATTTTCCATTTTAGATGTCGTAAATAGGAACAATACAGTTACAGAAGCATTCCAACATTGCCTCACTGGGGATTGCATAATGGCTGCAGTATATGTGCTGCTTCGGCCCCCGGGGGTGGAGGTGGGGGCTCCATTTATTGTGTAATCCCGACACAATGAAGGAATCTGGGGCAGGACGTGTTGACTGGGCTCCGCTGGCCCCGTGCGTCGTGGCGCTTACGGCGTGTGACGCAAACGACCGTGAACTCCGGGTGCCCCATTACCACCCGCACACCCATTGATCTATATTATATTTATTTTATCTAAATAAACTGTCTTATTATAGTTCTATGCGCGTACTCACGCTGCAATGCAACCACCCATCTATCACGTGTGTTCCAAAATTAGTATCGATGTCATACGTTGCTGCCTTCTTTCTAAAGACATGATCTGCTCATGTCTGCAGTGTGGCGAGTGCCTTCAGAGACTTGGCATCAATTCTGAAACACGTATTCATCAAATCCACGTGTACCTGGGAGACACCGACTTACCATAGTCCTGGAGCTGGCCTGTTTTTTTTTTTTACTTTTAAGCTGTTCTTTGTTGCTGTTGAGTAGGCCACAGTCCAGGGCGAACCAACAAGGTCGGCGTTGTATTCTGATCTTGAATGGGTACATCTGGGAGTGTCTCAGCTTTTACAGGGCCACGTGTTAGAACTACAGCAGTATGTCCTCCTTTGTTTCCTTTTTTACTTTGTGGAAGCAAAGGAGGTTCATTAATGACAACTGACTTAAAAAAAAACAACAGTCAGGAGAATCAAGCAGATTCTATATCGCTAAAGTGTCTGACTTTGTTATAACTGCAGATCTAGTTTTCTCATTTAACCTAATTAAGCTTTCTAGACAGAGACATAATTTCCTCGTTGCATTTGGTCAACATTATTCGAACAATGTAATGATTCATGAAATATACAGTAGATATTGGATACAGATTGTTATTATGCATTGCTCTCGTAAAGCACTTTATTATCATTCAAACACATCTTTCAACATCCTACCCATGTGATTACTGTGTTATGAAATAGTTCCTGTAATAGGTTTACCGTACGGGGATATAATATCAACTATTCTTTCTGTTCTTTTGATTTTACAGATAGAAGGAGACATGCTCAGTTTGGGCCACAGCTGTTGGACACAACAATGTTGGTGAAGAGCAGATGTCCTGTATGCTCATGGTTATAAAACATTGACAGCATGCAATCAATCAAGCAAGAGGTGGACTCTGCTGAGTCGTACACTGGAGACGATGCACTGGTATTTGCTGTGGCCTTACAGGGAGCTAATCCAGACCTATTGGGCCATCAACTTCCTGCATTGCCGTTCAAGCCTAAAACAACTTGTCGTAGAAAAAGGGAATTTATTCCCGAGGAAAAGAAAGATCACCAGTACTGGGAGAGACGGCGAAAAAACAATGAGGCTGCCAAACGCTCAAGAGAAAAACGGCGCATCAACGATATAGTACTTGAGAACAAACTGCTGGAACTGGGAGAGGAGAATGCTTCTCTAAAGGCAGAGCTTTTGTCTCTCAAACTAAAGTTTGGTCTTCTTAGCTCAGAAGCCTACTCACAAGAAGTACAGAAACTTGCCAATGTGACCAGCTCAAACCTTTACCAGGAGTTTATAAGCCAATGTAGTAGCCACACAGCCACAACAGAGCCACAAATGCGCAGCAGCTGCATATCAGTCATAAAGCATTCACCACACAGCCTCTTCTCTGACAGGGCAGTCAGTACGAGTACAGCAGTCCAGGACAATCGGAATATCTGCAGGGATTTAGGTGTCAAGCAGGAACCAGCAGGGATCTACACGCAGGAGAGCAGCAGTCCTTATGACGTGTTCAGGACACACATGGCTAGTGACACACCGCCCACTTCATTTGTGCAGATGAGTTGTTTGTCTAGTGATTCGCCTGGCAGCTCTGAGGATGGAGGTGTGAGCAAGTCCTCAGATGGGGAGGACGAGCAGCAGGTACCCAAAGGACCGCCAGCAGACCCCACAAGTGTCATTGTGTCCACCCATAAAGTGCCAGATGCAAACGGAGCATCTGCTTTGCCTCACAAACTGCGAATAAAGGCTAGGACCATCCCAATCAAAGTAGAGGCCATGGACCTAGAATATGAGGCTTCTGGAGTGTCCTCTGACCACAATAACGGAGACGTTTATGAGAGTGCTCAAGACTGCCCTACTTCATCCATGTGTGATTTGTCCGTGCAGCTGGATCACATGCATAACTGGACCCCACAGCCTGAGTCATGGCAGAGAAATCTAAACTATGGTTTAAACTCCTCCTATGCACACTTGGCCTCTGAGGAAGCAACGCTGATGGCACGACACCAGAATTCTGTGATAGAAACTGCCAAAGGTGGTGTTGAACACCATAGTTATCTAAAGGAAATTCCTTAAAATTACAATTACCGTTTGGCTTTTTCACCAACAATAAAAACATGGATCGAAAGTTAACATAACTAATCCCATACCCTGATTTGAGAATGTGTTTTTCTGTGTATTTCTTCACTCTTTGCATCAGATGCATCACAAACCACTGTGTTGATGGAGCCTCTTTGCCTTAAAGCAAATTCTGTGATGTTACACATCTGCTCTTAAAAGATGTTGTCAAGATGAGGTTATTTTTGAAATTGCTATTTTAATCTACAGAAATGCCCTTTTTGTTACATTTTTATGCATTTAGTAGGGATCTGGTGGCTCTCACTCATGTGTTTTGTGCTCTTGTTCTTGGCAAAGACAGATTGATTAAAATGGTGCACTATTTGAACGTTGAGCTTTAATTGTCGTCTTCAAAAAAGCATTGCCTTCTGCACTGGTTCAATATTTCCATTTGAAATGAACCTTAAATATTGCCCAACAACAAGTTTGTTATCCTGTTCTTCACTTGTTTATATTTGCTCTTTTATACTTTTAGGATGATGCACATAAAAGTGGCACTGAACTGGGAACGGTCTTTCATTTCTCATACTTTACAAGAAAAACGGACAATTCACCCATCAGCCTAAATGCTCAGCAGTAATGTATTTAGCTCTTAAGACTTTTGTATGTACGTTGATTTGTAAGTTTATTGTTTCCAATAAATTACATAAATAATGCTTGTTATTGTTGTTAATAATTATAGTCCGTAATATTGTACCCAACTTTATTGAACTTGTACACATACAAAACCGGCCTCGTGCGGTCACGTGGGTGTGCGTCACAGGTCGCAGTTGAAAGTCAGACTGCAGTATGGCGGCGCAGATCGCACGGACAGCTCCATGGAGGGCTTTGCTGCGGGCTTTCCCCGGGCCTGCAGCGAGGCCAAGGGGGGTATGCAGCCTCGGGACGCTGGGCTTCAGCCCCGGGCCCTGTGCACCGGGAATGCCCGCGTCAGCTCCAGCAAACAGAGCCGCGAAAAGACACTACAGCTCCGACCCAAAAGAAGACCTCCGCGTCCGGTACCTGGACGGAGAAGACGCCGGTAAATAGTTCACCTCCATCTCAGTTTAGAGCTGCACACGGACCGCAGTGTCCGGAGGGTCTGCAGGCTCAGAGGACACGCATCATCTTTGCCTCTGTATTCTAATCACGTAGACGAATAGTAAACCATAACATGGTTCTTCACTCCTTATGTAACTTTTTAGCCAAGAATACTATCATCTGCATACAGACACAGACGCAGGTTATCATTTGCTTTTAACTGTGGATGGTTTTACACCGGATAAAAAGTATAAAACATACATTCTGAGTACAATGGCAGGCTTGCATCCCCTCAAACCTGACTCATCTTCAGCAGGATGAATACACTTTAACTCCCAACCTCATGAGCTGTTTTCCAAAGTATGGTTCTATCACCATGGGAACGGGGAATCTGGGAAATGAATGAGTTTACAAACTCTTGAGGGTCTTGTGGTAGAACCATGAGTCTATAAAACCATAGATCTATAGGGTTACACACACAATCAATCAATCAACTCATATGTGTCGAGTGCCTTTCCTACACAGGGCAACACAAGGCGCTTCAGCCCACATCACACAAGGCACAAATCATCACATAAGACGAACACCAAGTCACCATTAAAAACACACAAAATAGAAATGAAGTCCTTCAGTTGTATGCACAGGCAAACAGAACTGTCTTTAACCTAGCTTTGAACATTTTCAGAGTAGACACTCTCACCCACCTGGTGTGAGCCAATTTAGCGGAATTACTCCCGGAAAATTATAAACTATTGCTTAATTAGAACTTGGTAATGGTATCTTGCTTCCTCCATGTCAAATCAAAGAACTATAACTTTAACATTTACAGATGTCATTTTATTTTGTGTTAGTAGCAAGATCAAATTTCAAGGTTCATTGTTTAAATGGTTTATGCTCATTATCTCAAGATTATTGCGATAATTCCAGTTGAATAAAATGTAGGCTGCATAAACTTTTCTCCAATTAAATGAACAATTTATCAAATGTTTCTTTAATATTTTGTCTTTCAGGCATTGTTGTTGTGGGATTAAACAGACCCAAAGCCAAAAATGCCATAAGCAAAAATCTTGTTAAAATGGTTAGTTATCGCACACTGGCTCTCTTCTCTTGACTAGAGTTACTTGATCTGTTTGTGATTTTTAGATGTATGATGCTGTGGACGATATAAAGAAAAACAACAAAGTGCGAAGTGTGATATTGTGTAGTGTTGTTCCTGGTATTTTTTGCGCGGGTAAGTTGTTTTTGACACGTGTTTCCACTTGCAAAAGGATTATAACTCCTCTTTGCGTTATGTAGGCGCAGATTTAAAGGAAAGGGCGAAGATGCACCAAAGTGAAGTGGGACCATTTGTGTCAAAAGCCAGAGGACTCATCACAGAACTGGGTAACTACTAGACTACTTGCTCTAATCCTCATTTGTTTCTACTATTACCAAAAGGAGACATTGACTATAGTTATTGTTACAGGTAACTTGCCAATGCCAATTATTGCTGCTATCGATGGTGCTGCTTTAGGCGGAGGTCTAGAAATGGCTCTGGCTTGTGACATCAGAATTGCTGGTATGGTAAATTATTATGCCTCTAAAATGTCTGCCTGAATACTGATACTATTACAAATGGAAAGTCTTTCATTTGGGTTGTTCTGTGTCATGTCAAACCTGAATTTAAATAAAAGCAATGTATTGATTATATGTCTGTGTTAATCAGCCTCATCTGCCAAAATGGGACTGGTTGAAACCAAACTGGCAATTATCCCAGGAGCTGGTGAGACGTTATAATACAAGACACTTTTTAGGTGGCTTCAATGTCAAAATGATGTGTGTGTCTGGTGCAGGAGGTACGCAGCGTCTTCCGCGGGCTATTAGTGTTTCTCTAGCCAAGGAGCTCATTTTTGCAGCAAAGGTTATAGATGGAGATGAGGCCTATCGGCTGGGGCTGGTCAACCACGCTGTGGAGCAGAACGAAAGTGGAGATGCAGCATATCATCGAGCGTTGCAACTCGCCAGAGAGATCAACCCTCAGGTACACCATCTGTAGCATGAGCTCAGAAAAGGAGCTCAGAAATCTGGGAGTAGATTAATGTTCTGAAATGTGTCCTCAGGGTCCCATTGCAGTAAGGATGGCTAAACTGGCAATCAATCAAGGCACAGAGGTATGTGACGGAGCTGGAGCATGATTATCGGTCTACCTAGATATTTACTATTGCTCTGTTTTAGGTTGATTTGTCGACTGGACTGGCAATAGAAGAGGCGTGCTATTCCCAGGTAGATTCATCTGCTGGATTTAATTTAAATAACATATACTGTAATCCAAACAACCTGTGACTTGTTCCTTGATTCAAGGTGATCCCGACTAAAGACCGACTGGAGGGTCTGGCTGCCTTCAGAGAGAAGCGGCGCCCTCACTTTAAAGGGGAGTGAGGTTCTGCTCATAATCTGCTCACCTGCACATGCCGTGGACCTATGCTCCAAGGTGACGATAACAGGTACACCAACCAGGCCAAGTCAACAGAAACCAGGACTCTGGGTATGTTGTGGGGTCCAGTAAATCTTCAAAGACTGGTGGATAAAACTAATGATTCATGCTGGAAGCTACTAATAAAACTGTACACTTAGTCCAGCTGAACCCTGTGTAGTGTCTATAGCCTGCATCTCTAGAAGCCAGACCTTTCATTGGTTTTAGTTTGACAGAATACCAAAACTAGTCTCTCCATGGATCCGATATTCATCAACTTAAAATCTATAATAGTTGATAATGCAACATCAACAAGCTTCCATTGTCACGAAATGTGTTTTTTTTCTTACATATTTCCAATTAAAGACTTACTAAATGTAAGCACTTGTGCCTTTAGCACTCATTTCATTGTTTAAGCAGTTTCAGTCCATTTTAAATGTTATATCAGGATTTGCTGTTTGTCTGATGTTCTGAATGATGTTTATACAACACTAAATGAATTATCCAAGCTGCTTGTTCACTTGGACACTGTAACACTTATAAAATTCATTTTTGATCTGAAATACTAAACAGGCATGAGAAGCATCCTTTGTCCATATCAGTGACCCTCCATAATAACATTTACAGTGCCTCTCGACAGTAACGGACAACCGTGAAAGCAAAGCAAAATGATGCATGTTTTTATTTTCAAAAAATTAACTGTTGCTCTTGTTTTAGCCTGAAATAAATCCCAAATGAATTAGAAATATTAAGAACACAAAAGTGAGATTTGCGCAAGTATAATCTGAATGTGTACATCTCACCATAATGATTAAATGGAGCCTGTATATTTACTCTCTTGTGCAAGCCCTACTCTTTGTTATTTAAAAATAAAACAATCATGCACCATGTTGCTTACACTGTGTCTGTTACTTGTGTGTAAATACTCATTTGGAAAAAAAAATCTAAAATCTCTTATGGTTGTACCCTTGACAAAATGCACAAACTATCAAGGTGTGTCAGTCCTTTCGAGAGGCACTGTGGTTGTAATAAATCTCTGGTCCGTCATTTACTGGAGCTGTTCACCTTCCCCCATCTCAAATGTGAAAATACTGGCTTGAGTCGATTCTATTGTAATATGTAAGTTAATCTCAAATGCATCATTTGAAACGGAACCATGTGTCTGCGTGTTAACGTCTGTCAGAGTAAGAAATAAAACACTGACTCCAAGATCTTATAAAACTGACTGGATTATTGCACATTAATGCTGAGTTTTAGTTTAACTTTCAAATACAAACTTATGGAACTGGGCTTGTTCACACTAAAGGGCACAAAAGTGTGACAAAAGGCCAAAAATTAGATTTTAATAATCAGAAGATATTTTATGTTTTTCATGTTTCCAAGCACATCCTCTGTTCATTAGAAGTTGCTAGAACATAACTGTTTTATACATTAGACAAGTTTCCTATAGCAGCCCTGTTTATTTTATCTAACGGACGTGATGATTTGACGGAATGAGCTTTGCGGAAGTTTGATAGGTATTTTCAGATGTCCACAATTGATTCAGAGATTCTATTTTTTTACACAGAGTAGAAACAAAGTGATACTTTCATTTAGTCAAGCAATTAAATGTGAAACCAGACAAGATTTTTTTCTTTCTCAAGTTTAAATTTTAGAGAAAAGAGGACGGAAACAATCACGTCAGTTATACATTTTTCAAGGGTCATTTAATTAATTAATTATTTTTTATTTTTTAACGATTCCTTTTCATATCAAGTGATTTCCTGATGTTGTGTTAACCATAATAATCTTGTGGGATTTCATCTGCCGCTTTTTCAGACTGAGGACATTTTATTTTCTATGTAACCGGCGTCACAGTAGAATGGTCAAAAAAGAGGCTGATTTTGTCGTTTAAAATGTCACCAAAAATATATTTGACAATCTTTCCTTTTGATTTTATCCACACTATCTCTTTGATGTGTCTGTGTTTGAAATCTTTTTTCCAATCTATGATAGTAATTTTAGTTTTTAAGTTATAACCTTTTAAAGTCGAGATACTTCAATTGACACTTAACTGTGAACACACTCAACTATGAAATCAAATCCAGCTAACCAGTCTCAAAACCGTTTTCACATGCATCTTTGGACTCGCACATGTTTGGACATCTTTAGATCAGCTTTTTTCATAAAAGATTATTCATGTGCATCTATGTAATGGATTGTACTCAAGATTGTCTCCTAGTTTAGCGATCTCAAGTGCTGCAGATATGACATAAGAAAAGGTACGTCTCTTAGCAGCCACACATCAAATAAGGGCCAAAGCTCGTCTCATTTTCTGCAGATTTGGATGACAATTTACTACATTTCATATTTTAGAATGATTAATCTGCAGTAGAAAATGTATGTATCAGCCTGGCCCATCTTTAAGCTACCACCAAAGGGAGGTACAGAATTGTCTTTTCTTGTACAAATTTGAAAAACACAATACGATACGGTTAGGGGTACAACGGTTTGAAAAAATCACGGTTCGGTTCGTACCTCGGTTCAGAGGCCACGGTTCGGTTCATTTTTCGGTTCATTTTTCTAAAAAAAAGTTTTGTCTTTTTAATAAACACAGCTCATGTGGACTCGGCTTCTGCTCTGACTGCCCCCCCTGACCTAGAAATGAATTAAGGGGAAGGAAATGGATGGATGGATGGAAGGCATATTCCATCTATTCAATTATGTCTATTTAACATAATTAATGAAAAACAACACAAAGTGCAACATAAGAAGGCACTTTATGAGGATATTTACCCTCATATATTACACCACCTGATTCTCCCGAGGAGGGGGTCCATTCTGGGCCCAGCCTCATTCACTGCATTTATTTAATTTTTGGCATTATCAGTTGTGACTGGGATATTAGTACTGGGCCTTTGTCTTCCATTCCTCCGCTGCTTGTGTCAGTACCTGCGCTGTGTGCCTGTGTGACTGTCGTAGAGGGGGCGTGTCTGCAACGCCAGACTTTTCATCTCCCAGTCTGCGGTGATGAAGTGAGCGGTTCCGCTCATGGATCTATTATAGGTTCCGCGGGACGTCCAAGCGTCAGTCGTGAGCGCAGCTGAGGATGCGCGGGAGAGCTAACTTTAGCCCGGTCTGACTGTGCGTAAAGGAGCTGCTTAAATGCCGCGACAATAGGTGGTCGTTGAGACGCTTTTTTCACTCATGTCTTTCTTGTGCCACAGTGCTTACACATCGTGACAGTTTTGTCGAATATTAATTATCAGTGTAGTTACAGTGAAGCCAAAATGCTCTCATACTGGGGATTTAAATGACGTGGGGCTTTCAAGCATCTCCGTTCCTCCGCTCGCAATGACCGCGCTGTGTGTGGACTGAACAACGTGCGCACAACTTTTTTTTCATAAATCAAACCGCGGATCAGGTCTGTACCGAACCGAAGACGTTGAACCGAACGGATCACGGATCAGTGATGCACCGTTGCACCTCTAGATACGGTCCATAGTTAAAAGAAAATATCCAATACGCACAGTATACAGTGCCTTGCAAGTATTCAGCCCCCTTGAACCTTTCAACATTTCGCCACATTTCAGTCTTCAAACATAAAGACCGCGGTGAAGTTGGTTTCACGTTGGACGTTGGATATTCGCCTCCAGCACTAAGATCGTTCGAACTTAGGGACCGTCTATGAATTACTGTCTGTGTAAAAAATGTAGTTTAGGTGTAAATCAATAATATGATACAAATAAACAATTTTAATGAAAAGAGATAGAAAATACACCTAAAGATTACATTTAGTCTACCACATTTAATATTTTATTGTATTTCATGGTTTTTTCAAAGACTTTTGATGGAAAAGTATGGGTTTTTCCTCAATAGCTTTTAGGGCATTTGACCCATTTACTCCAAACCACTTTTAAATAATAGTACTACCTGAGGGCTATGGGGCTCAGCCCTTGAAATTGTTCTTAAAAGCTTTTAACATTTTTAAATGATTTATTTGGTTAAAAATACCAGTTTTTCTTCAATAGCTTTTAGGGCATTTGACCCATTTACTCCAAACCACTTTTAAATAATAGTAATAAATGAGGGCTATTGGGCTCAGCCCTTGAAATTGTTCTTAAAAGCTTTTAACATTTTTAAATTATTTTTTTGGTTAAAAATACCTGTTTTTCTTCAATAGCTTTTAGGGCATTTGTCCCATTTACTCCAAACCACTTTTGAATAATAGTACTACCTGAGGGCTATGGGGCTCAGCCCTTGAAATTGTTCTTAAAAGCTTTTAACATTTTTAAATGATTTATTTGGTTAAAAATACCAGTTTTTCTTCAATAGCTTTTAGGGCATTTGACCCATTTACTCCAAACCACTTTTAAATAATAGTACTACCTGAGGGCTATGGGGCTCAGCCCTTGAAATTGTTCTTAAAAGCTTTTAACATATTTAAATGATTTATTTGGTTAAAAATACCAGTTTTTCTTCAATAGCTTTTAGGGCATTTGACCCATTTACTCCAAACCACTTTTAAATAATAGTACTACCTGAGGGCTATGGGGCTCAGCCCTTGAAATTGTTCTTAAAAGCTTTTAACATTTTTAAATGATTTATTTGGTTAAAAATACCAGTTTTTCTTCAATAGCTTTTAGGGCATTTGACCCATTTACTCCAAACCACTTTTAAATAATAGTAATAAATGAGGGCTATTGGGCTCAGCCCTTGAAATTGTTCTTAAAAGCTTTTAAAATTTTTAAATGATTTTTTTGGTTAAAAATACCTGTTTTTCTTCAATAGCTTTTAGGGCATTTGACCCATTTACTCCAAACCACTTTTAAATAATAGTACTACCTGAGGGCTATGGGGCTCAGCCCTTGAAATTGTTCTTAAAAGCTTTTAACATTTTTAAATGATTTATTTGGTTAAAAATACCAGTTTTTCTTCAACCGCTTTTAGGGTATTTGACCCATTTACTCCAAACCACTTTTAAATAATAGTACTACCTGAGGGCTATGGGGCTCAACCCTTGAAATTGTTCTTAAAAGCTTTTAACATTTTTAAATGATTTATTTGGTTAAAAATACCAGTTTTTCTTCAATAGCTTTTAGGGCATTTGACCCATTTACTCCAAACCACTTTTAAATAATAGTACTACCTGAGGGCTATGGGGCTCAGCCCTTGAAATTGTTCTTAAAAGCTTTTAACATTTTTAAATGATTTATTTGGTTAAAAATACCAGTTTTTCTTCAATAGCTTTTAGGGCATTTGACCCATTTACTCCAAACCACTTTTAAATAATAGTAATAAATGAGGGCTATTGGGCTCAGCCCTTGAAATTGTTCTTAAAAGCTTTTAACATTTTTAAATGATTTATTTGGTTAAAAATACCAGTTTTTCTTCAATAGCTTTTAGGGCATTTGACCCATTTACTCCAAACCACTTTTAAATAATAGTACTACCTGAGGGCTATGGGGCTCAGCCCTTGAAATTGTTCTTAAAAGCTTTTAACATATTTAAATGATTTATTTGGTTAAAAATACCAGTTTTTCTTCAATAGCTTTTAGGGCATTTGACCCATTTACTCCAAACCACTTTTAAATAATAGTACTACCTGAGGGCTATGGGGCTCAGCCCTTGAAATTGTTCTTAAAAGCTTTTAACATTTTTAAATGATTTATTTGGTTAAAAATACCAGTTTTTCTTCAATAGCTTTTAGGGCATTTGACCCATTTACTCCAAACCACTTTTAAATAATAGTAATAAATGAGGGCTATTGGGCTCAGCCCTTGAAATTGTTCTTAAAAGCTTTTAAAATTTTTAAATGATTTTTTTGGTTAAAAATACCAGTTTTTCTTCAATAGCTTTTAGGGCATTTGACCCATTTACTCCAAACCACTTTTAAATAATAGTAATAAATGAGGGCTATGGGGCTCAGCCCTTGAAATTATGTTTAAAAACTCTAAAAATCGGTTGACAGCTCTGCCTACCTCCCCGAGTGTCTGAGACACCCGGTCGAAGGTCAGATTATATAATGGCAAAGTCAATCATCGACCTCCGGCCTAGGGTGTCCTGGTGCCACCTGCACTGGTGGACACCCTTGTGCTGGAACATGGTGTTTGTGATGGACAAACCGTGACTGGCACAGAAGTCCAACAACTGAACACCGCTCTGGGTGAGATGAGGGGGGCCGTTCTTCCCGATCACCCCTCTCCAAGTGTCACTGCCATTTCCCACATTGGCGTTGAGGGACAGGGACTCCAAGAAGGCCAGGTACCTTGCACTGCCGTTAATCACAACAGTGAGAGACTTGTCCCCCACCAGTAAGCAGGGAGGGACGCGACCCTCTCATTCACCGGGGAGAACTCCAACACATGGCGGCTGAGATGGGGGGCCAAACAATAGACCAAATGGAAAATTATTCTTCATGATGTCTGTTTTTCAGTTTGTATAATTATGTTGTGACTGAATGATCTCTTCATCAGACAGCTGAGTAGCCCCTTTTGAAAAATCTTTGAATGGGAGTAAATAATATATAAACCGTATCTCAGGAAGTTGGTCGCTCTGAGCTCTGTTATCTTCTCGAAGTCACTCTTGCATGACCGGCTGTCTGTCTCATCCACTTCATTTATACCTTTTCTCTCTTTTTCATTTCTACTTTTCATGTCAACACTTTTCCCTTTTCCTTTTGCTCTTTTAATGTTCATTTAAACCTGTGGCTCGTTGATGTTGGAAGCCGGTGAGTACACTGCTGACCTGTGTGTGACGTGTGGCCGCTTCCCAAACACACCAATGCGTCACTATTGAAACATGTTTACTCACTTCATATGTGTACGTGTCATACTTTGATGCTGCTTTTAACATTATTTATCGTGGCATTTTCACATAACCTGGTTGCTTTGATGTCCGCAGTATGATACAGAGGAGATGAGTGCATACATACTAACATGCTTTCACTTTCTACCTTCCCTCTTCCTCTCCTGAAGTCTTGCATGTGAAGTAAGTGGGCTCCATGTTTGTGTTTGTGTGTTTGGCTTGTGGCGTGCGTTCTTGTGCCGTTACGTCTGAACTTTGTCATGACAACACTTTCAGATAAACCCTGTTAATACCCTGCACCTGTCTCATCTTCTCCAACCTGAATATAAAGTGTATTTCTGCATTCGACAAACTGTCCAGTGACCACTAACAATAATCACATTACAAGTCGACTTTAGAATCAAAATGAGGCAAAAGAACAGAGCAGTTAAGTGCCTCTACGCCTAAAAAAACAACCTATTACAAATTTTATTTTCTATTTTCTATTTTCACTTCATGGTAAAATGATTTGTCCTCAACTGTCCTGGCAGTGACAAGTTTGTTTTTTACATTTTACACGCATTCCCCCATTATAGAAGACATTTGTGTTTTGTTTTGTTTTTAACAATGAGAAGACTTCCCTCTCCACAGATTAAGAAATGATAAAATACACTTTTTTGATCTCACAATAGAGAAAGTTACATGTCATATTTGGCAAAAATAGTATGACTCAGGGTGGACAAAAAGACAGGAAGTGTGCAAACAAGTTAAAAGGTTAAAAAAGAGACAACATATGTCTCTTTTGTGTAAGATATATTAGAATGATAAGTGACTATAGCAGATTACCATTTATACGTCATTAAACTTTCCTTTTACATCTGAAACAAGCACAAACTTCAAATTGAATGTCTAAAAAACGCTATATAAAACCAATGCATTGTTGTTATGAATACAAAGATCCCAGAGGTCTTCCATCACAGTATTGACCACACTCTGTCCTGCTTAGTTTCAGAGGTCTGAGGGGTTCTGGCTTTCACGTGTAGGCAAAACTACAACATATAGATGAACCCAAGGAAAAAAGCCTCCCGCCGTCAGCACAGTTTAGAAATGCATTTTATGGCACTTTTTGTGAAGCAACTGCTCCGTGGTTAGTAGATAGTTAGTCTCCTTCATCATCTATCGTGGACAATTACAAGCTTGAACCTATATAACAACTATATTGCTTGTAGAAAATGCGGACCTAAAAGTAACACATAGTTTGATAAAAGGGGACAATAAAGATTCTGAGCAGGTGAAGCACAAATAAAGATGTGCTTATATCTTCCACATCGTTTATAACCATTTTACAAGTTACAGTGTCACAGTTTTATGTCGACAGTGGACTGAACTCTTTTCTCTGTTGGTTTCCGCAGATCATCCAAAAGCCCACGCATGATCTGAAGCAGCAACTGTCCAACTACTCAAAGAAAGTGGCAAACTCCGTCACAGAGCTCATCCAGGCGGCCGAGGCTATGAAAGGTGACATCACACAAATATATAACGAGCCGTTTAACTGTAAATATTCCTCATGGTCGGTGTGACTGCTCGTATCATATCAAACCCTCAGGTTTAGTAGTTTGATGTAACACACAATATGGAAGGATTAGCTGGCGTGTAGACTCGGGCTTCAGTACATCATACCTGAGGAGATTCAAAACCCAATCAAGTGTCAAATGGAGGCAGGAGATTCCCCATCACCCCAGAGTCCTGCTCAGTTTCGAGACATTATGTGCAACTGAACCCTGCAAGACCACAGTCTCGGGCTATTATGTCATCCTGTCAATCGTCAGGTCTATGTTGGGACACTGTAACATTATATTCCTTTTTAACCGAGCTTTCTACATCATTCACAATTGTGTTCTCTTCATATTCATTACATTTAGAATGTGACATGATTTATTCTGCTGCTTATGCTAAAGAATAGCGGTTTTTTCTTTAACTGCATTAACATTAATAGAAGCAGATATTTAGTTATTTTATTCGTTTATTTGACAGGGACATTGTGCATTGATGAAGATTTCTGAAATGCACCAGAATAAGCTATTTTTCATCTGCAGTCCCTGGACAGGTGTACATACTCTCCCTCTAGGATCTCAATGTTTTGCCTGATTTTCTTGCATCCAGGCACTGAGTGGGTGGATCCAGAGGATCCTACTGTTATTGCAGAGAACGAGCTGCTGGGAGCAGCCGCAGCCATTGAAGCCGCTGCCAAGAAACTGGAGCAGCTGAGGCCACGGACCAAACCCAAGGTCAGAGAGATTTTTCCAGAGCAGAAGTCTCCGCAGTGAGCTGCTTAACCTCAGAACAGGGTCAAGTGTGTGGGGCATACCCCCCACGCTTCACATTAATAAACTGTACCTGTCTTTACTCTGTTAGCACTCCCCCTGAGCATGTTTGAAATGTTTCACCTGACGTGTCTCTCTTCACACTCAGGAAGCAGATGAGAGCTTGAACTTTGAGGAGCAGATTCTTGAAGCAGCTAAGTCTATCGCAGCTGCCACCAGTGCACTGGTCAAAGCTGCCTCAGCGGCACAGAGGGAGCTGGTTGCACAAGGAAAGGTATGTCTTAATCACTTCACACTATGATGCCATGCTAAAAACTCTTGTTTCACTGCTCTTAAATATCATTCTTTTCCATAATCAATGTATCGTTATAAATTTAGGCAGCACATTTTAAATTCCCGGATGTATCAGTCATGTGTCCAGATAATATGCCCCACAAGCATGAATTCAATTATTCACTTTATCTAAATTAACATATTTACCACTCTTTTTTTTCTTCTCCATATTTAAAAACTACAGATAATAGTCAGTGTATCTGTAACCTGTGTTTGTAGGTGGGAGCGATTCCAGCCAATGCAGTGGACGATGGACAGTGGTCACAAGGACTTATTTCAGCTGTGAGTCACTTATTGATCAAGATCAAATGTGAAATGTGAATGAACAGAAAAGCTTAAGTTTGGTTAATTTCAGGCACGTATGGTTGCTGCAGCAACAAACAATCTGTGTGAGGCGGCTAACTCTGCGGTGCAAGGCCACGCCAGTGAGGAGAAGCTCATCTCCTCTGCCAAGCAGGTGGCGGCCTCCACAGCCCAGCTCCTGGTGGCCTGTAAGGTCAAAGCGGACCAGGACTCCCAGACCATGAAGAGGCTACAGGTCAGTATTGTACCAACACTGGAGTTTTGGAGGCTACTGTGCACCCAAACATATACTTTCCCCATTGCTGTTGACTTTGCATCATTGATTATCCCGAAATATAGACATAATTAAATCAGTGAAGAATCAAAACTGCCTATTTGCTTCCTTTTGGAAACCACAGCACATAATATTTATGTTTTGTTATTTTTGACAAGTGTTAAGGCGTTAAGGTCATCCTTGTCGTACTAACCCTCTAATCTAGATTCAAACTGATATTTAATACAACAAATGCATTCTGACAAGTATGATGCTCATGTAATGATACAGTGCACGACCACAATGTGCTGACGAAACAAGAACCTAAGTCCCTGTGAAAAGTTGGTTTGTATGTTTTGTTTAGCACTAACGTTATTGACTATGAAGTTATTTACAGCCAATCGTTAAATTCAGTTTACTGCCATTTATTTTATAGTGTTGGCCCATCAGAATATTCACATTGCCTAGTAAACTGGTTCACAAATGAGGATTTATCAGAGTCTCATTATTTCCTTTAATTGTGCTTCTTCATTACAGACTATGTGAGTTATGTGCTTCATTATATTCAATGCAGTCGGTCACAAGTCAAGACACAACAGAATGAAAAAAACGTCCCAAAACAACTATATTAAATGACTGTTGTATTTTGGTGGCGAACACATCAGTGTGTTTTGCCCAGCTCATATTCACTGGTCCAATCAGCAGTGGCTTATCTCCTCCTCTTCTGGGCTCGCAGCTGCCACCACAGTAATTCCCATACATTTATGTCTATGAGCCCTCTGGAAACAATCCACCAATCAGACCATGGCACCTTGAGCTGGAAACATTAGCCTTGATCTATGATTACTTTCAGCAGCAGCATTTGCTCTCTTCACTCTTTGCTGTGGTGCTGTAAAAGCTACAATTATCCAGTGTGCTTCGTTCCATTTGAACCAACAAAAGTCCATACAATAGGTCTTCAGTCCAGTCATGACAGCAACTAAAGAACCATTCCAATTGTGTTTATGCTTTTCCCTTTGCTCAGACATCTTCGCTTTTTTTAATACAGAGAATGTTGATAAATCTAATAAGAGAAGTGGTGACATTCCAGACAAAGACGAGACAGCAGCCAACATGTTCTCAGTCTGTCTGACCAGGACACTGTGAGCTCCGAGCCGCAAAAGGAGAAAATGAACCTCCTTGTTGCAGCGTAGCGGGCCAATGGCATAAATGTTTGGCTTTGAGCGTCGGCCCCGCTGACAGCTCTTGCCTTTTACAGATAATCTCCAGCACAGTTGAAAAAAATGCCGGAGTAGTATTGTAAACATTTCCTTTCCGGGGTCTGTTGTTGCTGCCTCTGCAAGAACATTTTTTCCCTATTTGATAATTCTCTTTGATATGTGCTGCTTGGTTTGGTGGTTTTCTCTTAAAATGCATCAAATCTTCTTCTTTTCTAGGCTGCCGGAAACGCTGTAAAGAGGGCGTCGGATAACTTAGTGAAGGCTGCACAGAAGGCGGCTTTCGAGGCTGAGGATGACCAGGCTGTGGTGGTCAAGAGCAAGATGGTTGGAGGCATAGCTCAGGTCCGTGCTCTCAACGACACAACATTGAAGATTGTACTGATACACATAATACTGCATTAATATTATTGTTTTTTTTCTGCAGATCATCGCTGCTCAGGAGGAAATGTTAAGGAAAGAAAGGGAGTTGATTGAAGCCAGAAAGAAGCTGGCAGCGATCAGACAACAGCAGTACAAGTTCCTCCCCTCTGAGTTGCGAGAGGATGGCGAGGAACAGTGAGAAAGAGTTGTGTTCTTACTATAGACTCCTGCTACAAGTCACAATAACAGGTGGTGAATAGAGCTGATACAATAATACAAGTCTAAGCCTAGCATTATTCATTCAAAGTGTCTGTGATTGTGAATATATTTTTGTAAAAACTTTCACATGATTTGCTTTAGTATTTTACTTTTTCTATATTTTTTCTCTCTCTCTCTCTCTTTGTGTAAATGTTTTGCGTTCCTCAATCTGCGCTTTAAGGTTTTATGCAAATGAACTATGCACCACAAAAGAAAGTATTATTTTTTAAAACCGTTGCTTGTGGACTCAGAGAAATGATATTCCGATTGCATACTGTTATAAAGGTTAAAGTAAATTTCTTTGTTTGTCTAGATTAGCAATATCTATGCAATTTTAACATCAGATTGGAAAGTATTTTTTTAAAGACTTATAAAAATGTAAAAAGAGGTTTCTATATTATAGCAGACTGAGCATCTTGCTTTTAGTAGAATAAGCTCTAGAATGAATATAATGTTGTCCCTACACAAACCACAAAGCCATATATTTAACTAAACTTCTATTGACTGTATTTGTTTCATCAGTGTTTCATTTGCTGTAAAATATTACAGTTCCAAACTAATGTATTTGACTGTGCATGGTCGATGTGTTGCCTAAACTCTGACCTCAAGACCAAAACTCACTTTTTTCTATCAGAACAAATGAGACACATGACGGAATGTGTAAGAAGCAGCACCACATCACATATCTAAGATTTCTGTAGAATAAAGACAATCTTCAAAAAGTCCTGTGTCCTATGTTTCTATTTACTTGTATAATGTAATTGTATAAACTTGTCACAGACGTTCATGTTGTGCAAAAAGAAAAGATCTCATCTTGGTCACTTCATATTGTTGGAGGTGGATGGTCTTTATTTATCCGCGGAGGCAGACGTCCCACAGAGGCTGAACTGTAATCGCTGACTAAATAAGGGCAGTGCCGTGTGAGGATGGGCGCTACACGCTCAGAGCTCCTCCAGTTGGTGTCAGAAGAGCCCGGACACTGCCTCTCCTCCGCTCACAGAGACCACCGCTTCACTTTCTCCTGTCGGGAATCACAGCATCTGAGCAAACATGGAGGCCATCAAGAAGAAAATGCAGATGCTGAAGCTGGACAAGGAGAACGCCATAGACAGAGCCGAACAAGCGGAGGTGGACAAGAAGGGGGCCGAGGACAAGTGCAAACAGGTGGGGTCTGGGCGCGACTCACCTGGGGCCAAAACTCTTATCTCTCTGTATCTGTACCTCTTATCTCCTGTTTAGACTTCATGCAGCTACATTTCATGCCGTTTCCTTTTACATGTCGGACGTATGTTTATAACGTATAAATCATTTGGGAAGTAGATTTGGATTTATTTTTTTTCAAATTTAATATAAGTTTATCATTTGTATTTTAAACACGAAAAAGTATATCCCTCGGACATAATGTGCCAATAATGTGCCTTCTTTTTATTGCATTTGCAATGTGTGAATAATCTCTATTAATAGACCGCACATGTAAATGCATCTGCTCACATAGCTTTTGTTCCCAGTGGATGGTGAGCTCTCACATAGCTTTTACAATGCATCCCCAATTGCTTTGGGATCATCTTATACCAACTGGTCTATTTCTGTGGTCCCACTAAGACCCCCACCTTCTTTGAATTGTTGCTCTGCACAAAGAGAACACAGAGTTTGGTTGCTGCCACTATGTCACAGTGGGATCAGAACTGTCAAGTCTATTTGAGACTGAGCCTTACATGGCAGAGACACTGAGGGGAAAACATTTGTCCAAGAGACATTTAAAACATCGTCTGGGATTAAGATCAAACTCCAATACATTGGAGGCGAAATGAAAATACAATGATGAATAATAACAAAGAAACGAGGCATTCATTCTTTCTCATTCTTTTGGATTTTGTGTTGTGACTGAAGCCTGTTGTTGGCTACAAGATTCAAAATAGGCGCACAACTTTTTAGGAAACTGTATGAAATGTAACTTGTCTCCCAGTCTGAGCTAAAGGGCAGATGTGTACGTATCTGTAAATGTGTGTGCCTTTTACTCTTTACACAAAACTCAAGTGTTTGTCCTTGTGTGCTTCAGCTGGAAGAGGAGCTGCTGGGTTTACAGAAGAAGCTGAAGGGAGTGGAGGATGAGCTGGACAAATACTCAGAGTCTCTGAAGGATGCTCAGGAAAAGCTGGAGCAAGCCGAGAAAAAAGCTACAGACGTGAGTGAGGGAGTTAAACTGTTACCACAAAATCTTTATATGGCTCTAAATGTTGTATTTTGCACCTGAAATGTTGGATGTTTTGGTTTACTTTTAGACCTTGACAACACAATATACTCTAACATGACTCACTACAGTGTAAATAAGATTGTGGGGAGAGAGATATGTGGTAAACTAGAACACAGACTGCCTCTGGTAAATGGCCTGGAGGAGAGACTCAATTATGGCCTAAAAAGGCATTGGGACAACCCAGTACCAAGATATGCTTCCAAAGAAGGAAAAGTCGTTTCTGGGACTTTGTTTACATCACTTTTTCCCTTAAAATGTTCGCTGGATGACAGATGACCGCACGGTGGCTTCATGTTGTAGGCCTTTCTGTGTAAGCTGCTGATTAGACTGTTTGGTCACATTTGATGGATAGCATTGGCGTCACTGAGGTAAACAAATAGATCACATATAAAATGCTTGTTCTTATAAAGTTGTCAGCAGGCAGAGAGCGACAGGAAAGCCTTTGGAGGTGTTCAGTGTGACATCACATCTGGGGTCAAAGCTGTAACCATATAGCAGCTCATTTGTTGCTTTGTTAGAGATTAAATCAGATCAATCTTGTATAGCCCTAAAATCACAGCAGTAGTCTCGCGGGACTTAACCAAACTTTTTAATTTGCCATCACAGATCAGAGAATCAAACAGTTCAAACACAAGACATGCAATTATATAAGATTAACCAAGCAATGTGACATTGAATTTATATAGACAGGTATGTATTCCAATGTGGTTTTTATACTGCACATGGAAAATAAAAAATGAATCTGAATCTGGTGTTGAAGAACAATGTTACGGCTATTTTGTTTAACTAACACCAACAACGTCTATGAAAACAGTTATATTCACGATACAAAATAAATAATTGAGCAGACCGTCTCTTTGTTTACTATTCCAACAAAATATATTACACATACATTTTTCCACGAGTATGTTCCTCACATACAAAAAAACACCACGCAACACTTATCCGCGATTTTATTCTGAAACCGGAAAGGGTCCCGTTGTCATAGTAACTCAGCGACACATCTTCAGCGGAGCCGGGCCGCGGTGAGCTTCATACAAAGTCCTCTTCTTCCTGATGGCGGCCTTCAAGTCCGTAGACTCTGTGCGCAGGAAAATCATGTCACTTCAACAAGTGGCGTACGACGCGGAGGACCAGGCCGAGTACGTGCAGAGAGAAGCGGAACATGAGAGACAGGCCAGAGAGACGGTACGGCCAAAAGGAAACCAGATCACTGTAGGACCAACCAGCCTGCTTCCTAGAAAACTGATTGTCTGATTTTAATTATAAAGTCATTCAAAGTTGAATGATCTGTCATGATGGCACGAATTCTGACATCAGAGAGGGTTTACACAAAGACTGTAGGGTTACAGGGTGTTATAGGGGTTATCTACGTCCAAGACATTGCATTATGGTTTATAATATTGTGTGACATAGGCCATCGAGCTAGAACCTCATTTGCACACAACACAGATAAAACCAAGAGTACAATGATACATCCATCCACAAATGTTCTTCCGCTTTATCCGCTGCCAGGTTGCAAAGTCAGCAGCCCGGGCTTTAATAGTTTATAGTTTTATATCTGTAATGATGAGATGTATGTGTAATATATACAGTCTATGGTAATAGCCCTGAAAAGGGGATAAAATAAAAATAAGACCAGGACACGTCTTTCCTCAAGCATTGCTGTTTTATGAATCAGAAAAACAATCTTTCTTACATTTGAACACATTTACATTAACATTCAACGTTTTCCACTGTTCCCGCGCTAGCAACAAGCTAATGCTAATTTGTTGACAACTAGCGGAGCTCCTTGAAACAACAGCCTACTAGACTAAATTATCACACTTAAATCATTTCGCAGATAAGTTAACGTAATATAAAACAATACCAAAACAAATAAGTACCAAAACAATTGTCCAATTTCAATTTGCTTCAAATCAAATCCCACAAAGGTAAGAGTTTGTGTTGCTATTAGGGCTGGGATAAACGATTATTTTTTAAACGATTAATCTAGCGATTATATTCTTTCGATGCATCAATCTAACGATTAATTTTTTCAGTTCGATTTGATTATCTCCCCATTGACTAATATCAATGTATACATGTTGATCTACATATCTGAATAATAAAAACATGAATTCCTTAACAAAATATATTTATTGCTCTTAAAATTCCAAAATAAGACATTCTTAGTCAGAGGTAGCATAAAACCTTGAAGCCTTGAAAACACATCTAGCTTACAGAAAAAAATGCATCTTATTATTCTTCTTTCAGATGAAAATAACAATTGTTGTTTAGCATTCAATAAAATAAAAAAAATAAAACCAATGTAATGTTGAGGGCTTTAAGCTAAAGAGAGTGCTTTTCTAGCAAAAAATAATAAAAATAAACATTTAGAATTCAACAGTTATGTTGAACATAGGCCTAGCTTACTGAAAAAATCATCTTCATTCACAAATAACAACTTAAACTCGTACACTTTCCTTTCCCCCTAAGAATACTGTCTCTTTGTGTGTGCTTGTGAACATACAGCCCATGTTGTCACTCTCCAGTGACTAAACAGTAGCTCAGTTGGTAGAGCATTGGCCTTTGAGCCAGAGGGTCGTGGATTCGAGCCCGACTTTCCCCATCGACTCCCACTGTCTACTGTCGTTGTGTCCTTGGCAAGACACTTAACCTCTGGGAACACCAGCCACAGTGGGGTGGCTGCGGCTGTAAAGTGCCAAACTGCATTGCCTAGAATGAGTCTGGTGTGTGTGAATGGTTGGTGGTGGTCGGAGGGGCCGATGGCACATACTGGTTGCCTTGCTTCTGTCAGTGTGCCCCAGGGCAGCTGTGGCTACAGTAGTAGTTTATCACCACCGTGTATGGAGTGAAAGAATAATGACATGTAAAGCGTCTTTGAGTGTCCAAAAAAGCGCTATATAAAACCGATGCATTATTATTATTATTAAACCATAAGCGCAGCTAGCTTGTAGCTTAAAACAAAAATAATGTAAAAACACACTGATTGTTTAGTGCACCCACCTGTCCTTGCATATCCGGACTATTCACAACCCTATAGAGGGATCCTACGGTCACGTGACTAGCAGCCACGGCAGCCATACTGGAGGACAACCTCGGCGAGTAACAGCCCTGCTAGCTATCTATAACTGGACGTTCAAAACTAGAACTCTCTCGAACTACATGAAAACTGAACAGAGAATTTGAAACTTCAGCAGTTAGTGACCCAAATATATACTCAACCTAAATTCATGAATCAGATCCTCTGGAAATGCGTCCTAAAATGTATTATTAATGTCCAGGTTTACCGCGGTCGCATATTGTCGCATTAAAACAGTGTTTTTTCATGAAAACGTGAACAGAAAATTCTGAAAACCTCTGTGCACGTGTATTAAGAATGTATATGTATAATGTATTCTCCGATTAACATTTAATGTGTTTATTGTTACACCATGGATCTATGTGTGGCTACACTGCAGTGGAAATAATGAGATTACATTCAAATCAATGGAGCTTTCTGCGTCTACTGTGAGGAGCCGTATATTTTATTAATAAGTACTAGTACGGGGCACGGCTCGGTCGTTCACATGTCTGCTGGCCTTCGGTAAGTCAGATACCCTGTGAACCGGGTGAGGTCCAATGTGAGACCAAATATATAACAGCTATGCTACAAGCTAAGCTACAGTCTATGGAGCAACCCCACGTTGCAGTCAGACAGATATGTTTTATCCTTAAACTTCTGTTTGTTTCGGAATAACACTAAATCCGCCATCAAATTGATTTCACTTAGCAGAAATGAAATGATCCGAGCATATTCGGGCGCTCTGGTGGCTATTAGTTTTTTGTTGTTGCGTATGGTTGTGCCATTTCTCTCTCGTTTCTTTGAGATTTCTTCTGTTTTGGAGCCGTGTGAAGTAAGGACGGCTGGCAGTCAGTAACACAACTCCTTTTGCTGCAGCCAAAAACGGCAAAAATTTTGAACATAATGTTTATCTTCCCCATGAAGTGGACTGCAAAATCCTCACAGAGGGAGTCTGTGGGGGTTAAACGAGACATGCTAAAATCAGGGTTTAAAATGGTGTCAATGGTTGAAAATAGGACTTTCGCATTGTTTTTGTTTTGGGTGATTAGTTTTGAGAAATAATTGTTTCGGTTTTTCCTAATTGTTTTGTTGTATGTTTTTTGTTGGTTACTGTACATTTCGTAATTGATTGTTGTTTTGTTTTTCCTCCACCTACGTTCCGCCACCCTGCACTCTCTTTTCATTCTCCTTACTTCTTCGTTCCTCCATGGGGGTACAGATTTTGTTCCGGTAGTTTTTGTTTTCAAAGGAGCAACCTGATCTAACGTAGTTTTGAGTCTACTGTTAAAATCATTTGTCTAACAGATCACAGGGGGCGGGTAAAACCAAGTGAGGAGTGTTATTAAGAATGTCTATAAAATTTGCAGCCACTTCAGGGGTTAGATGTCGCTTCCTCACGGTTCTCACAGAGGTCTCACGCTGGATAAAACCAGTGATGTTAAAAAACACGCAGTAGTGGTCAGAGACAGCCAGGTCGACAACAGAGGACACATCCGCAGTCAAGCCATAAGTAATGACCAGGTCGAGGGTGCGTCCTCTGTCGTGCGTTGGCTGTGTGACGTGTTGGGTAAAATCCATGTAATTAAGGACATTTAAGAACTCATTGGAAAAATTATCTGAGGGATTGTTGATGTGTATGTTAAAATCACCGGTTAGAAGAATCATATCATAAGAATTGTATATAACTGATAAAAACTCTGAGAATTCCTTAATAAAACGGCAGCACCTCTTTGGTGGCCTATAAATTATGACTGCTAAAATTTTGGGGTTGCTAAAAACAAGAGAAAGATATTCAAAACTTGAGTATTGGTTAAAAGTGATAGGTTTGGTGGCAAGAGTGTTAGTGCATAGTGAGGCTGTGCCACCGCCCCTTTTCCCTTCTCTTGTGGTAAAAGCAAAGCTAAAATTTGGGGGAGAGGCCTCTGTGAGAATAGCCGATGCATCTGAACCAAGCCAGGTCTCAGTTAAGAACATAACATCCAGGTTTTTTTCTAAAATAAGATCATGAATGATAAAAGTCTTGTTTAAAAGAGAACGTACATTTAAAAGAGCTAGGCTTATGGTTAAAAGAGGTGTTGGCGGTGTACCTTTTGAGGCAGATTTATTTTTTGCAAGTTCAGAGTTCAAAGGGACGTGGTGAGGAGCAGAGGACGTGGAAGGAGGGAGGGCAACAGGGATGAGGTTGGTGAGACATGGTTTCCTGGAACTGGAGGGTCTGTAGGGACGGGGTCTGGATATGGCTGGGATCTTGTGCTGGGGAGAAGAGGGGCTGGTGTTGAGGGGTGACGAAGCAGGTGAGATGGGGGATGCGGTAGTGGGTTGTCAGAAATATATGGAGCGGGATTGAACTGTGTGGATGATGTTGGAAGTGAGGTACCGGTTGCCAAGGGGGGTGATATGAAGTCCATCTCGTTGGAAGAAGAGGGGGCGGTCCCAGAACAGATTAAAATTGTCTATAAAAGCAAAGTTGTGTTGGAGTGACGAATGATTGAGCCAGGTGTTAAGTGATAAAATTCTGCTAAAACGCTCCCCGCCACGGGCCAGAGTGGGCAGAGGGCCAGAGATAAAAACAGTTTTTCCAGTCTCTGATAGCAGTTTAAAAAGGTCCTGAAAATGGAGTTTTGTGTTCTCAGACTGGCGGAGTGATGTATCGTTGGTACCAACATGGACGATGATCCGGGTTATTGTGCTTGGGGCAGTTTGGAGAAGTTTAGGAAGTGTATGAAGTAGAGTGGTGACTGTGGCTCCGGGAAAGCAGTGCGTGGTGGCGTTAAAAAACCTACATCTACGGATGATGGAGTCACCCACCAGCAGTGTTGTGGGAGCGAAGAGGGGTCGTGGAGGGTGTGATGTGACAGGCACCTGTGGAGGGGCTGGGGGTGAGAGGGGTACAGAGGGGCCCTGGGGTGTGCCCGGAGCTGAGTCCCCATGAGCGGCAGTGGAGCAGCATGGAGGACCCGGAGACGGATGTTTTGTTGGAGCCGGGGCGACCATATTGGCCGTGGTGGTGGCAGTAGTGGTGGTGGTGGCGGGCGTGGGAGGGACCAGCGCAGGGCTGGAGGGGTGCCCAACAGGCGGAACGGCTTTCACGTGCACGGGAGGTCTCCTCACTGCGTCAGAGCGCTGAGACCTCCCCGCGGGTGAGGCAGCGTTCGCGGGGGGGGCCCGCGCCTCGTCAGAGCGTGGAGACCCCCCCGCGGATGGGGCAGCGTTCACGGGGGGCCTCGGCGCTGCGTCAGAGCGCTGAGGCCTCCCCGCGGGTACCTGTTGTTGGACTTCTGTGCCAGTCACAGTTTGTCCATCACGAACACCATGTTCGAGCACAAGGGTGTCCACCAGTGCACGTGGCACCAGGACACCCTAGGCCGGAGGTCGATGATCGACTTTGTTGTCGTATCATCTGACCTTCGACCGCGTGTCTCGGACACTCGGGTAAAGAGAGGGGCGGAGCTGTCAACCGATCATCACCTGGTCGTGAGTTGGATCCGCTGGCAGGGGAAGAAGCCGGTCAGACCTGGCAGACCCAAGCGTATAGTGAGGGTCTGCTGGGAACGTCTCGCTGAGCCCCCTGTCAGACGGACTTTCAACTCACACCTCCGGGAGAGTTTCTCCCAGGTCCCGGTGGAGGAGGGGGACATGGAGTCCGAGTGGACCATGTTCTCTGCCTCAATCGCCGATGCGGCGGCCCGTAGCTGTGGTCGCAAGGTCTCTGGTGCTGGTCCCGGCGGCAACCCCCGAACCCGGTGGTGGACACCGGCAGTAAGGGAAGCTGTCAGGCTGAAGAAGGAGTCCTATCGAGCCATGATGGTTCGGGGGACTCCTGAGGCAGCTGTCCAGTACCGGCAGGCCAAGCGTGCCGCGGCCCGGGCTGTTGCAGAGGCAAAAACCCGGGACTGGGAGGAGTTCGGAGAGTCCATGGAGCATGACTATCGGTCGGCCTCAAAGAAATTCTGGCAAACCGTCCGGCGCCTCAGGAGGGGGAAGCAGTTCTTTGCCAACACCATGTACGGTGCGGGTGGAGAGCTGCTGACCTCGACGGGGGATATTGTCGGGCGGTGGAAGGAATACTTTGAGGTTCTCCTCAATCCCCCCGTCACGTCCTCTGTCTCAGAGGCAGAGGCTGAGGATGCTGGGGCGGATACATCCATCTCCCTGGCTGAGGTCACCAAGGTGGTTGGTAGCCTCCATGGTGGCAAGGCTCCGGGTGTGGATGAGATCCGCCCTGATTATCTAAAGTCTCTGGATGTTGTAGGACTGTCTTGGCTGACACGTCTCTGCAACATCGCGTGGCGATCGGGGGCGGTGCCAATGGAGTGGCAGACCGGGGTGGTGGTCCCTCTCTATAAGAAGGGGGACCGGAGGGTGTGTTCCAATTATCGTGGGATCACACTCCTCAGCCTCCCCGGTAAGGTCTACTCCAAGGTACTGGAGAGGAGGCTACGGCCGATGGTCGAATCTCGGATCCAGGAGCAGCAGTGTGGTTTTCGTCCCGGTCGCGGAACACTGGACCAGCTCTACACTCTCACTCGGATACTCGAGGGTTCATGGGAGTTCGCCCAACCTGTCCACATGTGCTTTGTGGATTTGGAGAAGGCGTTCGACTGTGTTCCCCGGGGTGTCCTTTGGGGGGTTCTCCGGGAGTACGGGGTCGGGGGTCCTCTGCTGAGGGCCATCCGGTCCCTGTATGACCGGAGCCAGAGCTGTGTTCGCATTGCCGGCAGTAAGTCAGACCTGTTCCCGGTGAATGTTGGCCTCCGACAGGGCTGCCCTTTGTCACCGGTTCTGTTCACTGTATTTATGGACAGAATATCTAGGCGCAGCCAGGGGTCGGAGGGGGTCCGGTTCGGAGACCACAGGATTTCATCTCTGCTGTTTGCGGACGATGTTGTCCTGTTGGCTCCAACGAACCAGGACCTGCAGCATGCACTGGGGCGGTTTGCAGCCGAGTGTGAAGCGGCTGGGATGAGAATCAGCACCTCCAAATCCGAGGCCATGGTGCTCGACCGGAAAAAGGTGCCTTGCCCTCTGCAGGTGGGTGGAGAGGTCCTTCCTCAAGTGGAGGAGTTCAAGTATCTCGGGGTCTTGTTCACGAGTGAGGGAAGAATGGAGCGTGAGATTGACAGGCGGATCGGTGCAGCGTGCGCAGTGATGCGGTCGCTGTATCGGACCGTTGTGGTAAAGAGGGAGCTGAGCCGAAAGGCAAAGCTCTCGATTTACCGGTCAATCTTCGTTCCCTCCCTCACCTATGGTCATGAGCTTTGGGTAATGACCGAAAGAACGAGATCGCGGATACAAGCGGTCGAAATGAGCTTCCTCCGCAGAGTGGCTGGGCGCTCCCTTAGAGATAGGGTGAGGAGCTCAGTCACACGGGAGGAGCTCGGAGTAGAGCCGCTGCTTCTCCACGTCGAGAGGAACCAGTTGAGGTGGCTCGGGCATCTGTTCCGGATGCCTCCTGGACGCCTCCCTGGGGAGGTGTTCCGGGCACGTCCCACCGGGAGGAGGCCCCGCGGAAGACCTAGGACACGCTGGAGGGACTATGTCTCTCAGCTGGCCTGGGAACGCCTTGGGGTCCCCCCGGACGACCTGGAGGAAGTGTGTGTGGATAGGGAAGTCTGGGCGTCTCTGCTTAGACTGCTGCCCCCGCGACCCGGCAACGGATAAAGCGGAAGAAAATGGATGGATGGAAGTTTCTGGTCTCTTGTACAGTGGTAGAGGGCAATCATGAGGTCATGAATCCAGTGAAATTAGTCGCACACCTTTTTACAGTAAAATGTTACAGTAGATCAAAAATGACATGTTTTGACCATTTTTGGCTACTTTGAACCAAAATGGCTACTTTAACTCCATATTTCTCCAAATGTCCACAGTAAAAGTTTCTGGTCTTTGGCACAGTGGTAGAACATAATAATGAGGACATAAATCCATTGAAATGAGTCACACACCTTTTTACAGTAAATAGTTACAGTAGATCAAAAGCGGGAATGTTTTTACAGTTTTGTGTATTTTGCACTAAAGTGTACTTTGTCTCAATTTTACCCAACATTTCCACAGTAAAGGTGTGTGGTCGTAGGGACAGCGTTGAAGGCAGCTATGTCGAGGTCATGAACCCAGTGGGATAAGCCACACAAGTCTTTACTGTAAAAATGGACAGCTGCTGAAAATGTCACTTTTTGACCAAATTAAATGCTTTCCAAATATGGGTTTAAAAAAAAAAGATAAAAATATAAAATCCCTCAGTTGTATGCACAGCTAAACAGAACTGTTTTCAACCTTGTCTTAAACATTGTCAGAGAGGAGGCCTGTCTCACATCTTCAGGAAGACTGTTCCAGATTTTAGCAGCATGAATCTGAAAAGCAGCCTCCCCATGTTTAGTTCTGACTCTGGGCACTAACAGGAGTCCAGTCCCTGTGCTCCTCAGAGTCCGGGCTGGTTCATATGGGACTAACATGTCACTAATATAGTTTGGTGCGAGGCCATGGAGAGATTTGTACACAAGCAGAGCTGTTTTAAAGTCTATTCTCTGAGCCACAGGAAGCCAGTGCAGGGACCTGAGGACCGGACTAATGTGGTCGTACTTCCTGGTTCTTGTCAGGACTCGAGCTGCTGCATTTTGAATGTACTGCAGCTGTTTTACAGCCTGTTTGGACAGACCTGTGAGCAGGCCATTGCAGTAGTCTAACCTACTGGAGACAAATGCATGGATAAGAATCTCCAAGTCTGCTTTAGACACTATGTTTTTGATCCTGGCAATGTTTTTTAGATGGTAAAAAGCTGCTGATGTTACTGATTTGATGTGGCTATTAAAATTTAAGTCTGAGTCCAGTATTACCCCTAGATTTCTGACCTTGTTTGAAGGTTTTAGGGAGAGAGACTGTAGGTGACAGATGACGCTCTCTCTTTGTTTCTGGGGACCAAAGACAATCATTTCAGTTTTGTCTGCGTTTAGCTGAAGGAAGTTGTTTTGCATCCACTCACTGATCTGTTGGATACAGTGAAGGAGTGAGTCCTTCAATATAGGACAGTAGTAAGAGCACACAGGGAGCACACACAATATATACAAATAAGTAGTAGCTATGTTTCTTAGCTAACATAACTAGCTGTAGATGCTGAAAATGCTTCAATACCAGTAAAAATATATATGTTGTAGTAGTAGTGCAGTTATATACTGTACAGTTAAGCAGTGCAGGATAAAAAGTATATAAGTAAAGTGACATGAGGTAAAGTGACATTGTTCTGTGACATCCTGAAGTTGCAGTATTACACATTGCACATGATTGTAGAATTTACTTAATTACAGATGAATGAAATTTACAGGCTCAGCAGTTCTTATTGTACAGTCTGACAGCAGCAGGAAGGAAAGACCTACGGAACCTCTCCTTCACACAGCGAGGATGAAGTCTGTCACTGAAGCTGCTCTCCAGAGCAGAGAGAGTGTCCTGCAGGAGGTGACAGTCATGGTCCAGCATAGATGTTTGTCCAGGACCCTCCTGTCCCCCACCTGCTGCACTGTGTCCAGGGAACAGCCCAGGACTGAGCTGGACTTCCTGATGACCTTGTCCAGCTTCTTCCTGTCCCTCTCTGTGATGCTGCTGTTCCAGCAGACCACACCGTACAAGAGGCTGATGCCACCACAGATTCATAGTCACTGTATCTTTTGTGCCAGTGAAGCACTTTGAGCAACTGGTGTTGTTGTAAATGTGCTATACAATTAAAGCTAACATTGACATTGAGTGAAAGACACATAAAGCGTCTTTGAGTGTCCAAAAAAGGCACTGTAAAACAAATGCATTATTATCATTATGACTTTGTAGCAGATTCTCACGCAATAAATTAATCCACCTTTGCTTAGAAGAGATTAGGTTTTAAACAGTGTTTTGTCTTGTTTAATTTACTACAGCCCTTATTTGGCCTGGACACAAGAGAATACATGTATCTCCTTCTATAAATTGTAAATAAAAGGTAAAACAATAAATAAAATGGGGTAACAATACTTTATTTAATTATAAATGTACACAACTAAAATGTGACAACCACATTCCTGTTGATCTTCAGATGAATCTGAGATTTTGTGAAAGTGAAAAGTTAAAGACAATACTGTTGTTCAACATGAACACTGAATAAATAATTGAAACTACAAAAAGAAAATGTACCTTTACAGAAGATTTACAATAGTATAGTTATGAAAATTGCATTTGCATGTGATTAAGGCGTTTGTGCACAGTTCATGTTTTAGTGGTATACAAAATCTATGAAAACATCAATTAAATAAAACATGTAAACAGAGATTTGAATTAGGAACCGAACGTCTTCAGATCTCAGCACTGCTTTCAACTGCATAGTTTTCATCAACTAATCCACTTGAATCAGTCAATATAGCAGAGCTTTTCTCTCACCAATTTCCAAAATGTCGATCCCACATTAGCACCAGCTGACTTCCAGCCTGGGGCTCCAACTCCTGCAACAAAAACACATTTAACACAAGTATCTAACATAGATAATTCATGTGTATCCATACATTTCATTTGCTCCTACTTACTTGTCCATCTCTGCTTATTTGGACCTTCTTGTTGTCATTCCAGAGATTAAGGATGTGTTGAGTGGACTGAAAAGGCATATTCTCTTTGTGGATCCATTCAACACTGAAGACCCCGCCGAGTCCCATAAGCCCCCAGTCCTGGCAGCTCTCTCTGCTCATGGCTGATGCCATGCGAGCATAGCCCTGTTAGAGTAAGTCTCAATGTGAGGACTGATGCTCTGCAAAGAGACTCACGCATAGAGAAACTTACCTGAAAGTGTCCAGAGCCTTGCACAGAGAAAATGAGGATGATTAACTTGTTGTCCAAGTAGGCTTTGGAAAGCTTGGACTCATTGCACGGGGTGGTGGACCATATTCCCTTCTGCTGAGATATTTCTATGTTTCTTATGCTATTGCTCTTCATGATAAAGTAACGGATGGAGGAGAGTGTAGGCTGGGGCGATATTGGGGCCGAGCACTGCGAAGATGAAAAGGACATAACATACAGGCTAAAGACAATACTAATGTCCTATATTCAGAACTGTTCAACAATCCAAGAATGCTCTTGATACCTTTGTAGCGGAGGTGCATGGGCTTCCAAAGGGACTGTCTAAGTGAGATGGGCGACCGGAGGACAGCGGCTCCTCAGCGAGAGCATTTGTGGCCAGAGAGATGTCCTCACTGACTAGCGTCTTTGAATGTGCAGAATTTCCCCACATCTTGACCTCTCTGAGAGAATGAATGACCCGTAATATATTTGACTCCATTTTAATGAAGTTAATGTTAGCTGTTTGAGGATACCTTTCATCTGTGCTGCTGCTGTGAGCGTTGCTCTTGGAGCCTTTGGAGGTTGACTGGAAACCCTCTTCGATAGTCATAGGCCTTGGTCGTTGGCCGATGCCTGTAGGTTGTTGTAATCCTACGCTCTGCTCCTCAGCAGAAAGCACCTAGTGGAAGTTTAGGAGTTATTTTCTGTGTCGTCTTTGAACATAAATTAAATATAAGATGTGACATACAGACACCAAAGCGCGGATGACAGCTTCATCTTGTTGAGACCATGGCTTTGACGGGCATTTTATCCGTTTGAAGAAAAGATTTTGCCATTTCTGTCTGATCTCAAACATTAGTCCCGCTGCCTAAGAAACAAAACATAAATATACCAATAAACATCTCAACAGTAAAACTTTTAAGACTGAAAGTGTTAATCACCTCAGGATCTAACTGGAAAACAAGCCAGTCATCAAGCTTCATCTCAGCCAAATCCTCTGAGTCACTGTCGCTCGTATCGTTCGCAGAGGCATCTAGCAGACGATCTATGAGTAACAGGATTGATGTGGGTCATCATGTTCAAACTCACCTTTCAGTGGAGCCGGTTCAGGCAGAGCAGAGATTGGTAGTTTGGCACCTCCACCAAATACTGCAACAGTAGCGGGGGTCACCATCGAGCAACAGCGGACACTGGCCATTCTTTGGCCTCTGCTCATCTCATCATATATGAGCCAGTCAGTTGGAAGGGCCGGCTCCCCTTTTGATGAGGTGCTCTGAAGTTAACAAAAGTATAAACTTAAAACTTCACAACAGCTTAATGTTTGCTAATATGAAAGTCAGTTTGTCATTTACAACAGTCTTACCTCTTTTAAGTGTGTTTGGCTTAAAATTGATGTTGGGTGGAAATGTACTTTTTTCTCTTTTTTGCTTGACATGAGAGAGGTTTCCTTGTTGATGTGGACAAGGTTTGGATACATTCCAGCTACTAGCGCTGCCTTCACCACAGCCCAGTTCTCAGAGTTCAGATTAACATCTCGAATGTCACTACCACCTCGTGCCCGAACAAAACCTACAAAAACAATTAAAATAATAATATAATCCGAGTGTTGAATCAGTGTACTGTATGTGGAATAGCCCCTGACCGATGGCACGCAACTGTCCCAGCAACTGGGTTCTCATTCCAAGTATCATATCCATAGTTGCTTGAGAAAGAAAGTTTTTTTCACAGAAAGATCGCTCCCATCCTTCACTGCGAGCCTTTTGCCAAGCCTGATGAAGAAAGACAATAATGTAATTGTGTAGTGTTTTAAAACTGATTACTCTTACTGCGTATGAACCTGAAAGGCTCGGAGCAGGGCCATGTGGTCACTGAAGGTGCCTGAGGTAAACCGTTTCCGGCACAGAAGAGCAGCTTTCTTCTGAGAGCCCTGGGCAGGTAGTACAAAGGGGTCTCTGTAGGCAAGGGTGCAGGCGATGGTCAGGATGGGATCTAGGCACTTCAGCACCACAGCACAAAGAACCATTTTGCCGAGATGAGGCTCTACCGGCAGATCTGCCAGATGGTAGCCCAAATCAGTTAGATCTTCATGTTGGTCCAATGCATCTATGGTCTGTGGAAAAGGGCAGGAAAGTACATTACAATTTTTAGACAGCTGGAAGCACGAGGCCACGTTACCTTCAGCATCTGCACAGCATTTCGAATGGCATGTGTTGGTGGAGGCTGCGGGGCTTTAGACAAGAAGTCTGCCACTGGGCAAGAGGTTGCAGACAGTAGTTTGGTTTGAAGACACAACTCCTTTAAAACACACAAATGCTTAGTTATTTAAGTCCTATTCAAGAGCATTATTTGCATGCGTTTAAAGTGCAGTACTGTAGTCGAGCACCTGCAGAGGCATCCGTAGCAACTGGGGAACTTGAAACTCCTGCATGTTGTGAAAACGGAGTCGACTGAAGAGATGGAAGCAAATCCCTGGTCTACAGCGTCCAGCTCTGTTAACACATCAGTTATTCATGAGATATAAGTCATTTAAAAAATGTATAATTAAAATGTATAATCAATTCATTTACCTTCCCTTTCTCTGAAGTGCACTGGCTTTTGAAACCCAAACTGTTTTCAGCATTGATACATGGCTCAAAGTATCAAAGGATTTCTAGAACAAAAATAAAGTAAATGCTACAACTAAACACAATATGAAGCTGTGAAGTTCCCTCACCTCTTTCACTTTTCCTGAGTCAATGACAAAGACTACATCATTTATAGTGATGCTTGTTTCTGCAATGTTCGTAGAAAGGATCTGGAAAAATGGCAGTCGCTTAGTTCAATGGAAGCATAAAATCTAACAAATCAATCAACGAATAAAATCTATCAATGACTATCTTACAATTTTTCTGACTCCAGGTGGCGAGGTCTTCATGGCTTTTTTCTGATCTGAGGTTTGCATATCTGAATGTAGGGTGAACACTTGATACCTGTAAATACAACCCACTTGTTGCAATGATGAAGCAGTTTACAGAATAAAGAAAAGCAGCACTGAAACACTACCTCTCAGAGCGACTAGAAAACCGCTTGTCGTCGAAGAGAATGCGATCCCTGAGTGCCACGATGTCATCATATCCGGGGAGAAAAATAAGAAAAGCACCTAAACAAACAGATGATATAAAGTAACGTACAATAACATCGTCATACATTTACAGAGGGCACAGTCCAGTGACAGTACGACCGTCATTGCCCTCACCTTCGTTGGTGGTGGAGCAGACGTGATGCAGGAGGGCCATGATGAGGTCCAGGTCGACGTACTCATCGTCAAAGCTGTGGTGGTAAAGTTTGAGCAGCTCCTGATCTTCAGGGCTCAGCTCTGCACACTGCATCAGAGCACCTTCAGCACTGTCATCTGTGTGATTCACTCCAACAAGAGGTCTGCAGTGAGCAAAAAATGTATATCTTCATCATAGTCTGTATATAGCTGGACGATACTAGCCCTCTCGCTCAATGAAGGCCATTAGGGAAGTGCTAACGAACAAGGTTTCACTCCAACTCACTCTGGCTCCAAAAGACTTACATTGTGTACACTCACCATTTTGGGTTCAAATAATCCATGGTTGAGTAGTGAGTACTCTGTCCTTTTATGTTGGTCTTGTATTTGTGAATCCAGATATTACCCCCAACAACTGACCAAAAGGACCTAAACTCCTATGTCACTGGCTGTTTTTGGTGGGTTTTATGCTCTTTTACACCCCCCCTTATGTAACAACATAAAAATAAATCTCACATTGAAGATTGGAGAAGATCCACTGCATCCATCTGGTTGAAACGCATGGCAAAGTCCAATGCAGACCTGAACACAGATAGGTGTAACCGTTTGTGCATGTTACGACCATGAGGAGATTTCTTACCATCCATTTGAGGCCTTCATGTTCATATCAGCCCCGAGACTTAGGAGTTGTTGCATCTGAGAAATACAACCTCGGCCTGCTGCCACCATCAAAGCTGTCGCACCAGTGTCGCTGTGGGTGTAGTCCACTGAACACAAGAGAACAACAGTAAATCTGCAATTGGGAAAAGCACTTCAAGTGAAAAAAGCACACGCTGAAACACACCGTTTACATTCTCATGGAGAATTAAATTGAAGATCTGGGTAAATGCATCCTGATCTTCACCAAGGAAGATGTTGGATATGCAAACATCCATCTCGTTCATGAGCCATGGTTTAAGGACATCTGTGCCATTCGCTTCCTGTGAAAAAAGCACAAAGAATAGAAAACTACTTTCACTTAAATTCTTAACTTCACAAAAGTTTTCTCCACAATGTGTCTTTCTTACAGATTTGCATGAAGCGTTGCTCCCTGAGTTTGAGCGACCCAAGTCTTGTAGAAACTCTGACGTTGCCGTATTCACAACTTTCCCAGAACTGCTCTCCACAGCTTTACACCACTCTGTCAAAACCTTTTCTTTTGTTTCTTCTGTAATAGATTAGATATAGGTGAGAGCAAAGCCAGTGACGACAAATTGTACAAAGTCAACTTTAACAAGTTTCACGCAATTAAATTTTACCCTCATTTTATTATAAACATGTGAAGCCTGACCTATTCTACCGGGAAGAACAAGAAGGCTATAACATGTAAAGACGCTCAAATGATCCAACAAATTGATGAAAATGCAGTGAAAAATTTAATAAATATTGGGAAAATAGTGTCCCCTACATGAAACTGAAATCAAAATATTTGTGACTCGAGGCTGGACTATTTGTGGTCTGCATTTTCCATTTTTGCTTTTTCTTTATACTGTAACAAAACTTGTATAAATATAAAGTGAGGGAAACATAAATCTGTCTACAATATGTCAGCCTCTTTACCTTTGGTCCAGATTTAAAGTCTGAGTTTAAGTATATTCAAAAAAAGATCATATAGAAATATAGAAAACAAATCATAATTTGTCCCAAATTTCTCCTCTGCAAATATAACTCTATAACTGACAGTTTTTGTGGTGCTCGAATATAGAAAATTCTGTTTTGGAAGTGTGTTATTCCAAAATAAATTAAATTGCAAGTGTGTCTGTGTGTGTCTGTGTGTGTGTGTGTGTGTGTGTGTGTGTGTACACAAACTACACAAAACACAGTCTGTCTTACTTTTCTGTTTTTCCTCCTTATATTTCTTCACATCTTTAAGTTTGTAGCTGGTAATCTTCAGAATATCTTCCAAAAACAGTTCCTTCACTTCAAACTGCCTTCCTTTGACTGGATTAAAAACAGACTTGATTAATGATGGATCAACAGCCTTTGTATGTTATTCCTAAACTATAAAGCTCACTGTGGAGGATGGGACAGGAGCCAAAGTACTGAAGAAACAGGTTTATGTCAAGAGCTGCACTGGAGAGGATCAGTTTTAGATTGGGAATCTTCTGAAGCACATCCCGCATCTTTGTCAACAGGAAATCAGTCAGACCATCACGCTCATGCACTTCATCCTGTAGAGTTTATTCAAGATTGTTTATTTTACTAGCAAAAAAAGATAAAAACTAAACTAAAGAAGAAGAAACGCCAGAGGAGAGTATAACACCATCCAGCATGATATATTATATGAAGATTTAATTATGGTGATTCTACTCACCACAATAACATGTGTGACTGTTGTCAAACTAGCATCTCCTGCCATCAGAGTCCTGAGAAATACTCCACTGGTACAGAACGTCAAAAGTGTCTTGGGAGAAACCCTAAGAAAGTAGTCATGAGTAGCTCAATACGCAGGCTTGGTAGACATGGGTAAATGTACTATGTTTCTTTATGAACTTGTGCTTGTATGTACCTGCTCTCCAGTCTAATGTGATAACCAACTGTTTGTCCCACACTCTCTCCTCTTTCTGCTGCCACCCTCTCAGCCACAGCGATGGCTGCCAGCCTCCTGGGCTGTGTGCAAAAGATCCTACAGGGCTCTCCCCTCTTAGTGCAGTCATCAAGAAGGAACTGGGGAATCTGGATACAATAATTTCATTAAATTGAATATGACATAATGATAGAGAAGTTACTTAGTGTGTTTGCGTTACCTGTGTGGTTTTACCAGAGCCAGTCTCACCCACCACCAGAATGACTCTATTTTCTCTGATGAGTGTCACGATCTCCTCGTGTCGCTCGTATACGGGCAGAGCACATCTGAAACTGTCAATATCTGTGGGACTTCTTCTTCTGGGCACCATGGGTATGCCATTGTTTAAACGGCCGCTGGCTCTGTTTTTGTCACAACCGTCTGGGATTGAGAAAGGAACAATTACTAAAACTGTTCTGACTATGGATTAAAACCAGATAATGATAAAAAAGGTAAAACCTCCAGCTTCGGTTGCCATCATATGGCCGTTGTTACAGCTGAGCTGAAGATCTTGGCGTTCTTTATTTGTGATGGGAAATCTTTGACGCAGACTCCGAATAAAATACAAAGAGTTGTGGGAAAGAATAAGAGGCATTGTTGGCCTCGGTTTTTCAGAACCATCTATTTTTCTGATGGTCAGATATCGATTGGATCCTTTCCTAACACAATACAAACCAAACAAGTTGAATTTTGCTACTTTCGTAAATGAATTTATCTTTGTTGTTAACTTACCCTTTGCTTTTGGAAATATATCCGAGAGACAGAGCTATGCGATGGATAAAGGCCCTTTCAGTACTTGTCAATGATGAAGGAAATTCCATCTCTGTTTATTCAAAATATATCAATAATCACATGTGGGTGTGTTGGCCACTTAAATTCACAGATTAAATTCACACCTTTCTGGTCACTGTAGCGAAACCTCTCTAAAGAGAGGTTCACAGATATCTTCACTTCTTCATCAATATGAATTTCTTTCAGACCATTTGTCCCGCGTCCCTTCTTTGGTGTGCCCTGGGCTTTCCCCAGTCTTTTGGATGACACCCCACTACGAGACATTCTGAGGGGAAAATGTAATGACAACCGTGTTATCCAGGGCAAAAACTCATGTTCCAACTCCACAGCTTGTTACAAATTGAAAACTAATTTTGTGATCTGACAGAGTTCATATGTGTGACTACACTGTTATTTTCATCGAAAACGAAAGCTAGAAGCTAATTCCACGACTGTCAATGCTAGCTTGTGAAAACACAGCAAGAGAAAGCTTCACAAATAAAGTAATGAGGGGTAAAGTTACAAGTGTGGAAGTGCGTATGCAGAGGACGAGACCTTGTGGTTCTTTGATAAATATAATTACGAGGTTTGTTGTTGCTCCATCGGTGATGGACCGTGTATGTAATAATGACCTAACCGGTTTCAATGGCCGCCAATACAGACGGCACTTCCGGTACAAAATTAAACTCATTTTGAATCTGCGTAAAGTAAAGTAAAGAAGTAAACATTTCATTCTGCAACACTCGGCTCAATATTTATTTTAAAAAATATACATCAAATATTGACACCATCAGTTTGTTATTCTTTCTTTACGTCCATCTAGAGCTGTATAAGTAAAGCATTTACTTTAAATGAGACCAACAAATAATAATGAAAATGTAACTTTTAATTTATTAAACATAATAGCAATAACATACAGTGCAGTTTTGAAAGGTACAGCTGTAGGTCAATATGAAGAAACTCATGTATTCCTGTAATAACACAATGTATTACTAATTCAAACGTCAAATTCCACCATTAGTTTGGGTGTGAAAGATAAAACATCTGAAAGTACAATTGCACAAGCATCATGTTTCGCAAAATGTATTTCAACATGTAGTGTGTAGTATAAACTTAACAGATGAAATCCTGTTGTATTTCTACACATTCATCAACATCAAACATTTTGTATCTAAAAAATGAGCACACATTTGTTCATTTACTGTCCACAAAAACACTTCTGAAACAAATGTATAAAATCTCATGTGGGAAAACAGTAACAATAAAATCACATAATAATGAAACATGGTTTCAATTGCTAAAGATATGTTTTTGTAGAAAATTACTCTTCACAATTGTGTTCCTTTAAAACTTCAAGAAAAAAAATCAGCAAGAGTCTTAGGAGAACTGAATGGTAAAAGTCATCAAAAAACATGAAACTCCATTTGTATCAAATATCAAAACACTTCATGATTTCCTCTTTGTCAAATTTGAAGTTGAGAAAAGCATTGGATGATAGCAGCTGCTCGGGATAAGAAGCGGCCTGTTGATCAATGAACTGAGTAAAATCTGTGAAAAAGAAAAGTATTTGCTTAATATATGTATTAGGAAGTGTCACTGAACAGCACAATCAAAAACACAGTTTGTTTGATGATGATATCAATAACGCATTGATTTTTTCTTGCACCTTTTGTGTTTGTGTGAGTCTCACATGGACTGGCATTGTGGGGAAGGACATTGAATTTAGCCAATAGTAGATATTGGCAAATTTCTACATTTTCAACTTTAACTGATCTAATATGTAAACAAGTAGTACCTGTTTCAAAGCTGTCTTGTAGTCTTCTGGGCTGAAGTCTTTTGTTATCTTTCTGAAAAAATAAATAAAAATCACAATTAGTCTCTTAAAAAGGGCACTGTACCAGACTTACAGCAGGTAGAATAAATATACATTTTATTTTAACACAGTTCTTGTAAAAACTACTGGAGCAAAACAGATTTTCACATGAAACAGAATTGACACATCCCTTTGTTCCCTCGTGACTGAGAAGAAAGGCTGTACCTGCAAACTGCTGAATCCATTGTCACTTCCTTTCTTCACATAAGGCGAGTCTTGGCTTTTCTTACCATTGGTTTTTACAGTTAGGTTCTGTCAAGAACATGTGGATTATTCACATTGTATTATAATACATGATGTAATAAATACTGCATATAAATAGTATTTTCACAAACTTGATGAAGATCATGTTGGCCTGTAGTTTTCTGTGGTATCTGTTTTGCAATTCCGTGCAGAACCGCACGGAATTGCGGCTCTACCTGTAACTCTGTGCCCATTATGCGACGAGTCTTGGACCTAAAATAGAATAAAATATTGATAATGTTGACGTAAAACCATATTGACCGGTGAATGTAATTTTACCGTGTATTGTCTGAGGTTTTAATTGGAGTAAGGTCCTCTTCGCTAACCGGCGATTCACCTTTGAGTCGACTGATTTTTTCTCGCAGTGGTCTAAACAATTGAAAGTGTTATAACATGTCAATAATGAAATAATTAAACCTAATATGGTAAAAAGCACCTTATAAATGGAATGGCCATAAAAAATCTATTTGGGGCAAGTCCAAGTTTGGACTTTGGTGTCATATCATTTCTGTGACATGGGAGCTTCTCAATGGGAAACCACTCAATGTTCTTAAAATGCAAAAATAACGACAATAGTGAGTACATAAAATCTCTAGTTCAATAGAAGGCAGATAAAAGCAGACTCATACCCGGATCTCTTTTCTTGTTTTGGGGTAGAACTTGGTGTCCTTGGGTACACCTGGAATTATGTAAAGGCGCACCACCTGATCTGTAATTTTCTGTTCTATATACATGTCTTTAGAGATGCGATTCTTAATATCAAAACCAGTCTCCTCCATGACCTAAAACACAAACATGCCAAATGAACATTACATTCTCCTGTACAAGTGTACCAATATAAAGCAAATCTCACTTCTCGGACTGCACAGTCGTGAGGAGCTTCTTCTTCATTGACTTTTCCCTTTGGAAAGCCCCAACCTGACTTTGCAAGGTAACCCTGCACAAGCAACGCCTACAAAAGAATCACCATGTTCACTCTCCATAAATTATGGAATATTAATACATATATCTCCACTGGTTACAATAGAGGCTAAATATTTGTCTATGAATGTGAAAAAAATGAACGTACATTTTCTAATGATTCATCCAGAATTATTGCCCCATATGTTGGTACACCCATCTTGTATTCTTTCCATCGTTCAATAACTTTCTGCACATCTTCTCCATTAGGCAGCAGAAAAGGACAGTGCTGAAAAAGTACTGGGCTGTTAAGTAATTAAACATGTGTTTTTGGGGCAAAGGATGGTTAGAGATTACAAAGTGGGGTTGCCTGTATGCCGACATTCTGTTTCTTATAAATAAAGAATCGTTTAGATTTTAAACACAAAATAAAATAGCCACATTCTCACAGATGCATGCATACGGTTAACTGCTGGATTATGTTACAGGACAGTAAGACCAATAGCTTTTAAATGTTGTTATTAGTTAGGTAGGATATCAGCTTTTGCAAAGTCTCTTATTCCACAGTGAGGAGCTCCCGGGGTGTTTTGCATGCAGAAGTCCAAATAGAACCAGTGAGCCAGCTCGATCTGGAAGCAAACACGAATGGCATTGTCTCTCTCCTCGCTTGGAATGTGAAGAATAAATCGACTGCAAAAGAAGACGTAGGTAAGACCATCAGCACAATACATACTGTTGTAAACCCTAACCCCCTTTGTGAATGCTGGTTCTCCATAATTTTTCCAGTATATTCTACAGGATGCACGCTCCACATTGCATCTAATGATACACGTATAATTTACAGTAATACTAAAATGTTTCATGATAAAGAAGAGAGCGTTTCCATCTCCATAATCTACTATATTACCAAAAACAAATCCAAACCTGCAGAGGTCGTCCAATAGCGCGGTTGGGATCTCGACTCTTTTTGTTTCCATGTTCGGCGAAAACATCCCAACAGAAGAAAGCCCAAGACGCCGTTAATACTGCTACTTTTAGGTCTCCATTCGTCACATTTTTCTCTTAGATTACTCTTAACACTCAGCTTTACATTAGCCACAAAAGCTCACATCAACTGAGTTATCTCCGAGCCACAAGTTTCTTGTTTTTACTTTACGGTTGAGGCGGAAATGGAGGGAGCCAATCAAAACAAAGAAGGCGGTCTGCAGCATCACTTCTCCGTTTCTATTGGTCAAATCTCACGTCCGTCTAGACAACAATAGCCCAAGCACGTTTGTATGAGACTTTACGTTTTTGCGGCACCAAATTTAACCCTCTGGCATTATGTTTTTGTTTACATTTAATTTATCTCCCTGTCTGTTTGTCTTTTTGTTCTGTATTTAACAGTTAGTTATTTTGATAATAGCAATGTCAACATTTAACGCGGTAAGGTAGTCCCATAGACTTCTTGATCATTTGTTTTTCTCGTGTGAATCTGTCCAGGAATTCAGGTTTGACTTCCAACAAGGCACTTGTTTTCTTTCTATAATACTAAATAACGTCTACAGTAATGTTATCCTGCCAAGAACAGTGGAACAAGGAGTAATTTCTAATTAATAAAATTGTGTTATGTCTACATGCAATTAAAGTGTATTTTATGTTCATGCTATATAATTGTATACCAGTTGGAGGGCAGGTGCCAATACAACTCTATAGGATCTAAAGATTTGAAATTTGGAAAATAAAATGTCTAAATATTTTCCTAGATCATTATTTGGTTGAGATAATTTCTATGTCTGGAAGTTCCTTCCACTAGCTAACATCTTGTTTGGCTTACTTTTCCACAAACCTATCTTGAACTTGGCCTGGATCCTATTCAGGATCCTGTTAACATGGATGTGTTGTTTCTTTTGCAACAATTATTATTATCATTATTACAACTATATTATTATATAGTCACAATAAAATATAACATGACCCTTTGCAGCCTTTAGGTAGTCTATGGTGTTGATCTTGGGCTGATTTGCCAATATTATGCCATGCTTTCTGCCAAGTCATCACATCACTCAAGGGAAGGGTGTGGTGGCTGAAAACAAATCCGAAATGTACATGATTTCATGAGATGAGACTGCATCAATACACATACAACATACAGCAATTTACACAATTTAGAGAATGGGCTAGCTAAAGTATACAAATAGAATAGGGTATAATTAGGAAGACATGCAATAGAAAAATAGTATTTGGTATTTTCCCTTTATCCTTCAAAGTAATTTCCCTATATATAAAGTTGCCAAATAAAATACATTAATGATAATTTAAAGCAAATTATTGTCATTCATTCCATGTAAAATGGTAGTATTAAATACAGTTGAACTATTACAAACTATTATAATCCCACAAGTTACCATACTTTTACTCGCTGTGTTTTATTTTGAAGGTCTGGTTCTCAGTAACAGCTGACAGTACTGGGGCTTGACTCCAGTGAGAACAACTGTACTGCAGGCGTGTCGCAGACAGTTTTAACTTCATATTCAGCCGCAGCAGCAGCAGCATCGCCCGGAAAGAAACGCAGCTATGGCCCTGGGACTAAAAGAACGATTTGAGAAGTTTCTACACGAAAAGAACCTCATGACCGATGCGTTGGCTAAAATAGAAGCGAAGACCGGGGTGAGCAGGACCTACATCGCTTTGGGTGAGTTTGTATATTTTTTGTTTCGCGGATGGAAAAGCACACATGGCATCCATTGGCAGTCAACGCGCTACATTTGAGCTAATTAGTTGTAGTTCTCTTTAATGTTGTTTCAGACGCGTTTGATCGCTGTAATTCGGGCTGTTACATGGTTCTAACAGTCTTACAACACAAATATAACATGTTTCTTTTGTTCTTCCAGGTGTCATTGGTTTCATTGCCTTTTACTTGGTCATCGGCTACGGGGCCTCGCTGCTGTGTAACCTCATCGGCTTCCTTTATCCAGCCTACATATCGTAAGTGTCTTATTCTTGGAGCACGGGTCTCCCCTGGACGCCCCACCACTCCCTCACCAACAAACACTGTGCCATGGCTCTAGCAGGCAAAGTGAAGTGAGTCCAGATCAGTTTAAACAAGGAAGGGCTGAGAAGAAACAAAAATAACCCTGTACGTACCGATACATGATAAAGTGGTGTGTAATAGTCTTATCTACCCATTAATGAGAATCAATCAATTATTATTTGTGATTAATTTACAAGTAGTTTAGAATGCTGAAATTCAAGTGTTGGAACAGCCAGTGCTGAAGTGAAATGATGCCATACACCGGTAAATGCATTTCCTGTTTCTTAAAAAAAAAAAAAGACTATGTTTGAGGCAATGAGGCCTGGTGTGTTCAGACTTGTTCTATTGTGAACTCAGGTTCGGTTGGGACTAATTCTGGTTTATAGACTGCAAGGGCGTAGGTTTGCGTGGGGACCATGGGGACATGTCCCCACCAATATATGGTGAGGACTAAAAAGTCCCCACCAAAATGACATGATGTCCCGTGACCCGGACGGTCCGGGACACATGTCTTCCGTTTGTGCATACGTCGCGCCTCCTCCTCGCCTCCAGAGCAACAGCAGCAGCAGCAGCAGCACGTGACCCGTTCCGTTCTCTGCAGTGATTGGCTGTCTTCTTCAGCGCCAAACTGAAGCACTGAGCGACTGTTTAATTTTTAAAAGTTAGCCAGCGTGAAGCAAGTGTTTTATTTTTCGTTCCCTGAGCGTTGTAGCACGTGAGTAATCAGAGGAAAGTACTGTAGATCTATTACCATTCAAAGTACTTACGTTATTTCTAATCTGTCAGCGCACTGTTTAATGTCCCGAGGAGCTCACACGGCACAGAGACAGAACAGAACTGGCTCCAATAAAGAAACAGGTTGGTTGAAAGGCTGAAAAAATACTTATTGTGCTCTTACTATCCAAAATGTATAAGTGGGTGTGTTGTGAATCAGGATAAACTAGGGATGAAAATATTCCACGGATCCACGATTTACAACCTTTATCTGTTGATAATGTAATTTCTGTGAAATGTGTGACAGCGGGCACTTGCTGTTATTTGCTCTAAGCACATTCAAGCGATGCACTCGAATGTGCACGTCCTGGTGCAGCTGCTGCCGCTTTGTAATGACAGCCGCGGCGCTCAGTGAAAGCACCGCTCTAACATGGTACCGAGCTCGGACCATATGCAGACAGAACCATGTTGCAAGTGCGGGTCTCCCTCGTATCTCCCCCGTTTCTCCCCTGTGTCTCTGACATGTCTCTCCCCTGACTCTTCCCAAAGCGCAACCAGCGCTCCCGAAATTAAAGCTCGGATACCTAAATTTTCCATTGCGTTAACGATGCATGCTGGTTGTGCGCAAAACACACCACAACAGGTCATTTAAGTTTTTATTTTGCTTGAGAGCCCTGTGAGTCATTACTTGCCTTTTTGGGTTGAGAGTGGAATAAAAAAAAGAAAATATAGACAAATCCACACTGTTACTTATTGCCAAACTCTTGTTAACTCATTGTATTGAGAAATACTATGTAACTTTTGACATTGGCCAAGTTATATAAATGATTCTGCAGTTCATGTATATGAATGTCTGTTTTTGATTTTCTATACCTTCTTATATAATTTAGAAAAAATGCCACCCTCCACAAAAAAAGATAAAAGATATCAGGAGCTTTTTTAACAGTTGGAAAGTAAGTAAGAGAAAGCACAAGTAATAGCAAATTATGAATTGTGATGATTAATCTTCTGTTAACATACATAGGAAACTCAACCAACAAAAGAGAACAATATAGGGAATGTTGAGGTAGAAGCAACAGGCCCTTCAGTGCATCAGGCGAGGTTGGAATTTTGTAGGTATGCATGGGACTATGAATTGTTTTTAGAGATTGATCGTATATGTCAAACAATGTAGTGAGCTACTCACTGTAGATTCTAATTCAATATTTTCTCCTCTGACTATTAGAACAAATCCTTAACTGCTTCTCATTCAGTCTACAGCTGAGTTTAGTATAGAAGGCAACACACTATTGCAAATATAGTGTGTGATTACACAACAAATTCTGGGGGAGAAACTCTGGACCCCGTGTCAATGGGTGTAGACTCAGGTCGTAGTGAATGTCCCCACCAAGATTGGAACCAAACCTACACCATTGATAGACTGTATATATATGGACAATGCTTACTCAATGAAGCCCAATAGAGAAGTGCTCATGGTGTAGTTTTGCTCCCAACTCTCTCTGGCTCCTATTGACTTACATTGAAAAGTCAACACCTCAGGCTCAGTAACCGTTTGTGTCACATTCAACATTTTGGGCATAGAAAATATGTGGCCTTCTGCCTATGAATGTATGACCAGGAGAACCAGAGATGGCCACAATACTTCTGTCGCTAATGTTTCCGACGTCCATGGTGCGAGTGTATAAGGAAATTAGCTCCAGATTGCTTATATTCAAATCAGCTTCCTCCACATTCGGAAAATTCAGCACTCGTTCCCCTCCTAAAATACAATATATGTTCTGGCTCGGGACGAATTTTGCTTGATTTATGGTGAATTCCCCAAGCAGACTCCATTTAAAACAGATAATGATTATTCATAAAAGTTTAGGTTGTTGATTAGTTTTGATATATTTTTTAATAATTGCCTATTATCCATTGTACTGTGAGCTTGAACTGTATATTGTTAGACACTGTTGATATTATGGTACTATGGAATAGGAGTGGGATTAAATAGGTATTAATTCTTCCCAGATCACAAGGAAGGAGTCATGAGGTCTTTGTTGACTTTTTTTTAACTTATGTGTGTATACATGTACACTTTTATGTTTTCTTGTTTAGTGAATGAACACTACCACTTGAAGCGTCTTTTGAGTGTGAAAGGGCAATAAAACATTTGCATAGAAGGCATTGGTTGATGACTAATTCAGTAGATATTCATCGATGGAAACATGCCTTTATGATGTTCAGATTAATTTTTTTATCAAGTTGGGCCACCATAGTCTCTTATTTAGAAAACGCTGTACTATTTTGGCTGTGAAAGGCATGTGACTTTTTATTTGAAATTGTGTGATCACAATGCAGATCTATAACATGTACACACACATAAAAATAGAATCACAATTGTCTATATCACCGTGAAGTAGGCTCTACGGCTTCCTGTCATCTTTATGGGAAGTGATATACTTTCATGATCACCCTCCCTGTTCACTCCCTAAATCCACATAAAGTGGTGTGAATAGAACAGAGTGGAGTTTGTCTTCAGAAATATGCAGACCACAGTCAGGCTCTCATGACATAATTAGATAAAACTATCATTGGTACAAACTTACCAACTCTGTATGCAACTAATAAGAGTCATTCTGTCGCAAGAAACCCGGCTTTGAAGCAGAGGTGTTGATTTATTATCGTCAGGAGGTGATGTGTTGCACCATTTACCTGTTTCTCAAAAGCATTGCACAATAGAAACAGTTCAATTGAATACATTAAGTATTTCTGTCATAGCATATGATAAAAGTATGATCTTTATATGTTGGGATTATATACCATTTGCCAGAATGTTAGGCATAAAACAAAAAAACAGTAAATAGTACCCACATATGATGACACAATTTCCTCTAATTTCTAAGGGAAAGCTCAAAAACGACAAGGCAAATGGTGATAACTAATAACTATTGAATGAATAAAACTAAAACCATGATATTTGGACATTGAAGTAGTGTAAAGGCCAGGGCTCATGTAATAACACTGATATAAACATTTAGAAAAGTAATATTTCCTATGATTAGGAATGCATCATGTTGTTGCGGATTTTAGCATACAGTCCAATTTTCTTGATTAGATCTTTAGAGCTGATTTTAGAAAACTGCAAAGCTCTTTAATGCACCTGACGACAGCACTTTTCCGCTGTGAGGAGTGGCAGAATGTGACCTGCAGATGCTGCTGAGGTCGACCATCTTCACCACATGGAGCTGTTCAAACACTTGCATTCAGACTGAAGGGGCACATTTTTCAAGTCATCAGCAAGAACTGATGACATTGTTTTGATGCAGATCATCTGCAGAACACTCTTAAAACCAGATTTACCAATCATAGTTTCTTCTTGAACATTGAAGCTCCTCTTCAGTTTTAACCAACTAATGTAAGAGCATCATCAAAATGTACTTGTCTACCAAGTAGATGCACTTGACACTTATGTCATATTTATGCAGTATGGGTTTTGTTTATGAATTGTAACATCTGAACACATTGTGTTTCTACAGCATCAAAGCCATTGAAAGTGTCACAAAGGACGACGACACCCAGTGGCTCATTTACTGGGTGGTCTACGGCGTGTTTAGCGTGGCTGAATTCTTTGCAGATATCTTCCTCTCCTGGTTCCCTTTCTACTATATCGGAAAGGTACTCCTCACTTCTGTTTTACCTGTGACTTTGACAAATGTAAGACTAATCTACAGAGCAAGCTACCTTTCAACACAATGCAGGTGGAGCAGAAGGCTGCTGCCAGCCAATATTCTCTTGGTATAGACATAGGACGATACAGAATACTATTTTATATATTTATATACTATGATGTGTAAATGATGTATGTCAGGGATAATTCTATTATTAACTATTTTAAATGGCTTAACTATTATTTGTGTTTTCTTGTCAGTCTGCCTTCTTAGTTTGGTGCATGGCCCCATCTTCATCAAATGGAGCTGCTCTCATTTACAACCGCATCATACGACCATTTTTCCTGAAGAATGAGGCCAAAATTGACGACGTGGTACTGAACTTGAGAGACAAGGCGACAGATGCTGCTGGAAAGATTAGAGAAGAAGGTACTTATCAAATGGGAATTCATTTCAGTTCTAATGTTTCTAATCCACAATTGTTTTTGGATTCAGCTAAAAAAGCTACAGCGAACCTGATCTTCGAAGAAAAGAAAAGCACCTGAGCATCTTGTTTCCAGTCTTTGGAGCGGACCCTTTATGCTCATTCTGTTGCCTTGAATTTCATGAAGACATTTTGTCTTCGTACTATATACTAAATGTTGTGTAAAGAAAAGCCATTTCCTAATTGACTTTATTTAATGATGCCTTTCAAATGTCATGTATTGCCTGGTGCAGACTGAAATGAATAAAAACTCAAGTGGTCATTATGAATTTGTAGATGTTTTAGCTAGTGTTCTGAAGATAAAATAAATAAAAAAAATTATAGTTCAGGACACGGAGCCCATTTCTAATCTGAAACAATCAGTATGCACTTGTGTCAGAGGGGTCAGCGTTAAGGGTATTTCCATCCAAATTGAGAGAACAGTTGGAATTCTCCCATTATAAGCAGATAAAAGGTTGGTTTTAGCCGTTGGAATACTCCCTGGTATCATTTTCAATATTAGATGAAGCATAGGCTGAAAATCAAACTCATTGATAGATTAATAGACAAACCAATGAGAAGCAACACAAAGCCTGGAAGATCAAGAGAACTGTAGTGGATGAAAGAATAAGTTTCTCAGGTTTGAATAAATAAACCCTTGACAACAGCGGAACCGACCAAGTCCTTCATTTGGAGAAAGGTGTAAAACTTTGTTCTCTGAACACTATCGAACTGAATTAAAAATACTATTTGGAAACATCTCATGAGACAAAGATGAACCTGAGCCAGAGTGATGGGTATGAGAAGGGGAAATATCTCATGATCCAAAACAAACTCATCTGTGATGTTATACTGCAACCAAGTCAATCCCATGAACCTGATGAACAAGCAGTATCTGCACTGTTGCAAGAGGCCTGACCTTCACTCGAGAAGAAACTTAAGACCTTCACGACTTTAATCCGTGACTGTACAGAATTTTGCAGCCTGCAAGTGGCGCCACCTGTAGGTCCAGTTTGAATTCTGAAAGCTAGGCAGAGCAGGGCCTGGTGAGTACTGTGATGGGAGAGTCTTTCACAATAGGCAGCTATGAAGTGTCTAACTGATGTGTCCTTAGGCATAACACTAAACACATTGTCTAGGATGAGTCCGGTATGTGCATAAATGGTTGGTGCCCAGAGGGCTGAAATGCTTTTGTCAGCCTGCTCCTGTGGCTACAGTAGTACTGTGAACAATTATAAAGCACTTTGGGTGACCTTGGTCTGTAAATTGCGCTATATAAATAAACATTACTCACTAGTTTATCACCATTGTCAATGAAGTGAATAATGACATGTGATGCATTCATCGAGTGTCCAAAAATACACTAAACAAAACTTTTGCATGTTGGGAACACATACAAAAGCATTATTATGACAACATTCACCTCATTTCTTGGTAAACATTAACACTCCAAATCCATGGTGAAGTGAAAAAAATCTGAAATGATGCCATGGATTTGTGAAACTATAGATATAAAGGCTGGATAAAGTTTAGTTTGTTCAAATGCATTTTAAAGACAAGTTGCATTTATACAGACTGGTCAGAGAAATGTGTGCCATCTGATGAACTGAACTTAACTCAGGATGCATGGGACTATTTCTATTCAGATACTTGAAAAAAGTACTGTGGTAAACATAGTCTGAGTGAGTACAGTGATCATTTTAATGGCTTCATAAACAACTATATAAAACAATTCATAAAAATTCATGCGCTTTCAGTGTAAATTCAGTTTGAAATATAGAAGAAATGTATGTACAACCGAGCGAACCGAACAGTGACTTCATTCAGTTGGTTCACTACAAAAATACTTGGCTGCATAGAACATTGACATTATTGCCTACTCAGAAATAAAAAAAAGAAGTCTTATTCATCTAGCATGTTTCTTAACTCAATTATTTCTACATATTCAGACAAAATTATACTAATATCTAATCAATAAAAGCAAATGTTGAACTTTCCCTTTACCAAGTTACATTCTGAAAGCATTTTGAAAACTACTGTACAGATACTCACTCGAATGACAAAAGCCTGAGTCGATGGGGGAAAGTCGAGTCATAATAAATCCAAAAAAGCCTGAGGAAAAAGACCACTGATTTACTATTTTACAAAAATTTACAAACAGTATGACTGTAAAGAAAAACATGATACAAATTGCTTACATGAAAATAATAAAACCCAAATTATTTTTTACAGCTAAGATATGTTAAATAATTCACGCATGAAAGAGAATCTGAAACCTGACAAAGAAAATGAGAAATGCTTAAAAATGAGGTACTTCAGGTGGTGAGCCCGAGTCCAGACCGGATCAGACCCAGACAGGTTCACATCAACCTGCGGTTTATGTGACTGTGGGCTTCTTACTGCTTTAACACTTAAATAAAAAGTTAATTCACTGCTTTAAGCATGATGATAGAGGAACAGGGAAAAACAAACAACAGAAGAGTCAAATACAGGATCCAGTGTCATGGTGTGAACACGAGGCAGCACTCAGGGTCATAATTGTCCATTTCCAAAAGTAAAAACATTATAAAAAAATAACAAAACTTGTGTCATGTGCTGCCAAGTCCACACAGCACTGCAGCTTAAATTCTTAAATACAAAAATATGCTTTGATTTGTGTCTGCTGCCTGGTCTGACCCACGGCTCATGATCCATCTTCGGTAAGAACAGCCCAAAGTGACTGACGCACAGTGCTTCGCCTGCTCCAGCTGCTGGTCTGAGTGCACAGTCCCTGTAAGGCATTACAGTGTAGATGAGTCTATGGCTGCAACATGCAGGCCCTTGGAGTTCGTGTTATGTTTTCCGGCTGCTCCAGATTTGTTCTGGTGTGCTTTTGTGGTCTGACGAGTAATCGAAAGGTGAGCGGTGCCCCAGGGGCGAGCGGGACTCGTAGGGCGAGCGCTGGTCCCGAGGCGAGCGCGGCCCGCTAACTGCAGCACGCTCTGTCTGTCGCTCTGAGTGGTATCTGTAAGAAGAGCGGTGGTCCGGGTGGGAATGATCCTTCATATCCAGGCGATGGTCTCTTGAACGGTAGTCATCCATCTTCCTGTGTTTACTGTCACTGTAATACCTGCGCAGAGCAGAACATGTCACATGAAGGAGTGTTTGAACCAATTTCCTCAGTTTGTGGAACCATATGTTAAATTCCTGCCAGAATAAGCTTATCTGTAACAACCACTTTCCCTCAGCCAATCAGCTGTCAGTTTCAAAAGTCACTGACAAGGCTCAAAATATGTATTATTCAAATAAGGTAAAGGCTGCGTGTTCTGATATTACTTCTTACACTCTAAGAACCTTCTATTGTCATCTACTCATAGCAAATCTGACTGCAGTATAAAATACTGGGAAAAGACAACCATTTCATCATAAGATTGTGGAGAAGGAGCTTCAATATGACTTTAATATCACAGCATCAAGGCCAGGCGCAACACTACAAGCAAAAGCTTCAGTGAAATAAACTGCTCCAGTATCTACACCAATACATTTACTTTATGTACTTTTGCCACTGCTGTCATCATACTCAGGACTATAATGACTTATAGAAATGTAAGGGAAGGTGGTCATAATAATAATAATAATATTAATAATAAATGTGGGGCTGTGACTGGTCTAAGAAAGAGTAGAGGAGCGAGCCGAAGGAGGGAAAGCAGTGGGAAGACATGACAGACAGTGCGGTCCGGGCTGAGAATCTCTCCTCACGCCACAGCCACAGTGAATAAATAAATCTTATTTGTGAAGCTTATTTGTCCATCGTGTGCATCTGTGTTTCAATTATATTCAGCTGAAACACTAACAGTGGTCTCTTTGAAGTACTACACACAAAACAAGGCATTATTATACTACAGCCATGACCTAGAATTGAGGTACAGCACCCCCTGCTGATCAGGTGGGAACATTTCATTTGTGTCATCGCTGACACAAGTAAAGCCTAGTGTATAGTCGCGCGGCGCTTACGGTGGTGACGTGACGTCACTTGCGCAACGCGTTGATCACCACAAGGCCCTTAAGTTCCCTGCCGCGCACCCTCGAAAGTTTCTAACTACGTAAGGGTCGCCGGAAGGAAGCTCCGCTGTGATTGGTTCGTGTGTGTATTTGAAGGAAGCACAGAGCGGCTGCAGGAGCATGGACGAGGCACTCGGAGCAGACTGCTTCGTGCTTCGAAGGAACCGAAGGAAAAGGTTTGGGCTCATGGCAGAGCCTGATATACACGGAGACTGTGGACTGTTCAGTTCTGTTGGATATCTAACGTATATATAACTTATAAACTGTGCAGTCGTTTCTTTTGCACTGTTCCTGTCTTTGTTTGAATCGTAGCTTAAATAGTTAATATTTGTCTCAGATATTTACCATTTATTGTTTTGCGGTTTGTGCTGAATACACTTTAACAATAACAATTTTTCCAACAAGAACTGTGTCTTTGTTCACAACATCACAGTTAAATGAGTTGAAACAATGAGTTTAGAACTATCACATAAACCTACAGTAGAAACACATGTAATGATCTCAAACAGCTTCGCTATTGTTTTTGTTATGAAGAGGAGAAAGTAGCAGCACAAATGGGACCGCTTTGGTTTCTAAACTCCTGTGAGTTTGCCATCACGTGGTTGGTTGTGGGATTACAACATTCGGGGAACGCGCAAGTGTACCACAAACTGTGGTTACGTAGGTCCAACGTAACCGCAACCGTAAGCAGCGCCGCGCGAGTGTACACAGGCCTTAAGTATGCTGTTGCCAGGGCTATTCGACTTGCCAGATACATGCCGTGGGAGAGCTTTGGACTAAGTGAGGCCTTCACATTAGGAGCGTTGGGGCTAGAAGCAGAGGTGACAGACAACCCGTTGCTGGACGCACACAGTCAGAGAGAGCAAGTTTACCTGTCTTGTCGGTCCCGATCCCGATCCCTGCTGTCCGGTCTGTAGTGGTCTCTGTCTCGGTGGTCTTTGCCATTGCTGAAGGATAAATATGGTCTTTTTCTGGAGTCTCCTGATGAGGATTTTCGATGGAGCTCTGAACTTTGCCTGTCCTTGCTGTTGTCATGATGTCGTCCTGAAGAAGCATTTCTGTCCGAGCTGTAGCTGTCCCGGCTACTGTCGTCATGGTGAGAATTGTCCTTCAGCCTTTCAATGTCTGGTGAACAAAGTTTTGCCTCTGATTAGACTTGGAACCAACTTGAAACTAGTTTACAAGCAAGCTGATGAACACATACCTGCATGTTTCAAACTTGAGTGCGTGTTAGAACCTCTAGTGTTTTGATCCATTGCCTGTAGAGGACACAATTACCATAAAATGGATAAGATTATATTCACTAACTATAGCTTGCTCCTTTCAGAACCAAATTTCTACCTGTGCATTCTCTTGTCTTTTCTTTATGGCATGCTTGTAGAGTTTATGGAGTTTCCTGGCATCAAACTCGGTAAATTTAGACACAAATATCCAGAGGTTCCTTGAAAGAGAAAACATGATTTGTATGTTTTGAGAATGACAAAACAATGACTCAATGAATCTATGTACATACTTTCTCCACTGTTTGATGAGGTCAGGGTTGGAGTACTCCTTTAGACACTCTGTGATGTGATCTCCAATTTTGATGAGGCACTGCCGCGTGTGTTCAAGCTGCTCACGCTCCGACAGTCCTTTCTCAGGTCGGTCCAGCTGCTTCAGAGCGGCTTTCACGGGACGCATTCTCTCTTTACACTGAAACAGACGCCAGATATCAAGCTCCTCATTCATACAGTCCTGCATTATTTCAATTAAGAGTCGTACCACACTAAAAGTCTTCTGGTCCAGCTCTTCAGACTCCTCAAAAACTGGAACAGGTTCGCCACACGCCGTTATGTGGAGTGGCGTGTCAGAGAGTTTTTTCGGCCGCTCTTTGCTCTCATTCTTAAGTTCAGACTAACAGTAAAGGAAAGGAGAAAAAAGTTAACAAAAACGTAAGTGAACAAAATTTTCAGTGAGAGAGTTCTGGCACCTGCTACTGTACCTTTTCAACAAGCTCCTCTAGTTTGTGAGCTGTCTCCGGGGGCTTCGAGTCCTTCTCCTTCACGTCTTTAGTTTCTTTTACATCCCAGAAGTCGTCCCTTTTTTCCTTTTTGATCTCTTTCTTTACTTCTTCGTCTTTGACCTCTTTCTCCCCCGAGGAAGAGTTATCCTCATCTTCATCAGGCTCATCTTCCTCCTCCTCCTCTGCCTCCTCCTCGTCCTCTTCTTTTTTCACCACCACTCGCTCTGGGCGACTCCGTCTGCTTTGGAGTTTCACTGGAACATCGTCCTGCCGATAGCAAAGATCGATGCTTACAATGCTCCTCATACACGAACGTAAACTGAGCACATGTGAAAGTCGCACAAACCTTTTCCTCGATATCCTCCTCGTTCTCGGACATCTTTTCTGAAGGAGGGTCTGAGGATGGACTCTTTACTTCTTCTGCTTTGCCAGGTTTAATGGTTTTGTTTTTTCTGTTTCTAGGTTTCCGTTTTCGTGAGTTTGCCTAAAAACAATAGAAAATAATAGAAATACAAAAATAGAAAATAATGTGCACATTGCTGTCGAACTATTGTAGGATGCTCTTACAGATGATGATTTTTGGGCTTCCTTTTTGGCCAGGTCTTTGCTCAGTAACTTTATGAGGTAGTCTGCTCGGGTCTGCAATTGTTTTGCTTGAGGCTTCTTGTCGGGGTCATCTGGTAAGAGCTGAAAAATAACAGTCAATATGAACTACAACAATTTTCAAAAGAATATGACTTCAACTTCAAATGTGCTCGTCATTGTGGGTGTACACAATGTGTCGAGCTTGATCTTGAAATAGTTATTTTAACTAAAGACTGTATATAGCTGGGCAATTGCTCATGGACAAAGTTTTTCTCCAAATCCTCTTGACTTACATTGAAAAGTTAACTCCTCTACCTCAGTAACAGTTTGCATCACACTCACCATTTTGGGCTTACAGAATCTGGTTTAGGGCTCTCTATAACTCTGGCGTTTATATGTCGAGTTTGTCTTCAGTCAATCCTTTATATGGCTCATATTTTGATTTACAATCAGATGCCTTCTTTCACCGTCTTAGCAACAGCGCTAAGCTATTGCCACGGAAGAAATTCCCATACAAGGAAATGGCTCCAGCTAGCTTGTTCAAATCAGTCTTATGCATTAAGCCCATTAAGTGATGTCAATCGACTCATATATAGTCTATTATTTCAACAATCCTTTTTCACAAAACCAGATAACTTAAGTGAAATCTTCCCTATGAATGACTAATGGAAATGGAGCCTATAAAGCAATGCACCCAATTTATTGATTTTTATTGTATTAGAGCTCCCCCAAAAAGGTGGAGGAAGAGTTGATCTCTGAAGATCAAGTAATTGAGGAAGTGCAGGGAAATACACGGGACTTGTTCTCATGTGTAAAGGGTTATAGCAATAAACTATAGGAGGGTTTAGACTTTATAGATCATCACCTTGTCATTAAATCCAGTGATAGATTAATATCCAGTCAAAACATTTGCTCCAAAACTACCATATTTTTAAATACATATTTATTTTTCTAGAGGTAATATACTATATGTATTGTATATATATCTATTTTTTAACCAAATTAGTTTTACCTTTGTCTCATATTATGTATTTTTTTAAGTTAAACTGGTATTGCAGGACGGCGTTGAAAATCTGTGAATTAAACCTACTTTAGTATATACGTTACCTTGTGCGTGAGATTCAAATCAGGGTCCATCTTAATCATCTCCCAACTTCCATATCCATACTCGTAGATTCCAATGAGGAGGCTGGAGTCATCCTCTTTACCCCACTCAATGTCAAAGTGTGCGGCCTTTGAGTGCCATGGAATCATATATCTAACAGAATACATAGGCACATTTTAATATTCTGTTCTTAGTAACACCTTTACCAATTATAAATGCCAATGATACCTCTTTCTTTCTTCTGGATCAGATGGAATGGCCTTGTGGAGTGGCGCCAACTCTTCTTCGTGGGATATAACCAGTTTAGCGTTGACCTGAACACCAGATATTCTGAAGGTAGGGCCTTTCACCTTTCCTCTTCTTCCTCCTGTCAGAAAGTAAATTGTTAAGTATCTAAAACACTTGAGTTCATGTGGAATTGCATCTTCATCCTCCTCTCACCTGAGGTTTTTTCTGGTCCGCAAGGGTTTTCCCGTAGTGTTCGCAGACAGCCGTTATGAACCGTCTCTGCCAAGCGTTTCAAGTCGTGCTCAGATTTATCCACAAGTTCAGCATCTCGTGCAATGGCATCCAGTCTAGAAACAATTACAACAATACAAAAAAACTATTGATCAGACTGAAGTTGAGAGTGGTCTATGCTTTTTTTCACCCGTTCAAAATAAAATTTATTGTAACTATTTTGTGCGTCCCAGAAAAACAGGTGAAAGATATGCCAACAGAAAAAAGAAATCAAGCAGAAGTAAGTTTACCTTTCAAGTGGTCCACCAAATTTTTTGTAACTCTTTACAAATCTGTGGTAAAAAACAAAAACAATGTTACTTTAACACTTGCATTACAATGACAAGAATACAATAAGATGTTGAATCACCTTCGAATTTCAGCGTCCGTGAAGCCTTTGATATTTTCACGTGGAATGGTTCTAGGGCGTCCTCGTTTCTTTGGCCTTTTTCGATCAGAGTTGGTGTCACTATCTGACCCAGAATACCGTCTGTTCCTACTCCGACCCATACTCGCATTAAAGCTTATCTGTAAATACACAACAAAGAATTTACATAAAATTGAACTTGACAAACACGTGAGAAGCATTCCCTTTATGTTACTTACATGTTTGGCACAATTTCTCATTCGTGGCAGCAGGTAGATCTCCTCCAGCTCCTTCTGTCTTTCCTCTTCCTCCATTCTCCTCCTCTGCTCCTCGGGAATGATGTCATCCCAACTGCGCTGGCTCCGCTCAGAGTCAATGTCTAGCTCCTCTTCGTCCATCATGGTGAAATTTGCAACCTTTAAATAAAAAATCCTCTCTCATTAATGGCTTGATAAAACAATGACAACAAACAGGATGAAATAGTTTTGAAAAGTTTTATGAAACCTTGAACTGCGACAACAGCTCCTCTCCAACAGTTGAAGGGCCAGGGTCATTTTCTCTAGTCTCCGCTCTCTTGAGAATTTCATCTATGTCCATTTCCTAAAAGATAAAATATTTTTTCTATCCAGACTGATCTATATACACATTTAGAAAGACGGTGAAAGCAAAAACACACCTGAGGTTCTTGTTCCTCTCCTTCTGGCTCTTTGAAAAGTTCTTCAGCACCAAACTTGAGGATTGCAGACAGCTCCTCCTTGTTGAAAGGAGTTGAACTGTCAAAGTGTTTGGACAATATTAGTTCACTAAAGAGATAAAAGAGATGTTTCAGGTAATTGTAATGGATGCAAACCTGGAGGGAGCAGAACCTGTGTGTAGGACTGTCTTTCCTGTCGTGTCCATTCGCTGAATAACAAGATGGTCTAAAACCATTTTCTTTTTTGCCCTTTCAATAATCTCCTCCTCAACCGAGCCCTTTGTAACTAGTCGATAAATGTTCACCTGTTTAAAAAAGAAAAACACATTTTGTGAATATTTCCAAAATGAATCAAGTCTGCTCTATCAATACATAAACACGAGTATGCTTTTGATGAATCGTGTCGTTTCACACCTGTCTCTTCTGGCCAATCCTGTGGGCTCGAGCCTGGGCTTGGAGGTCATTCTGAGGGTTCCAGTCGGAATCAAAAATAACAACAGTATCAGCAGAAGCCAGATTGATACCAAGTCCTCCAGCCCGAGTTGATAACAGGAAGCAGAAATCCTGAGAAATCACACACAATAATTCAATTATGGTATAAAAAGTGTCAGGACAGACGTCAATTAAGTCCATGACAGTATCTACCAAAGAACATTTCAACCAGTTTTTTATTTAAATAATTTGTAAACTTACTTCTGAACCTTCAGCATTGAAGTGGTCCAGTGCTTGTCTCCTCATCTCTCCTTTGATGGAGCCATCTAGTCGCTGAAATACCATATGACATATTTTAAAAGGTGTAACTAATATCTGTGGGAAAGGTTTGAGCGAGCCAGAAACGTACCTGAAACAGAAACTGGCGACTGCGTAAATAGTCAGCCAAGATGTCCAGCATTCGTACCATCTGAGAGAATATAAGCACTCTGTGGCCTCGCTCTTTCAGTCGAAGAAGCAGCTTATCCAGAAGAACCAACTTCCCACTACTGCGAATTAGATGCTGAGAAAAACAAACAATATGAGCCGTTAGTCTTTTGTGAAAAAAGTGTACAAAATTACAGAAAAAAATTAACAAACCTGTAAAGCCTCTGCTCTGCTTATAAAGTCGTCCTCTGGGGGCTTTATAAGATAACAATGATTACAGCACTTTTTCAGCTCCATCATAACATTCAGGAAGCCTGATGTGCTGCCTTTTGTCCCTTTGCTTAAAGCCTTGTAGTTTCTTGTCAAAATCCACCTATAATTGTTTGAAAATTAGTGTTATTGTTGAAAATGGTGACAAATTCAATAAACAAAATAGAAATGTTAATTTCTTACTTGTAATACTGTTTCTGAATTGCACTCATCTCCACACGAAGAATCTGTTCTACTTTAGCTGGAAGAGACTTCTCCACATCTTTCTTGACTCTGCGCAATAAAAAAGGCTCCAGCTCCTTGTGCAGACTCGCATATCCTGAATCTCTTCCTTTGCCATGATCCTCCTCAAACCTCTCCCAAGAGTGAAATCTACAGGAAAAAAATACATGTTTTGATTGATATTTGAGACCAATGATTAGCGTCAGCTGACTGACAGTGTTGCATCTTACTTTTCTGGCATGATGAAATGCAGCAGGGACCAGAGTTCTTTCAGCGAGTTCTGCAGCGGTGTTCCTGTGATCAGCAGCCGGTGATTGGACTTGAAGTCAATCATGGTTTTATATAGAAGGGAGTCATCATTCTTCAGTCGGTGGGCCTCATCAACGCCAATAAATGCCCAACTAACACTTCCAAGGAACCCCTTAAGACAAAAAAAAAAAAACAATCATGATATTATATACATCACACACACAGCGATTAGACTCAGAATTTCTACAGTCCAAAAACCAGCTGACCTTATCTTTGAGCAGAATCTCATACGTGGTGAGAAGAATGTTAAGTTTTAATCGTTTTGTGTGAACATGCATCCATTCATGCGTCCGGATCTGTATAAACAAAGCACATAAAGTAAACATGGGAACACTCAATTACATTAGTCAAAAGTGTCCACATACAAATTACATAACATATTTCCTGCTGCAGGAGCGGCAGGATAGCATACCATATTTCTACTGCTGATGTCACCCAGATAAACAACAATATTCATCTGAGGAGCCCAGAGTTGGATTTCCCTCTGCCAAGAAGTTAAAGTCGACAGTGGAACCACAAGTAAGAAGGGTCCATATAGTTGGTGCTCGTGAAACAAGTAGTTCAAAAAACAGATGGTCTGAATGGTTTTTCCAAGACCCATCTCATCAGCAAGAATGCAGCTGTTGCCTCTACAAAGTAACAGAAAACAAACTGTCAAAAACTAACAGCAAACATCTACATGTGAATAACGGGTCGTTCCCTTACTTGCACCAAGAGTGGGCCATCCAGTTCAAACCATCGAGCTGATAGTCACGCAGTTCTAGTCTATCAGCTGCTCCTATGTAGGATGGCTGCTTTTTCATAGGTACAAATCTGGGCCTCAGTTTCAGCACCTTAAACATAACATTTTACAACCTTAAATACTATCTTTTGTGGAATTATGTGGAAAGTATATTCCTTTATCTTTATGAAATTAGACTATAACCTTACCTTACAGTCTCTATAAGGAATTGTTTTTGATTGGTTCCTGCTCATGTAGTCATCAATGAATTTCTTAAATTTTTTAGCAATAAGTGCACCATCTTCCCAGCTACATTCAGAATAGGGCAACCCCTGCCACTTGCAGAGATAGTCGGGGTAACCTGCTGCCGATTTCTGGTTTGAATGTCCTGTTCAAGAAATTCAACATTGGTCACAACACAAGCTGTTAATTATTTAGACAAAATATGATTTTAACTAAGAATACATTTCACCTATGATACGTTCTACAAGTTGATACTGAGAGTGCAGATCATCCATCAGTTCTTCTTGGCAATTAAAATACTCAATATCTTCGGGAGATGCTGACTTACGCCTGATACAAAGACACAGAAACACAAGACACCATGAAATCACAGACAGGGACAACAGATGTTAATAAATTGCATTTTCAAAGACCTTTGAAAATTACTGGTTTACCAATATTACCAAATAGGCATCACACTATATTCATACCATTTCTTTTTCTCTTGTTCCTTCTTCTTAAAATTTTCCAATTTCTTCATTCCTTTGACATTTTGCATCTTAAGTGTCTCCTCAGTTTCCCAGGTATTGTGGATATGAGCCCAGTTTTTCCATTTCATCAAATATTGGACATCACCAGCCTCCTTATTGGGATTGAAATTTGCATTTGGATCTCCATCTTCTTCTACAGCGTACACTGTTGTCGGGCTGCCTGTTGCTGTTACGAAAGCAAAAGGATACATTTATTAATGAGGACCTTTTTAATAAAATACACAAAATATTGGGCCACTTACCTCCTTTCCTTCCTATTCTGCAGTCCATCACCCGCTCTAGCGTTTCAAATTCATCTTCTTCAGGCTGAGGAACATCCTCACCGAGAACTTCTACCAAATCATCCGAGTCAGTCTTCATGTCCTCGTCCTCCTTGTAGCTGACGTTGACAGTGGCCTGACGCCGTAGCCCAGCTGTCATTGCCTTGTAACCATCTTCGTCGTCAGAAGATGAAGACTTTTGGGGTTTCTTTTTGTGGGAGCTACTTTTTTTCCCATTGCGAAAATTTGCCCTAAAACACAGAACAGAATGCAGTGATTGGGACTTTTAATAATCATAGAATAATACAATCATGAAAACTATAAAGGAAATGTTACTTACTTCGACGGAGGTTTCTTGCTTTTTGTCTTGTGGCTGGGCTCATAATCTGATGCCGTCTCACTTTTTTCTCGTGCAGAGGAGTCTGACCCAGACCCACTCCCTGATCCAGATCCAGAATCAGAGGAGCCAGAGTTTCTCCTTGTTTTAGATCCACTTGAGGAGTCCGATTCATCGCTGCTTGATGAATCCTGTAGGTTATAATTTGCTTTTTAATTTAGCCGTTAATAATCAAAAGAGCTGTTTTTTTTTTTTTTTATGGACTCATACCCCAGAATCGCTGTTTGAGGAGCTTTGTCTCTGTTGTTGTTGTTGCTGCTGCTGCTGCTGCTTCCGAAGCATGGCAGACCTCTGCACTGCCAGGATACTAGGATTGGATTTCCAAAACTAAGAACCAAAATATAGCAAATGAAAATAAATACATGGTAATCTGTTTAAATATTAAAACTACTAGTTATAGAGTTTAAGATCACTCTAATCAAATACCTCAGCTCCATCAATGTTAGACTTATTTGGCAGTTCAATCTTCTCTTTAGATTTTTCTGCATCAGAATCTGACTGGCTGCCAGAGTCTGACCCACTTCCTGAGTCGCTGCTCCCTGATTGGCTACTGCTGCTTGAGGAGCTGGAGCTGGAACCAGACCCTGATCCTGATCCAGAGCCAGATTCATCATCGGAATTTCTGTCACAAAGAACAAAGAAATTACATAATAGGGTTAGGGTTAAAAAGACCATTTTACCACACACACAATACTTTCAGTTAAACCGAGACCCAAAGATATGATGCATTTGGTTACCTTGATTCTCCACTACTATTGCTGACACTTTCATCTTCGCTGCGCCCAGCCATGCTGATGTCACGCCCCCCCCCAGGTCTATGTAGTTAACCTGGAGAGGTGACAATCCACGTAAGTAACAATTCTATAGAAAATAGACACAATAACTATTAATTCCAACAGCATCTACTTTCTTCATGAAGTCCCAAACTTATGAGGAACAAAAGAAACATTTTTCAGCAACACTGAGTGATAGTAACACTGAAAAGCAACACCTGCTAATCTAATGTAGTATTCTAAATAAATATATCCATATAAGAAAAAAGTTAAATCAATGTGACATCGATCGATAAATTTAGCAATCATAAAATCTTAATCGCGACAAAATATAGATGTTGGATGGATGTTTAAAGAGGCCACGAAACTAGCTAAACAAGTTTACTTGTTTTTGTTTGTTCAATTAAGGGCCTTTCGAGTCCGCGTAGAAAATGTACTCATTATAATAGAAGTAAGGAGTCAAAGATCGTTCTTAAATAAAATGCTATTGTTGCTAATGCTGTGCAAAATCACATGCTAAGAAGAAGTCAATATGTTGATAACAGTGCAGGCAGCTCTGATGGACTATTAGCAGTGTTAGCTAGCAGTTAGCTCTCAGGCTAACTAGCGTAGAGGAACATCGACGCGAGCTTTTTATTGGCGGGGTAGAGTAAATGTATGAGAGATGTAAACAATGCATCAGAACTATGCGGTTTAAACAGGATTCTAAAGTACAACTTCGAATAACAAATAAGTCAAATATTCATCATTAACAATACTAAATGTTAACTAGTTGACAATGTTGCTCATTGACAGGGTTAGTAGCAGTTATGTATTGATGTTTTGTTAGCGAAAACAACACGCTACCACAAGCTACCACTTCAGCATGGCTAGACTGAAGTGTTTAATGCCAATAAGTTACCAACTGTAGATAATGTAAGCAAGAAATACTGGAAAAAAGCAGAGATGAGCATGCGTTTACATGGTTGTCAAGGAAAGGAACGCAGGCTAACCCCGTGGAGCACGCGGCTAGCACGTAGGCTAACTAAATACCAAAACTTTGCGCTAGCTGAGCATAGCCAGCCTCAGCTGGTTGATTTACTTTCGTTCCCCCTCTTTGGAAACACAAGACGGCGATCAGACGCAAATGTATGCAAAGACAATTTGTCAGACCAACGATTTCTTACGCAATGCTCATTATTTCACCCACATAAGCATCTGAGCTAACCCAACTTCACCCCCTTCCATCTTGTTTTCATTCGCCGCTCACTTCTCGCGGCTTTTACGCATATCAACTTGGTTTACTTTCTACCCAAACCCAAATAATATATAACGCTAGATTTGACTTTATATTCGGAGGCTTGTGTCTCCTGTTACCTGAGAAACTTGTGAAGTGGTTATTTAGGGAGTCTTCCGCTCACTTCAGGTGTGCTTCTTTTATCAGTCGTAGTGTTCCAGCTCAGGCTACGTTAGGCTGCTAGCTCCCACCGAGGGGGAGCAGCCACAAACTCCCCACCGCCAAAGACTCCTATAATGTTGTTTACGCCCAAACTTCAGAAAACTGCAGTCCGCTTCCCCCTTCCTTCACCACAAGTTATAATAGTCGTCGCTGAACTGCAATAGTAGAACGATGGCATATCATTCCCGTGTCTTCCGACACCCGGCCTCCGCCATGACGCCGTCGGTTCACTCAACAGGAAACCCCGCACAGTGACGTCACCACGCAGTACATCCATGGACCATCCCTCCATCCCTGTCTCCAGCATCCTCGAATTATTACAAACGTCCACTTCACACACTGACTTACATGTGTGTTTAGCCTAATGTAAGAGTTTGGAGTGCGAGGAGTATTTGTTCAGCTATGCAGTGATACGTGTGTGAATTGCATCTGTTATCTTGGTGCTTCACAGTGTTTCAGTGTTTCAGTGTTTTGCTTATTTTGCTATTTGATGTGCGCAGATCGCCATTGGTTGGAAGAATAGCTTGAGAAAGGTGGTGAGCCAATAGAAAGTGGTCCAGGTATCCTGCAGCTCTGCACGGAAGCGCACATTTCTCTGCATCATCAAACACAGCCGTCCGACCCATACGTCCAACGGAACGGGGTCTTGGAGAAGAGCTATTTTATCCTGACTGAAAAGGGGCCTCAACAATGCCAATGCTACTATGAAGATTAAAGTGAAGATTTTAAAACTGGAAGCTCGATGCCAAAAAGACACCCAAGGTGAGTTTGACTTTGATTGCATTCATTATACTTTTTCAGATGACAATATGGCCTACATTGTATTGCTCCCTGTCTGTTGATAATTAAACCTAGATATATTGACCAAAAATATAGTATTATAGAAAATGTGCTGCCCAATAAAGACTGTGTAACCAAGAGTCTTTTTTGTGCCAGTGTAGGAGACTTTATGAACACTGGTATTTCAACGCACATACCAATATTGTGTGGGATTAAATATGATTACAATTCATCCAAAACAATGAAGTTAATTTGTGTGCAGTCTAAAATCACAACAAGAATTTCCTTGAAATATCTTACAAATTGCTGATAGGACCACTTTAGAATATTTAGTGTCTCCAACTATGAGAATAAGTGTATTAGTTTATTTTTATGTATTCTCACCTGTGTGAAGGTGTGAATAAATAATATATAGATTCTTGCTTAAGTGGTATTATTTATTTTATGAAGTTTTCTTGCCTGGCCATAAGATCCTTCACAGAGTAACACTTGAAGCTTATTGACTGTCAGCTGTTGGAGGTATGAGGGGCCTCGTCATTTGTGTGTGAAATACATAATGTGTTTGTTGCACAAAAATTGCATGAACACATTCTGTTTCCCTGAGTTCAGATGGCATCATGAAGGTCTGTTGTCTTTGTCTTCAGCACAATAGAGCCCGCACTTTTAGTCTCCAGGGTTGGAGAAGTTTGCGTGCTGAGAGGAACACCTTGAAAATATATTTTTTCCAGAGGGTACTGAATATCTGCAGTGACATTTGCAACATTATGTAAGAAATTCAGTTACTGCCATCGGAGATGGTTTACTGTATTTTGATGAAAACTACATAATTGTTTACAATTGATCCAATGATTAGAACATCTTTGTTTGTGAGCAATGTGTGTGTTAGTGTGTTTGTGTGTGTGTGTTAGCTCTGCATTTTTCATTTTGTAAAATAGTATAGGGGAAAACACTCTTGCATGACCACTTAAAATTGTGTCTTATTTGAACCAATACCATTTGTACCGTACTCTTATAATTAAAAACGAGGAAGTGTACTTAATAGGCATACAACATTTCAGTTGAGATGTTTTAAACATACCTTTGACGCACATAACCTTTAAGATTTGTGTACAATTTAGGTTTCATGAGTTTCTTTTGCAAGCATTATTTATCTCCACAAGATGGAGACATTGAAGCTTAAAGGCCTCATTTGGTGTCCAGCCTTTTATAAGCACAAAACTAGAAACTCTATTAAAAAAAAGATGACTGTATGACTATAAAAAGACAAATACATATCTTATAAATAAATATTTTTATTAACATCCAATTGGTTGTCTCCTGAAATTGTCCTTTGGGAGGGTTTCTGCTTTCTTCCCCCTTTCTAATAATCTTTGGCTTGAGCGACACAAAACCCTGCAAAATTCTGCTTCCATAAAATAATTCAGGTAAAGTTTACCTTTGTAAATGAATAAAGCATGTTTAAATGTTTAATGTAACACAGCACATTGTTGCACGAGGTTTCACAACAGCAGCCCTGAGGTGGAAAAAGCTTCATCTATTTTTGGTGGCACCCCTCAAATAAACGTTACGCAACAGTGCATTGTGTAGAGAAAATTATACATACTCTGATGACAAACCCTCTAGTAAGTAAGTAATGTTTATTTATATACCGCCTTTCACAGACAAGGGTCACAAAGCGGTTTACAATTGTTATTATTTTTTTGGGCACTTGTCCTCTCACTCCACACAGAGAGGGGAGCGGGGTCGCCGAACAGGAGGCGCATGCCAGACCTATTGTACATATTTTTAGTGGTAGGGGAAACCGGAGTACCCGGAGACACGGGGAGAACATGCAAACTCCACTCAGAAAGGTGGTCCTTCCTGGTCCGACCGGGATTCGAACCCAGGACCTTCTTGCTGAGAGGCGAGAGTGCTATCCACTCAGCCACCGTGCGGCCATTTCTAACATTTGGTAAATTATTTACCAAATGTTAGACATTTAATGTTACCAAATGTTAGACATTTAATGTTACCAAATATTCAGACATTTAATTTTGTAAATGCAATACATTTAATTGCAAATAGGTTGTTTTTATTTTTTTAATACATATTTTATAATTAAAGCCAATAGTTTGTTCATTGTTTTGTTCTGTGAAATTACAGGTTCTCCAGACTTAATCAGCATAAAGTTCATAAACAGGTTCTCTCGGCTGGCCTGACGGCTGTGAAAGGGAACTCTCTTGAAAGTATCAGTCAAAAGACTTCTACGAGATTTATTTTATTATTAGAGTTCAGATTTTTTAAATACATGTGGGTTGGTTTTTTCTTAAGCAGTGCTGTCACTTGTCATCTGCATTTAAATAAATGGCATCATTCTGAGGCTTGTCACTTCCTGTGTAGCAGATGTGTTGGTCAGCGCTTAGGCAAAATGGGGAAGTTCTCTCTTAAATTCACAAGGAAGTTGGTAAACGAAGAAGGTTTGACCAAGTGCAGTCGCTTCTGCACTTGGCCTGCTCTGGCCTGAAACTTTCAACACTTTCATTTGTGTTTGTTTGTTTTTTGGCTGAAGGTCGTGGGGCTGGAGATGTGGCCATAGAAGTTTCTCCACACAGAAAATATTTACTTTTAAAACGGTAAGAATTTCTGTATTTTGCTCAAGTTAGATTCAAACGGTCCAGGCAAATTTCAGTGCTAGATTCAGTTTCCAGAACTGATCATTTTAGCCTCATGCAGTGAACATACACTTTACATGTAAGCGCTACGCTGTTAGAAAAGAGGGTATATTAAGGGTACATTCAGTACATTCATGTTCTTTACGGTACAAAGTCTAAACATACACACCCTAAATTGTGTAGATACTGATACATATCCTTTTTGGGCTTTTATGATGAAATGATGTAAGAGCCTACAATTGTACCCTCAGTCTTTGACTTATGGGAACAATACTCTCCGACCTACAACATCCATTAGTTTGTAAAAAGATTTAAAAAATGAAATAAACCAAGACTTTTCTTGTTCATACACTACTGAGAAATTGTTCAAAACCATTTTATTTTGAGATATTTTCCAAAATGTGTAGTTTCTTATAAAATGTATACATACAATTGAAAAATCAACACAAATTGCATTACTATTCATATTAATCATATTATTGATGATAATAATAATAAACAGACCATATTCATTATTTTGAATATATTTGGTCAGTTCAATAGTTTTTATTGGATGATGTCATCCTTTCAGAACTTTGTGGATGATTCATTGTTTTTGAAAGAATATAATAATATTATAATATTATATAAGTATAATAGTCAAAACGTCATATGTTGTGTGAGGCTCTTCGCACTTGTTAGATTGATTTTACAGTAAATCACACTGACAGAAATTACTTTTATTCATGCATTTGAATGTGTTTCAGTTTCCACTTTTTGTCAGCCAATTGATCAAATAAAACCACTAAACTCCAAGTAATGTGAAATCCCAGTCGAATCAAGCATTTTGGGATGAATCAGGGCTTAGGACTCACACATACAACTTTGGCAAAAAATGCATTTGTGGTCTTTACATGACTTCTGTCTGGAGCTTTTTGGTTTAAGTCCCCAAATTTAAACATTTGCTAAATTTGCTTGAGTTTTAAAAGGAGAATTATTCAATTCCAATTGGAATTGAATAATTCCCCTTTTAAAACTCAAGCAAATGTACTGTAAATTTGCCCCTACCTTGTTTTCCAGGTATAACTCCTTTATACAGTTGTGCTTGAGTTTAAGCCCCTGGTAGAGATTTTCAATTATAACGCAAAAACAGATGTTTCACCCATTGTCAGTGATTGTGTGAAGTCATTTATGGTCAAATAAATGTGTTTTAAATTTTACAATTGTAAGAGAAATGACTGAAATGACGCTGTGGATAAGATTCCTTCTTTCTGGTTCCTTCGAAAATAGAATCCATGTTTATTAGACATTATATGGCAACACAAAGCCACCAATGAGACCAGTGAGAAAAAATCACCAGTGAGAAAAAATATCTGATCTTCAAAATATCTTTAAAACATTTACGTAAATCTTTCAATCAGAACTGTATTGACCAAATAATATACAGGCAGAGTTGGATCTTTATCTGAGCAGAGATTATACAGTTCAGCACTTTGTTTGTACTCCAAAAGCTCCTACAGATATGTTTTAGAGACAAGAGGTAGAGTAATAAGGAGTTTTGTTTCTGATGCCGTTGTGTCCCCTCTTTTTATCTTCGCTTACAGACTTTGTGTTTTTATTTAATGTGTAAATTACGTGAGTCAGTGATTACGCTGACTTCTTCACAAAATAATAATAAATTGTTCCAAAACATTTTACACACTCTCCTCTACTAGGATTAAACCAGTTTTGTGAACTGTACAAACTCTCTTTCAGACACCTCGTCCTGGGTCTGGATCCATAATGGCCGACGTGGTGAATACGCTGCCGTTCTTTTATGGCAGCATCACTCGGGAGGAGGCAGAGGAATACCTGCATCAGAGCGGGATGGGGAATGGGCTCTACCTCATGCGGCAGAGCAGAAACTTCCTGGGTGGGTTTGCCCTGTCTGTGGCTTTTGCAGGACGGTGCTACCACTATACCATTGAGAAAGAGCCCAGAGAAACGTACGCTATCGCAGGGGGCAAAAGCCACAGAAGTCCCCAAGATGTGATCGAATACCACTCCCAGGAGAGCGATGGCCTTGTCTGTCTGCTCAAGAAACCCTGCAACCGGCCCAAGAACATGCAGCCCAAAGTCGGAGCCTTCGACGACCTGAAAGAAAAACTCATCAGAGAGTTTGTGAAGCAGACATGGAATTTGCGGGTCTGTGGATTGTTAATTCATAATATAGATATTGAATGAATAATATAATACATATATTTTCAACAATATATATGTAATATATGTGTGTGTTTTAGGGCCCTGCACTGGAACAGGCCATCATCAGTCAGAGACCACAGCTGGAGAAAGTCATTGCGACACAAGCCCACGAGAGAATGCCCTGGTTTCATGAGATGATCACTCGAGAGGAGTCTGAGTCCAGGCTTAGGAGTGGTTCTCGCACAAACGGAACATTTTTGTACGTTTCTACTTGTATGTCCTCTGACAGTCTTCACACTTTGAGCATGTTACAAGTGTTTTCTTCTATAATTTATGCCTCTATGAAGAATACAACTGAATAACTGGAACTGAGAGGGTGTAGAATGATAATGGCTGTAATATTCAGTGTAGTTTCTGCTAATCTTTGGTAATGAGGCCAGATGCCTTTGTATTTTCCAATGACATTATGCTTAGAATGTCCCCAATTTACAGTGTGGTAATGTTTGTTCCTGCATATTCAGCATTTGTTGATACTATATTTCAGTGGCAGCTGTTGTACTTAAGTGGTCCGTGTTCGCACACTGACAGTCACACTGTGGTTTCCGCTCTGGCAGCTACCGAGACACTTCCTGAAGTAGCCCAACAAAAAAAGAATGACATTTTACCAGAAATTTCTAACGCAATAGTAGAAAATAAATAGCAGAATATATATTTTTAAAGACATGTACAACTATTGAAAACCATGTTCATAAGTGAGATTGTAGGACGATCACAAACACAGACTGTGTTATCTGAATGTTATTTTATGTTAGGTCTACAAACCTACAAACAGAAAACCAACAGAAACATGATTATTTTATTTGATTTGATTTATGATATTTGTAATCTAGAGCATGATGAAGATTTTTTACCCCATTCTTATATGAAGGAATTTATAAAGTAGGTGGCACCAAAAAATACACAAAATAGCATAATAATATGTTTTTGTATAGTTACTGACACCCACCACCTGTGTCACGTGCATCAACTGAATATCTATATGCCACCTAAAGAAGTAAAGACATTCAAGACCATTCTTATTTTGTAATAGTAATCTTCTAAGACAAAAAATAACTACATTTTAATGGATATATCTCAAGACTAGACTGAGAGCTCGGCCTCAAGCAACACACTGATGGATAAAACTCATTCAATCACAGGGTTAAAATGTTATTTGTATATTTCTTTTGTATTGTTGAATTCGCTTTTGTGTATTGATGTGTTTCTGCAGAGTACGACAAAGGGACATGCACGGGTCCTTCGCCCTGTGCCTCCTCCACGATGGGCACGTCATGCACTACCGCATCGACAAGGACCGCACTGGAAAACTATCAATACCTGATGGGAAAAAGTTTGACACCATTTGGCAGGTATAGAAACAGACAATTTTGTTTATCTATTACACTACTTTAAACCCAGTGAGATCCTCTTAACCTTTTTAAAAATGTATTCTTCTGTTTGACCTGATTAATGCCGTTGTCGTCTCAGCTGGTGGAGCACTACTCGTACAAACCAGACGGACTGCTGCATGTTTTGACAGACTCTTGTTCACGACCAGATTCCCACAACGGTAAAGTCAAATCACAGTTGACATTTAAATATTTGTTTTTTATTGTGTTGAGATTTTCACGTTGTTTTGATCCACAGCTCATAGACCACTCATTCCACTGCCTCCCCAGAGTTCTTTAGTGAGTAAACTTTTGAAGACTTATACTCTAGCAAATTACCAGTTACTAATAGATCTACGTGCAGTTATTCTTTGGTTTAAGTTATCCGTACTTTCTGGACTATAAGCCACAACAACTACATTTAAAAGTAAATCCATTTCGTCCACATATAGAAGGCCGCATTTCAATATCAGCTGCTGGTTTTCATGTTGTAATGTAGCAGATAGACGACTGTTTTAACTGGAACAACATGATTTATTGACGAGGGGTTTGACAGCATGACGTTAGCTTCTATACTTGATCTTATTCACCACAAACGACTGTCCTAGACTCCTATAGCCACTAAAACATCACAGATGATTGGTTTTGTACTTTAGCAGCAGGGTTAAAAGAAAACCCTGCTACGCCCTATAGTCTGGACATTTTTTTCATAATATATACACATCACATTTAAAATAGAATTATGTTTATGTATGCCACGTGCATAATCCTTATACTATAGTCATTCATCATTAGTTTGAGTTAAGAATTGCACTTTGTTATTACTGGCTCTTGATGTCTTTTATCTAATCACTCACTAATCCCTCTTTGTCACTTGGTTCTTAGAAAAAAGCAGCGAATGGATTCATTGAGAGAATCATGAACCTGCCTGGTCTCCCAAAGGTGAGTTAACACTGCTCTTTTCTCTGCGTTGAAAGCTGCCATCTACAGGCCATGTAGTGCTACAACAAGTGTGTGCATGTGCGTGTGTGTGTCTGTTTTAGTCAGGATTGAATATATCTTGCATATACTGGAAATGGAGATCAGGTCAATGTGTTGTATGGTTATTTCATCTTTAAACTCATAATTGTATTTATTCCATGATTGATTATGTTTGACTTCATTCCATTGTACGAACAATCATTATGAATATGTGGGCGCTCTGTCTGCCTGTTTTCTTCTTCCAACCACATCAGTGCAAAACATTTTCTGTGTTTGCATCACTATGATTAAAGACCCTACTTCCTCTGCTTCAGAAGCCGCCCTCTCAGCACTCCAATGATGACAATGATTATGTAATCAAAAACTTGCCCATGGATTCGTCCGCATTCGTGAGTCCATATGCAGACCCTGAGGAGCTCCGCAGCAAAACAGTGCAACGCAGTGAGCTCATTTTAGAGGATGGAGAACTAGGCTCAGGAAACTTTGGTACAGTCATGAAAGGCATCTACAAAATGAGAAAGTATGTTTGTATTTGTTTTTAGTATTTATTCACATAGTGTTCATTAGCTTTGCTTATATTAATCTAATGAAACACTGCTTTAGAACGGATAAACCAGTTGCAGTGAAGATTTTAAAGAACGATGACAGTGACCCGTCAGTGCGAGAGGAGATGCTGCGAGAGGCAAACGTGATGCAGCAGTTGGACGACCCGTACATTGTTCGAATGATCGGCATCTGCGAGGCGGAGAGCCTCATGCTGGTCATGGAGCTCGCCGAGCTGGGCCCTCTGCACAAGTTTCTGCAGAGAAACAAGTGAGACATCTAAAACTTCTCTATTTCATCCACCACAAGTTTACACATAAGTTACACCACATTCTCTATTACAACACAGTGATAATAGTTAAACTTATCAGGAATGGAGCTTCATGAAAACACAAATAACTAATATCTCCGGAACAAGACAGAGAGCAAAAGAAGATTAGAACTACAGTATTCCCACAATGGACAGTACAATTATTAAACACTGAGTTTTTCATTTGATATTGGCTTCTTTATTGTAGTAATTGCAAAACTATAAGCCACAGTAAGTTTACTATTGTGTAAGACGAATTGTTAGGCCTTGTTATTAGGTCCAATTTAAAATGTTAAAATCACAATAAAAATAATCATATTTTCCACAAGGATTGTCCTATAGTTAAGTAATGATGTATATCGTATCGTATCATGACTTATGTAAACAATGCAATGCACACAATTTAAACTCTGGAGAGACTTATGTGTGAGATCATTACATTTTATATTTTATTTACCATAAAATATCAAATAATAGCCCGGGTTATTAAGTTGAGCGATTAAACTAAGAAGTGTGATATGTGTATCATCTGACCATCCGCTCATCAAAACCCACAAAATGGGACTTATACTCTCGTGCAACATCCTTCTTTAATATAAATTTTCAGCTGGTGCAACTTGCGATTTATAATCCGAAAAATGCGATACTAATATGGGCCACAGCAGGAACATAGCAGGACGGAAAACGAGACGTTATATCACCTTAATGAATCTGTAATGGACCATGCAAAAGCTTGAATTGTGTCTTGCTTATCTCCTGAATGCTTCAAAGATCATCATCCCAACTCGAGCACAGCTGCTAGAAGCAGTGTTGGCAAACTTGGAGCTGTAGGGAATTGCGTATTAACTCTGCAGCTCATTCATATACAAACTGACGTGAACAATGAACAACTAATCACAATCAAGGTTAAAACAGGCTGCCGGTAAGAACAAGAATGGTAAATGGTTAATAATGGTTAACTATGAAGAATATATTGCAAAAAACAATATCGCAGCGGCCAAAGGGTTGAAAGGTGAAATAAGAAGACTGATTGTGTGATTACGTAAAATGTGTCAAGTTTTCCACCATAGATTGGAGAATAAAACTGTTATTATTGCAGTTCCTGTATTTGAACAAACACATAGGAGTCATTGGTCCATAAGGTGTCTATAAATGTAGTGAAATGTCAAAATATGTCCTTCAGTGTCCTGGATCATCACAAATGTCATTAGATCCTCCTGCATCAGCAAGGAAAAACTAAAAAAATAAACAAAAACAGTGGGAAAAATCGAGAAACCTTTGGGAGGCCGGCTTTGCAGGAGGGATCCGCTCCCACAGATGGACAGGCTGTAGAACCGGGACTCAGGCTGTGGAGCGAGGACTGAGACCACGCTGTGCAAGGCGGCGGTGGGTCCACAGGAGCAGATGAAACCCAATTCAGGACCCATCATCGCACCACAAAACAGACAATGGGACAGGGGGTGAACGCAGCGCTATGTTATTAATGTCCAACAATCCAGGGGCAATCCAAACGCAAAAAGAGCATGGAAACAAATACAAATGATCGTGCAACATCAGCCCGCACCGGTTACCAATATTAATGACACATCACTTCCTAAGCACTACCAACCAAATATTATATATATTAATTTGATTAAATTCTATTTGAGTGGCAAGTATATTTAATATTCAAATACTGTATAAAAGAAGAAGAAAAAACTTGTAATTGTATGTCTGTCTCTGTAGAAACACATCATGTAAGAACATCACAGAATTGGTCCACCAGGTTTCCATGGGCATGAAGTACCTGGAGGAGCATAACTTTGTCCACAGGGACCTGGCAGCGAGGAATGTTCTACTTGTGACTCAGCACTATGCAAAAATCAGTGACTTTGGCCTTTCCAAAGCTGTGGGGGAGGAACAGAACTACTATTTGGTAAACACTTATTATCATTAATAATACATAAGGTTTTATATGTTTAGATGCTTTTGGCTCATTCTTTGTATTTCAACATAGGCAAAAGGACATGGAAAATGGCCTGTAAAGTGGTATGCACCTGAATGCATCAACTTTTTTAAATTTTCAACTAAAAGTGACGTGTGGAGTTTTGGAGTTCTCATGTGGGAAGCGTTTTCCTATGGACAGAAACCATATAAAGTAAGCCATTTCCAAAGCAGTGAGTGTCAATGTCATCACAAATGACCTAAACACAAAGATGTTTTTTTTAGGGGATGAAAGGGAATGAAGTTATGCAAATGATTGAAAGTGGTGGACGCATGGAGCCGCCACTGAACTGTCCTCCAGAGATGTATGATCTGATGAGTACCTGCTGGACCTACAAGTAAGTCATTTTATGTGCACAGCGCTCATGATTACAGTATGTCTGTGGTAAATGACTGACCTTGTTCTTTGGGGTCTTCACAGGGCAGATGAGAGGCCGTCTTTTGCGGTGGTCGAGCCAAGATTAAGAGCTCATTACTACGATATTTCACACTGATTAGTCATTTTTTTGTAAAGTAAAACTGTAAATGAAAACTCATTGTCCCATAAGTGAATGCTCAAGTATTTAACTACATGCATTAAAATATTTCTTAAAATAGTTCAAATTCGTCTTTTGCCCATTAGGGGGAAGCATAGCAGCAAGTTATGATGACAAAGGTACCAGAGTGTTCCCTTTGGGATAACACACGAATGATCCTCTACAGCAGTGTTCCCCAATCTTTAAGCCATAGCACACATTCATTTAAAACAATCAGGTGAAACTGCTACAAACCGCCTTTATTAAGAAGTCATTCTCATCAAATTCATTCAGCAAAGTATCACTTTGGCATGTTTGACCGCCGAAAGGCCTGAGTACGCATTATTAAATCGAAATGATCCATTGGAAATGCAATAGTGAAAACATGAGCGGTCGCTGCTGGAGGAGGCTTTGGGCCAAAAAGCTGTAATTAGAGATCATGAGATAAGAATGTGAGATCAATGTGTACATAAACAAGTCATTTATTTCAAAAAGTATACCAGGTAAATGTAACAAAAAGTCTCACTTAAAGTAAAACATAACTAATTATTACTTTTGCAAAGTGGTATTGGACAGTTGGTAGAGCATTGGCCTTTGAGCCTGAAGGTTGTGGGTTCAAGCCCACCACAATACTTTCTCCACTGACTCCCGCTGATGTCTGCTGTCGTTGTGTCCTTGGCAAGACTCTTAACCTTTGGGAACATCTGATGCCACAGTGGGGCGGCTGTAAAGTGCCAAACTGCCGTTGTGTCCTCAGGCAAGACACTTCACCCCCATTGCCTAGAATGAGTCGAGTGTACATACAGTTTGCCTCACTTCAGTCAATGTGCTTCAATAGTAGATTATCACCACCGTGAATGAATAATGACATGTGATGCATCCTAAAAGCACTATATAAAACTGATGCATTATTATTACAATACAATTTACAATACAATTCATTCTTGTATAGCCCTAAATCACAACAGAAGTCATCTCAGAGGACTTAACAAAACCATTGGAATCACCAACACAGATCAGAGAATCAACAGTTAAAACACATAAAGAATATAGAACACATGTTGATTAATGTCCACACATGTTGTAGAAAGTTAAAGTGTTCTGGATCATCACCACAGTCCTTCTAGTTGGACACTAACTGCCCAACAGACCCTCCTGCATCTGCAAGGAAAAACTCATACAAAAAATCCAGAGGGAAAAAAGTGAGAAATCTCGGGGAGACCAACATAGGGAAAGGGATCCGCTCCCACAGACGGACAGGCTATATAGATCCAGGACCTAAGCTACAGAATGTGGACCAGTGGCCGTTGAACGTGGACAGGTCCGGTGCAGGACTGAAGAACTCCCAGGCGGGTCGGGCAGAGCAGGCCGCAGATGTATTATTATTACTGTTGCGCTCCTCTCTCACACCAGATCCTCAAACACCTTTCATTGTTCACCAGTCAGTCTCAAGTGAAGCAGAAATGACCCAAAAGCTTCATTTGTGGAGATGTGAAGCCAGTAAACTGACCTCCAAGGCCACTGGGGCAGTGCACACATGGTTGGTGCTTTCACTACTCCACAAATAAAGCATTTTTGCTTCTGGTTCACTTGGGGCCGACATGTGGACGCGTCCTTAGAATATGTGACATCTGTTATTTCCTACGGCTTGGATCAGAAGGCTGAGTTGAGACCCAAGTAAAAACGATTGTGTTAACAAAAATAACAACAAAATGGGAAAACAATCTAAAAACACCAGGCATTAATGTTATCTCTTGTGCTATCCTCAGCTCTCAGATTTTTAACTTGACCAGCCCTGGGTCATTTTTTAGGGTATTTGTCTGTCAATCATAATCAATGAATGATTCATTTCAATCATGTCTATTCCTAATACAATGTACATGTTATCTTCTGGCAGAAGATATTGTTTGTTGAGATGCAGGACTTTTCGTCTTGCTAACAGCTTCTTTCCACAAGCTGTTATCGGTTTACACAAAGCACTTTAATGTTCCTGCACTTGTATTTAAACTGTTTTTGTTGATCAATTTCACAATGACACTTTGTTTCTTGTCTGCTGCACACTGGGGACATTTGCACATTTATTCCAATTTGGTTTTACAGCAGATGGCAAATAAAATAAATATGAAAAGACCCTTTTTGACCATGTAACCATGGATCAATTTAATCAGCAAAATTAGGAACCCAAAATGAAAGACGCAACTTATTTCAGGAGAGACAGCAAAATAACAGACCCAACTTTCCTATTTGTAATTAAGTAAAAACAGATATAACTACTGTACAAACCTACTTTATATCAGTATGTGCTTTGTACTGGCCAACATCATACATATATTTTTGTAAATATTGTCACCACTTCCAGACTTTGTCAGTTCATTTCAACTACAGTATGGTCTAATGATATTCTAATGACTTGGGATTGGCCCAGGAATGACAGGTCAATGAATTAAACTTTTTTTTAACCTTTGGTAATTATCATAGTTACCAGCTGCCTTCCAAAACAACTGTAAACTATAGAGGCACTTTCACAATATGAATCCTTGAGGCTCCAAAGTAGCAGAAGTGCAACATGAGCTCCAGTATTTGGGATACCTCCTGCACAGTTACCTGGCTTTTAAACTTTTATATAACCGCCTGCTCCCTCAGCGCATACAGGAGAGGTTCAAACCTAGAGAGAGTCCTTATGAATTAAGAGGTGTGTATGTCTTTAAGAAACCAAATGTGAGAACCAGTTTAAAAAGTAGATGCATCTCTGTCAGGGGGGTTCATCTTTGGAATGGCCTGGATGAGCCACTCAAATGTTCCACCTCAATTCACACATTTAAAAAGCGCTTTAAGGCGATTGTTGAAGAAAAGTATAAATCACTAGAATAATAATAATAATAACAATGATGATGGTGGTAGTAATGGTGGTGATAATGATAATAATAATGGTAATGATGATAAATATAATAACACATATATTGTACATGTAAAATATTATCAATATTAAAATATATATATATATATATATGTATATATGCATAATATATATAAACATAAATAAATTAATAATAATAATAATAAACATATCTGTGTATATTGTGTATATGTATAGATATGTTATGTGTGCACTGCATATGTGAATGTGTGTATGCAGGTACAGGTATAGGTGTATGTCTGTATGTGTGTGTATGTATATATATATATGTATATGTATGAATGTGTGTATGTGTATGTAAATGCATGTGTAGATATATAAAAAATTAAAATAAATAAATAATAATGATAAAAAATAAATAAACATATATATATGTATATAGTCATATTCTGTGTTTATGTATATAATGTGATTACAAGGAATATTTCTTTGAATTAGTACGAACTATTTATTTTCTTACAATGAAAATTGTATTTGGAAATAATGTAAGCTCTGTGGATCCGCTACATTGTATATAATTTTGTTACATTTGTATAAGTAAGAAATGTAATTTTGTTATTTGTTAATAGGGTTAGGCGAAATAAGTGTTAAACTTCAGCCTAACCCTTTCGGTCAGTATATAATTTATAATTTGTGAATGTCAAATGTTTTCTTATTTTCTGCTGATGGCCGAAGAATAAACGAATATAATATGGGGAAAGTCATATTTAGTTTTTAAACAAAATGAGACCAAAGACTTATTTTTAACCTTTTTGCCATGGCAATGAGAAACACTTCCCATTCCGTGTCTATGGGAAAATCGTTAAATCTCTTCAAAAAACAATCCAGTCTTGGCCGTGTCACTAATTTGGCTGAAACTCGCTGCAGATCATCTAAACAGATATAGGATTAAAATTTAGCAACAGAATTTTCATTAGCCAAATGGATTGCGTGCGACAGACTTGCAAATTGTGGTTATTTTCATAGAGACGTGTGAGTTTCACATGTTAAACAATGAAGACTGTATATATATGGCCTCACTCAGATGATAAATGTGCTCCTGTTTGCAAATACATTGTCTGATATGCACTCGGTTGTTCAACTCATGGGCTTAGGTGACCTCCATACAAATGACATGAAATTGCAACATTAGTCCCTCCCTACAACGTGAGCAAAAGTTATACATGTGGAGCCAAAAACGTAGAGACAAACCAAATGATCTTATTCATTACAAGGCTACGAGGGAAAACAAAGGGGCGTCGGTGAAACTCCTTTGCGCTGTGCGGCGAGAGCCGTTTGACGCTGCTTGCGGCTTTAATAGTGTATTTATTACAAGATTTTAGTAGTCTTGTGTCTCTGATCGTGTTCCATGGCTCCACCGTTTGTCACTTATAAGATTAATACATTTTTGGGGCCTTTATGTTTGCTTTACCAATGTACCGTTACAACACAGACACTGACATTCGGCATGGTAGAGGGTGTGAGGGTTACGTTTCCCATGAGAGCGGAGTGGGGTGCAAGCCGGGCATTGGGGAGAGGGTCTTTCTTTACGCAACCTGCTTTGTGGTGGAATTCTTCTGGCTCAGTGCTGGACATCTGCCGGAAGGAGGTGAGCCACACTGGGGATGTGCAGTAACGGCCTTCAACCACCAACTGTTCACTGTATTGATACGTCTCACCATGAAAGTGTGCGTGGAGGGGATGACATTTCTTTTAGAATAGAACCATCAGTAAATACTACATAGAGTGGTTTGCATCAGTAAAATCTGGGGTGCTGAACTTTTTTTCCTTAATACATACAAACAATACATGTCTTTTAATTTTTGTAAAACTCTGTTGCACTGCAAAAACGATAACAAAATGTGTCAAAATGTGCTCAAGTTTACACATGTGCCAAATTTTACTTATATTTCATCACTTTTTGCAGTGTAGAACAGATCAGACCACAACAAGCCGTTTTTCTCTTAATAGAAAATATTGTGTCCTTTACATATGTCTCTTTGGGCTGAGTGCTGCTGAGATCACCCTCTCTCCACCACTCATTCACTTCTCAGTTCAGTTTTTAAAGTGAGGCTTTTGCTAG